CCAGACAGAGTCTTGGACCATATTATCAGCATACTTACACTTGTTGGTGAATCAACGGTGACACAGGTTTGTTACTTGATAGTCCATAACTTTCTTAGTCATGTATCAATTTCATTTTTTCCCTTAGACTCTTCAGTGATACATATCTTTCTTGGCACTCCCCGATATTTGGCAGTGACTAAATTTTCCTTAACTGATGATTCTTTATTTTTTATTTGTAGATTGATAGCCACTCGAAGTCTATCTTTGAGGGGTTTATATCATCGGTCATTCCATTTTGGCTGTCTAAGACTAAGAGTGAGGAGAAGTTGCTGCAGGTAATCTTTCCGTAATGTTTCGTTTTCCTTACTACAGTACTTTAGATGTGAATCATTTGTGGATTAATGTATCGTAATTTTAAATTTTTTTTTTCAGATTTTTGTGAACGTGTTGCCTGATATTGTTGAGCATAGAAGACGTTCGATTGTAGCTTACCTGCTGGGGTAATGTGTTGATGATAAAATCAAATTGGATATTGTGTTTTCTTTCTAAGAATACTGAATGACGTCCCTTTATTTCTGCAGAGTTATAGGTGAACAAAATGGCTTGCCTTCTTTGCTTGTTCTCTTATTCCAGTCCTTGATTGCAAGGAAAGACTCAGCTTGGCTTGGTAATGCCCAGAATTCTGAAAGGTTTACTTCCGTTGTTAAGAAGGAATGGGAGTATTCTTTTGCCGTGGAAATATGCGAACAATATTCTTCTTCGACATGGCTCTCAGCTCTGGTCACGCTTCTTCAAACTATCAGCAAAGACAGTTTTACTAAAGAATGTTTCTTTCAGATGCGGCTTGTCTTAGAATTTATATTCCAGAAGTTGCAAGACCCAGAATTTGCATTTAAGGTGTCACTTGAACCAAGAACTAATGTTTCAGATGGCATTCAGGTAAGGCCTCTTCCAATTTTTTGTTTTATTCAAATTGTTGTTACTAAACCTCTGTTTATCCTTGTGCATGTTGTTTCTTGGAAAATGAAAAACTCTATAGAATATATGGATTTTTTGGTACCTTGTTTCTCTTTTTGCGTGCTTTCTTAATTGCTGATTTCTTAGAAAGTACGTTTTGTTATTTTTTCAGCAAGAACTACAGGAGCTTATGAAGGGTTGTATGTTTCTACTGCAAGCTGTTGATTCCACAAACGAGAAAGATGTGACTTCGGCAGTTAGAAAGGAAATCAGAATGCGTATACATGATATCTTGATGACTGTTACAGGAGCCATGGATCTGTCTATATATTTCAGAGTTGTTACTAGCTTGCTTCAGCAGCAGTCGGACCGTAATGGGACAAAAAAGGTATACGCTATTACCATTTATTATTTTTTGTACTAGAGGAACAAGATAGAAGTTTTCATAGTAATTTCGTGGCTATGGTGATTGAACATATTTTCTAGCGGATGTTTTTTCTTCTGTTTACCTGGAAGTAGCATTGCCACACGAATTCCCGTGGGAAAGCACATATCCTTTGAAACCTTGATTAACTTAATCTTAATCGGGTTTTATGCTCATCGGCTTAATGGTTTGTTCTTTGATGCTAACGTTGTTATAATTTGTGAATGCAGATACTTGGGCTTATAAGTGAGAGAGCTAAGGACACCTCTTCTTCTAAACTGAAACACAAGAGGAGGCTCCCCAATCAAAAAAGAAGAAATCCTTGGCTTAATTTGGATGACGCTGCTGTTGAATCTTTTGGGAAGATGTGTGAGGAGATTGTGCATCTAATTGATGAGACTGATGATGAGTCAGGCGTTCCGGCTAAACGAGCTGCTATTTCTACACTGGAAGTTTTGGCTAGCAGGTTTCCCTCTGGTCATCCAATCTTCAGCAAGTGCCTTGCATCTGTTGCGGAAGGCATCAGCTCAAAGAATTTGGGAGTTTCTTCAAGCTGCCTTCGTACAACTGGTGCATTGATCAATGTTCTTGGACCAAAGGCGCTCGTTGAACTTCCACGCATAATGAAAAATTTGGTGAAACAATCGCATGAAGTATCTTCTGCATTGAAGAGTGGTGGAACTGCAACAGTCGAAGAACAGTTACTTATGCTGTCTGTTCTAGTCACTTTGGAAGCGGTGGTAGATAAACTTGGAGGTTTCCTAAATCCTCATCTTGGGGATATTATTAGACTCATGGTGCTACATCCTGAATATGTCTCTGACTTTGACAAGAATCTCAAGTCCAAAGCAAATGCCATTAGGAGACTCCTTATTGATAACATACCAGTGAGTTCTTCACAAACTTTTATGAATCTGATTTTTTTTCTTTCTGCTTGTAGTAGTGATATTAATAAAAACCCTTCTTCCAGGTTCGACTAACTCTGCAACCTCTTCTACGAGTATACAATGAGGCTGTTATTTCTGGGAATGCAAGTTTAGTGATTGCTTTTGATATGCTAGAAAATCTTGTTGCGAAAATGGATAGACCATCTATTGTTTGCAACCATGCGAAGATTTTTGACCAATGCTTAGTTGCCCTTGATATTCGACGTCAAAATCCAGCAGCAATCCAGAACATTGATGAAGCTGAGAGAAGCGTAACTAATGCAATGGTTGCACTCACAAAGAAGCTAAAGGAGTCTGAGTTCAAACCCCTCTTTATCAGGAGTATAGAATGGGCAGAGTCAGATATTGTAGACGGATCACGGAGTGAAAACAAGAGCATTGACCGAGCTATATCTTTCTATGGTCTGGTGAATAGACTCTGTGAGATTCACAGGTGAGTGACAATCACGTTTAGGAAGCTGTAATGCCCTTTACGTATGCTTCTGGAATATTGGGAAATTAACTTGAATATATCTTATTGTGGTATGCAGGTCCATCTTTGTACCATATTTCAAATTCGTGCTTGATGGTATTGTATTGCATCTCACCAGTGCCGAAACATCAGTTTCAACCAGGAAGAAAAAGAAAGCCAAAATTCAGGAAGCATATGACACTATCCCACCAAAAAGCTGGCATCTTAGGACACTGGTGCTGTCTTCCTTGAAGAATTGCTTTATGCATGATACTGGAAGCTTAAAGTTTCTCGACACAAATAACTTCCAGGTCATTGATCAACAACTTGTTTATGTTTTCTTGGATCAAACATCTCATCCTTTTTCTTGGAGTAACGGATTCTGATTCAAACTGTTTTCTTCTCCACAGGTGCTACTGAAGCCTATAGTCTCACAGCTAGTTGTTGAACCGCCATCTTCGTTAATGGAGCATCCATATATGCCATCTGTAGAAGAGGTTGATGATTTATTAGTTTCTTGCATAGGTCAAATGGCAGTAGCCTCTGGCTCTGACCTCCTATGGAAGCCGTTGAACCACGAGGTAACAACATAATCTTTAAAAACCTGTAAATTCTCACAGCTTTCGATAGACTTGTTGACTTCAACTGTCTTTAAAATCATGTTATGTCAGGTGCTAATGCAAACAAGGAGTGACAAGGTGCGTTCGAGGATATTGAGCTTGAGAAGTGTAAAACAGATGCTGGACAATCTGAAAGAAGAGTATCTTGTGTTGCTCGCTGAAACCATTCCATTCTTGGGTGAACTACTGGAAGACGTTGAGCTCTCTGTCAAATCTTTGGCTCAAGATATCATCAGACAGATGGAAGAGATGAGCGGTGAAAGTCTGGCGCAATACCTCTGAAACTAAAACCTTTGGGTTCCCATTTTTGATACGTTTTTTGTTTTTGTTGTTAAATAACTAAATATGGGATATATGAATTTATTATAATGTTAAACAACATTAAAACAAGATTTAATATCAAAATATTATTTCTAAAATATGACAGTTTGACTTTCTAAACTTTTATCACTTTATAACTTATAAACAGAATCTATAAATAGCATTTCTATCATTGGGAACAACAATTCCTGTAAAGAGCCAAAAGCAAAGAGTTTAGCCAATAAGACAATGCAAAACCATAAAAGAAGAGAATGGATCTACACAGAAAAAAGATTGAACTTTTCAAGCGAGCTAATTTTTTTTTTTTTTTTTGGATCATATGTAATCATATTTTTCCTTTTTCCATTCTTTTTGGATTATACAGTAAAAAAGATAAAAGCAAATATATAAAGCTCATGAATCACTAGCTTTAGACACCAAAAATTTTGGGCATCATTTGTGCAAACTATTTTTTATAATACAATGATAATTTTAAATTTGTTGGATAATATGTTTATTTGACTATGATTGTTTTAACGCGTTCGACGTGTAAAAGCGAGTACCAATCTTCCTTACTATAGAACAAGCGAGTCTTTCTATAAAATCCGGCTATAGAACATCCGGCTATGGAACATCCATGGTGGAATAGAACAAGTGGAGGAGAAGGAGAGAAAAAGCAAGTGAGAGAGGTGAAAGAGAAAGAGAGAGAGGTAGAAATCCCAAAGATGGTCTTGTAGTAACATGTATGATATTACTATAAACTCAGCAAATTTTGATTTTTCTCTTCTTGTGATTATCTATCCATGTGATGTGACTAATTACAAGACAATATATTTAATCTTTTTTTCTAAAAATAAAGTAAAAAAAAGAAAAAAAAGAACAAAAGATATAAATAACCTATCTCTTCCACCAAATTTTAATCTCCATGGTCGATGCACCTAAACAAATACCAAATGTTACTTGATCAGCTTCATATTCGACATGTTTTTACAAATACTTGAAGATTTTATATAACCATTAGCAAACCAAAAAAAAAAGTCAGACGACAACTAACTAGCATGATGGTTTAGTTGTTGAAAATTGCTCTATCAATTACTAGAAAAAGGAATTTGATATGTTTATTTTTGTTATGTCGACCAGTATAAACATGTTAAATGGTTAGAAAAAAAAACTATTAACACTTAAAAATAATATTAGTTCAGGTTCTTCAATATAAATTCACTCAATGCAACAACGTGATTAAAAAAGAAAAATTATCAGTTTGTCGCTATTAAAATTCTTACCAAACTTGTTGTTAATTCAATGAAATGTCTGGGAAATTTAATGTGAATTTTTTTTTTTAACAAACTTGTTAGTTTCTGTACCTTACACCACTTATATAATTGAGTACAAAAAATGAAGATGAACAATATCTTAATTGTACATGAAAATACGGGAATACCAATAAAAAAAAAAAAGAGACACAACCGTGAAAAATACACTTGCCTTGGTGCACTTAACTATATGTTGTGACAAAAAGCGTCACGTAATAAAAAAAAAAAAGGTGTGGTTTCTTTGATCAATCTTCAATTTCAACACCACCACTCTTTTCCATTTCCGCTGGGTTCTCTGGTGAGGCCTCTTCTTTAAACAATTCATCACTCCCCATGAATTGTTCATACAGCTACCAAATCCAAGATGATATGTTACATAAAGTTATCAAGTCATAACTTAATGAGATATGATAACAGAGTTTGGTAACTAACCTTCACGGCTGATTCCACAATCTCATTGTAGTTCAAATTTCCATCAGGACTAGACGCGGAACTGATACTACCTCCAAATTCACCCTGATCCAAATCAAACTTTGATTTAGTAAGATTACATTACCACGGTCGAAATGTGTAAGTCATGAAGCGATAATGTTCCTAATCACATGCCACACCTTGACCAGCTCTTGCACGTACAGTGCTCTCCAGAGTACAACAGGTTTTGTTTCAGCGGTGTCATTCTCAACTACTGAATCGCTTTGAAGATTCTCAGGAAGCTGCGGTCTAATGAGCGTACTCATGGCTGATAACAGTGCTGTTTTCCCTCGATCATCGTTGTCACACAAACTTGAAAGATATAAAACATGCCTGCAGCAGCAAAGATATGTCTCAGGGAACAATTATAGAGAAGCAAATGGAAAGAAACGCAAGGAAAAGGGCAAGGATCATCTTTGGCTCAACCACAACTTACATGTCAGCAGGACAAACCGCTAAACCACTACCAAGCTGCAGAACCCGAATCGCAGTTAGCTGTTCAGGAAACAAAGCTAAGAGCAAAAAAACAGTAAGAGTAGATCTATCAATACGCAAATGAAGATATACCTAAACAACTAACTAGTGGGTCTTCAAACTCTATCTTACATTTAGGTGGATATACGACAAGAGCGTTGGATATATCAGCTTTCACAGAACCTCTAATGATACATATCCCTCTTGCTATTTTCGCCTTACTGCTTATCGCCTTTGGGACAAGAACACGAAGAGTTTCCTTATGCTGATCTGTCAATGACGACAGTGACTCCAATCCCACAGTAAGACATGGATCCAGAATCAACTTTTGGCTGAATATCTCTTGACCCGAAGCTAGTCTAACTCCTTTGTAACCCCCAGTTTCCTGCAAAAAAGTTAGCACAATCAAGTAAGAATCAGTTGTCAAGCAAACCAATTGAACATATCTTTGGTAGCAACAGTCGACTCACTTGCCTTGTCAAGAAGCAGAGCAGTAATAGGCATCCGGAGAACCTGTTCATACATATACATACCAGATAAGTAACAAATTCGCAAGCAACTCAGTGCACAATGCAACAAATTGCTCGAAGCGTACATAGATGCATCCTTTGACAGCAGCCCGGCGACAAAAGGCTTGTGGGAGTTCCCCTTGTCCATAAATTGGGTATATCAACGCCCCAAGTGCATTAGAGAATCTAGAGTAGAGAACAAATGGGAGTTCAAAGACAAAATTACACAGAGTATATAACCAATGCGAACGGCGATCAGATATTCAAAAGAGCCAAGAATGAGAGGATGATGAGTGACCTGCCCATAGATGTAATGTATAGAGCCAATCGATCTATGCCATCTCTGGTCTTGAGTAAATCTCCACAAGTTTCCGTATTGTCTTGATCATAATCTAGCATCGCAATGGCATACAAGATGATCCTACACAGACGAAGAAGAAGAATCAAAGCCTTGTCGCCGGCGTTTTCTTGAGAAACAAAAGCTGCTAAGCAGACATATATGCATAGAGCTGCGACTAACGGAGAAGGAGGCCATACGATTTGATTTTGGGTGGCAAACGCATCTTCGCCAAGAATTCCACAAATGGACTCTCCATGTCTTCCTCCGATATACTGACTGTCGTCTCATCGCTTTCGATTGACGAAGCCAAGTGTGCCTGAACAAGCTTGAAGAATTTCATCAGCTGATTCTTCTCCAACAGAGTCAAGCTCTTGTCCTTGAATATCGCGGCTCTAGAATCCGGCACATTTCGTAGCTCTCCGCTCGAATCCCCGACGAAGCTCGCGTCGATGCTCTTGAACTCAACGTAATTGTTGGATCCTGATTTCAGCATGAGGTTAATGGATTCATCGGCACAGAAGATAACCCTAGGACCGCACAAGTCAACGTTAAATCTTCTCGAGTGTTCTTCGAGGATCGCCGGTTCGAAGCTCGAAATCTCGACGGAGGAGTACAAGGACCGGTTAACGAGATCGACGGAGAGGAAATCATGACTGATTGACGGCGGAGATGGAGATGAAGATGATGTCTGCGGCGGAGGAGAATCGGAGTTTGAACGAAGGAAAGAAGATAGATCGGGAAGAGAAAGGGAGGCGAAGTGAGAGCCGTAGAAAGGGTTAGGGTCGAGGTGGAGAACAGAACTACCGGAGGAGGAAGCGGCGGCGGAGAGGACGGACTCGGAAACTCCGGTGCCGACGACAATGAGATCGTAGTTAGTAGGATCAAGCGGCGGATAGGGAGGGAGTTCGCTCATCGTTGTTCGAACCAGTGGGTATCAAAACTCAGACTTTACCCTGTGCGGCTGAATAATCGGAATATGGTGGGACTACTACGATTTACACAGTCACCTTTTTTTAATTTTTAATTTTTTATAATTTTGAAAAAGTTAAATAAATATGAGTTAAAATCTAGTTCAGTAATTAATTAGACGTTAATGCTCCACAATAAAATAGAAATTTTACTATATTAAATTTATCCTTTTTTCTTGGTTTACAAGAAAATAAGTAATTTCCTTTTAGCAGTAATGTTAACTTTTTTGGGTGCAAATGTTAAGATTCCTTTTAGTAGTAATGTTAACTTGTTAAGTCTAAAGCTATAAATATGTATGTATATATATATGCTCAGAAGAGAGCAATAAACAAGTTTGTCAGAATATTAGATTCAACCTCTTTTCTTTTTTAATATTCTAAGAACAAATTTCACGTTTCTGGTTCAAAATCACAAAATTTCAACATTCTATGTGATTGTAAGCAGAGGAATATGGTACGTAATGACTCTTTCCCGCTCTTTGGCCTCTCCGTATCACTCAATCTTCTCTGGCCACCGGGAGAGTCAAAGTCTCGGTTCCTCAGGGACGGTGCGGTTAGTGCCACAACATTCTATGCAGTCACGCTGCTCAGATGTCTCTTCTTCACTGATCCTCCCTCTCCCTGCTACAAGGAGTTTACCACATCGAAGGAGAGGTATCTTCAGGGTCGGTTCTCGATTATTGCCTTACATGCAGTCATCGTTTTGCCTCTTATATATATAATGTGTTGATGAAACGGGTTGTGTTATCCGCGTCCTTATTCACCATCTCGTTGTTCACTGGAGGGATAGGGCTTATCCAGCTCTCGGATAATAAGCTTAGGATGGAGATGAGACGTGGTTTCCTCACGCTCTTCCTCGGATGGTTGTTTTGTCTAGTTGGCATCTATATGCTTTGTTCATACGACATACACAGTACTCAGGAGGGGCGGTCATTTGAAATTGCTATAGTTTGGTCAGTGGATGATTATGTGTTGTTTCATTTTTTATTGGGAGGAGGGCGACAAGGTGGACTTGGGCACTTGCTCTGCCGCTTCTGTTCTTGTCTGATAAGCTTATGACTGACTTTTTTGGTCTTACGATCTGGTTTCATGTTTTACTTTGTCTTTTTATTTTCTTTCTTTTTTCTCTTTTAGTTGAGGTTAATCTGTAGTTTGCAGCTATAATCAAAATTTCAACTTCTCTAACCTTAAACTTGGTCTAACAGACCTCCCTTTTTTTGAATCACAAGCTAGATGCGACTTTACTAACCTAACGGATTTCGGAAATTTGGCAATAGATGATGCCATTTTTTTATTTTTATTATCAACTGATTTTGGAGAATTGGCAAATATACACATATATATGAAAACACAAAACCTAACATCATCATAAACAAAACTTATATAAACTAAGAAAGAACACCTTGACCTTGTTCATAAATAAAAGGGATATACAGACATATGGCATTATAGCAACATTTGTATCCATCTTACCTCTGATCTCTATCTTCGTATATCCACCATATCTTCGCGTACTTCATTTAACTCCTCTGCAAATTGATATATCAATTAATATCCACTCTGGTCCGGTTCAGACGTGCTTCACACCTGGTTGTTTTCCATGAGATAATTAAACGTGAGATGGTTCAATCAAAATATCAGAGAGTGACATTCTCCCTTTACTTTGTGTATATCAATGCGCTCAAGCATCAACAACAACTTCCTTCCATACAAAAACAAAAAAAAAAAAAGAGAGATTTTTTTTTTTTGACTAACCAGTTTTTGGGGTATTTTGATCAGAACAAATGAGAAGAAGTAGAGACAAGTGCAGATAATGAGTGCCGAGATCGTGTTGTAGACAAGGCGCTTGTCGTCCTTGGTTGGTATGAAGGCTGTTTTCAAAGTGTTGGTAAGCTCGAAAAGCCTATAAGAGATCTGAAACAGAGTAACAAAACGCCAATCAGTTTCTTTTTGGCTTTCAAATTGTTTGTGATCTGTTGTAGCAGAATTTGCTTACAGCGACGTAAATCGAAGTTGTGAGCATGAAGTTCAACAACGGGTAATCCGGGATAAGAGATAGTAGTAATTTTGGTTGGCCATCAGGAACGCCAGATCTGTGAGTTCATTAGAATTTTTGTTAGTTCAAAGGCTCAAGACATATATTAAGAGCCTATTGTATTGGCACTCTCAACCATTAAATTTTCCAACTTAAGCTACAACTGAGAACATTGACATGAAAGAAGCCCTACATACCTGAGCCATATATGAAACTGTGAGATATACGTCTCCAAGGTTATCTTCCCAAGCCACCTGAAAATTTCATGAACCGAAATCAAGATTTCTGGAGATATCGAAATAATGGGTACATCTATTGACTAAACTATTTTACTTACGCCAGAAGTGTCAAACTATAGCCGCGGAAAGACTGGGTGATGTTCCGGAGACATATATAAACACTGAAACAAAAGCAAAGCGAGATACGCATATTAGGACTGGTTTTTGAAGAGATGTTGTATAGAGCTTTGCAAGTATAGTGGAATACGTTATTGGAATCCAAGATGTGTAAGGATGATATTTGTTGTATGTTAGCTTGTCCAGCTTGTATATGTACTCGTACCAAAGATATCCCACCTAAAAGTTTCATAAAAACGAGGATAGATTAGCTGGAGAAATAATAATGTAAGGTTTCTTTCACCTGGATGAAAGTTGAAATGATGATTTGTTCTACCGTTAGAGCTATAAGTGCCACAGTTGTTTTGATAGCCATCCTGAACTTCATCTCAGCTTCCTCCAGTTTATCCATCCAACTTTCAACCTATGAGATACACAATCAAGGAAATAAAGGAAGGATGAATTAGTTAGGTGTTTACCATTAAGCTACCCATTTGTGAAGAGAGATTTGGTGTGAAGTTCTAGTGTAAGTATTCGGGAACTTACAGTTGGGTGGTAGTATGCATATAGCATCCCGATTATCCATATGTACCGATCAAGGCCCGAGCGGAAATGCCACTCATGCAAAAGGGGAAGCTGTGGCTTTGCGGGATCGTTGTAACCTGCAATTGTTGCTTGTTAAAACAGTTATCTCATGAGCACATTTGTTTATCATGGGAAGTAACTAACCCATTAGGAGCGTAAATGGACTCCAAATCCATTCAAAAACACCGGGAATTTCCCAAACGATGATAACCACAAAGAAGGAAGCAACAAATTTGGCGGCCATGACGGAACCCATCTCATTATACTTATTCATGATACCAAGTGCTCCGTAGACCATCAGAGTAAACAGAGTGTGCATTGGGCAGATGTAATATAGCATGTAACTGTTGTTGAGGACAATGCAGGAGAATATGACCAGGAAATTTAGCCGCCACATCATCTGTTGAACAAGAGTATGTTAGAATTTTAAGTAGGTGATGGATAGACCGAAGAAAAAAAGCCGCGAGGACATAGCTGTTACCTGTGCAAACCTTGCAAGGCTAAAGTCCTTGCGAATGTAATAATAAGAAAAGTTCCCAAATCCAGTCATCCATACATAGCAAGCAATGAAAACACGTATCGCATTGTAGTACTCTGCAGCAGCAAAGTAGTGGTACATCAAAAAGAGGACCTACAACACCAGGGAAAGAAAACATTGATGAGGTGACAGCAAATTAAAAGGCACATTAAGCAATGAACACAAGATACTTCTTTGAAAATCTGAAAATCGTCTTCCTATTCAACAGACATGTAACAAATCGGAGGGCAAGCCACTAATTGGAACAAACATGTAATATGACAAACCTGCATCCAGCCTTTCCACTCCTCGGTTTGATGCCTATTCAAGTACATGATGGCCTTTCCGTTGAATGCAGACTTATCATTATGTATCGTGAAAGAAGTTATTGCTGAAACGATGATGAGAAGGAAGTAAAGGAACAGAAAGAGATCCCGATTGTAACTCTGTATCAAAAACAATAAACAATGTAAGGGAGTCAGACACGTAGAAGCATGTATAAGATATCAATTTATTTATAGTTCCCTCTGTAACCACCATAAACCTTTCCGGAACGTAATAAGCAGATTTCGAATATGATTATCATCATTACCTTCTTCGATGAATTGAAGACATCCGTGCGGTCACAGACATAAAAGTATCCCATAAGTAATGCGAACTCAATTCTGCATACAAAACCATAAATAATTTAGATAAATTCAAGAAAAATGTGCCTTTGAACATAGAAAACAGTACTCACATTGCTCTCAACGTCAGCCTATTCTCAACCAAGAACGACTCATCCAAAAGAGCAAACCTGCGTAGAAACGGGCATAAGCATAAGAAAAGAAAAGAAAAGAAAAACGGCAGAGGTAAGTGGTTGATTCTGAAGAAGTAATGGAACCTGATGAGAGGAGAATGTGTGGACAAGCCCTTGGCTCTGGGAGAAGCTGATTGAAGACCATCTCCATCTTCTATTAAAAGGGCTTTGTCATCTTCTTTGACAAAATCTTTCGCTATTTCCACCAAGCTGACGTCAGAGTGCCTACTAACATAGACAGCAAACAAATAAAAAAAAACAAGTGATAAATCATTACGAAATGAAAGCGAAAAAAACTCCATCATCACATCACTAGGAAGAAGAAAAAAACGAACGTACGCTTTGGCGGAGACCGAATGTTTTGTATAGTGCAGATACTCGGAGTATAGCCAAGCCGCGATCACCGGCACGATCCCGAGCACCACCGACATCTGAAATTTCCAGGAAGAAAAACAAATCACTCTCGTTTCACTAGAAAACGAACAAGAACTCAATATAACATCCAAATTTGTATATAAAAGCTAAATCGAGCAAGATCTAATTCAGACGAATGAAAGCTTAAACAACAACAACAACAGAAATCGCTCGTAAGACGTACTAGCCCAGGTGTAACAGGGCTTGAAATCGCCATTTCCAATCAGAGAAAAAACGAACACGACCGAGAATGAGATGGATTCAAACTCCACCACAGTCGTTGGTTTCCAAATTTGAACTGAGTCAATCCGCTTCGCTCCTGAACCAGATCTGGTAGATCTCGCGAAACAATCAATGACCTACGATTGGATCAAGAATAGATCCTAATTCTCTCGCTCATCAACTTCTATAGTCGCAAATCAACCTCTCTCAGATAAGCTTCACCGGAGCGAGTGAACTGTGTAATGCGAGAGAGTTTGAGCGGTTAGTAGCTCTATACTTGCATTAATCATTTTTTTAATATTCTCCCAAACGGGGAAAAAAAAAAATTTACTAACCGACAAAATTTTATGAGGAAATTTAACCAAACGAAACAAAAGTTTGAAAATAACATTTTGGTTTTTTATGCTCTTCTATCAAATCGGGGGCCATTAATAGAAAAGAAGAATCATGCATAGATACAAAAAAAAGGTGTTAATGTGTTGTGAATTTTTTTGCAACGAGAAGAACGTGTTACTAGATCGGTGTTTTAATTCGAACAAGCCAAAATAATGAAGAGACAATCTAACATTTTGTTTTACTCTCTGTGTGGATTGTACATTTTGATTCCCCCTAAACATCTTATCATTTTCAGTATCAGAAAGAGATATATGTGGATGTAATTTTGAGTAGAATTTATGAAATTTTACGTATTAATTTTCCACAATTTTGTGTGACATCTAAACTTTCAAACCTTATCTCACCGGAAATTTTTAAAAATTCAATTAGTGGATGGTTCCACAGTGCCCAATCAATGGTGAAATGTATAGTATGAACCACCGTATCTAACAACGTACGAGTTATTAACATAACTCTTGGAAAATTTAAGCAATAATATTTTCATTAGAACCTGGCAATTACACTCGTCTCTTCTCGGTTGGTAGAATCAAGTTATCGGTTGTGCAAGCATCTCAGCTGCCTAAGAATGGTGAGTGTGATAGCAGCAACAGTAGCAAGAAGATGACAAGGTTCTCCGGGAAGATAAGCAATGCAAAAATACACCGGTTTACTCACGGCATTTTCCCGTGGTTGGGTATGAGAAGATTAACCACAGGGAGGCTGAGAGCACGGAGATTAGGTGTTAGGTCGTGTTAGTGATAGATGGTTCTGCTTCTTGAAAACTATTTTTGTCTGTTTTTGAGTTTTAGGCCGGTTAAGTGTGTGCCAATGAATTGATTGAGATCATCTGTGAGGTTTGCTAGACGAGACTAGATTGACTTTTAACTTTCTGATTTGTAAAGGTCTCTAGACCAATCCGAATTGTTTGCAAAAGAAAAAGAGTTTCTCAAATATTTCCAACATGGAAAAGAACTAAGCAACGTTAAACTTGAAAATTTTGTTTTTATAGCTATAAAACTCTAAAAAGAAAAGTTGTGAATGAAACTTTTCAACTCCTCTACTCTATATTTTATTGATTTCAGGCGAACCAATTATCCAACAGATATATTTATACGACACTAAGTTGGGAATTCAATACAAGCTGACAATTGCAAACAATTCAGACTGAGAAAGATTGAATAAATAAAACAGAAAAAAAAAAAAAAAAAAAAAGACGAAGAGAAGAGGAGGCATGTTTAGAAGTTGAAGATGGCAGCACCACTTGACGGCTTGGAGGCAAAAAGGTAAAGCTCCATATCTTCTTCCTTTACAACTCCTTTCTCTACCCTCTTTCTGTAGTATTTGTCCTGAAACACCACAATTCCATTTCTTTGATATCAGTGGCCCACTCAAAATTAATAAAAGCATTACAGAGTCCAAAAACCATTAACCATAACAAGTATTTTACTACCTTGACCGCAGCTATGAACTGCAAAACTGCAGGCTCCTTAACCAAGGCCACGGCGCAACCGCCCCATCCAGCTCCGGTCAATCTTGCTCCAAGTGCTCCATTCTCCCTGCAAACTTGAACGAGTTCTTCTAGCTCGGGGCAACTGCGTCATTTCATCAAAATCAATAATCCAAATCCTTTTTCACAATCAACTAATTTCACACTTATACTTGATCTTAAATTTATGCACCTGCACTCGTATAAGACACTGCAACTGTAATGGCTTTCGTTCATGAGATCACCAAGTTTCCTTAACTTTTCTTCATCACTGCACAATTAAATTATCAAGGTATCAAGGTTTCTGATAACCTTGTACAAGATTTATTCAGAATTTTCCACGATGAAAAGTGGTCTCACCTCAAGTTTGAATTTACAGTGTCCTTGAAACCATGGACTCTCCGGGCTTCGGAGTAAACGTGTGCAGCTCTCTGTTGATGATGCGTAAGGAGTTGAGACTTGAGAAAAGAAAAAAAGAACACAATATTCCACAAGTTGGTATATTTATATTTTTTACCTGATGCAATTTGAAATGCGTTGCAGCATTAAGTACAGCTAAAGATGTTGGATCGTTGTTCAAGATTGATGGTAATTTCTCCTCGACAATTTTCTCAATCTCCTCGGCGCTATATGGTTCTTCTTTCAGATATTCCTTCAGCAGCATAGACAAGAAGACATAAATCTCAATGTCTGTTATAAATCGATTGAATAAATACAGCTAAATAAACATTCTGTTTTGGCAGAGATTGATTGGATGAGTACCTTTACAGCTAGAACAGGATCAGACGAGCCACGATCACCAGCAAATGACACACACAATCCCTCCACGTCAGAAAGAGTCTTAACTTTTGATATTGCTTCTTTTGGTTCCATTCCGAGCTTGATGCCAAGTATGATCTACAAGTCCACATGGCAGAGAGGATCATATGAAGTCTAGCTAACAAAGTTAAGATGTTGTAGTGGAAAAGTTACGCCATGACTCACTGAAGCAAGTCGACATTCAACGACCCTGTTATTGTAATTCTTGGCAGCCGTGACCGCCTTTTGAGATTCTGCAAGAGAATGTGCAATTACAAAACTCCCACCATCAGAGAGTTGCACATCAGTTGCACGAACTGGGTTGAAGTCAATAAGCTCAGCAAATCCACTTTTAGCCATAATAGAGATCGCCTGTTTGCAATATTTAAAACTTAAACAGTCAGAAAACAGAGAGAAATCTGGGTGCAGGCACAGATGAGAAAATTTCTGACCTGGTCCATCCCACCAGATTGTGTTCCAATGTGTCGTTCACAGTCACATGTAAGCTGTGCAAGTTCTTTCTGAAAGAAACGGAAACAGAGAGAAGAACTTGGCCAACTCAATAATTAACAAGAGAGAGAGCTATGAAAGTTCCTTTCATCAAGCGCCACGACTGAGTAAATACCTTTTCAAAGTTCTGACCAAAGACGGCCATAATAGCAATTGTTGATGAGCAGACAAACGCAGCAGAGCTTGATAATCCAGAACCTAGGTAATAAAGAAGAAACTCTCAAGTTAAAAAGTGAAATGAAATAATGATGAATGTATTGGGAGCAATACCTGTAGGAACAATTCCATCAACAATAACATCAAGTCCAACTGGTGAACCAAGATTTACGCCTTTTGACTTTGCATACTCATGGAAGCCTTTGTATCTGTAAAAAAATCGAAAATCATGAGGCTCCTCAAGAAAAACAAAGATCTCTTTCTGACACAAGAGATCCCCAGACGAAACCCCTTACGCGCATATGAAGTAATGACCCCATTTGTGATTCTGCAAGTCAATTTCCTGCAAAAAATGACATAAATAGTAAGGCAGTGGCACTCTAATCATTCCCAAGGGAATAAAAGTCATCAATCCAATCACAAGGAGAAGATATTAACCTGGTCAGGATCAGCAGGATATGTACACATGTTGTACTTTTCATTGACATTTGCAATCCGAAGCTGATTTTGACCCTCACATTTCCTGATTGCTATAATCGTGTCCTGACGAATAGCCATTGGCAGCACTGAGTATCCCTCATAGTCAATATGCTCTCCGATTAGATTCACTCTTCCTGAAACACACAAAAACCAATAGCTTTCAGCTTCTGTTTCGGGAACTTCACAATCAGTCCGACAATTACCAAAACTAGATTGCTTTTGATCTCCTGTTGTGTATTCAATTTCGATTTCTCATCATCCAGATACAGATTTGTGTAAAGATGATTTCGATTTCCAGGGTTTTTCCATAATCAATATCCAAACATAAAACCGAAATGATTACCAGGAGAGCGAGCGAAGAGTTGGGGGTTAGCACCAAAGACTTGATTGAATTTGGCCATCAAAACATCGAATCGTGCCTTTGCATCTTCGAGCTGAGATCCTTCGCCGTAGACAGGCTCAAGGGAGGAGAAGATCGGGACCGCAACTTCTTCATGTTTCGCCATTCTTGTTTCTCGAACGAATTCACAAGCACTCCTCACGTTCACACTTGTCACGAAATGTCTTCTTCCTTATGCGCCATTATTTATATGAGTTGTATCCACCGATCTAATTTATTGGTTAGATGAGAGATCTGTTAAGGAAGATCGCTTACAGTTTTCGAATATCTTTGAAAATATTTTGTTAATATCCCCCGTGTCTTACTTATCCATAACTTTGGATAATTACACTAATTCTTGTTCAGTTTTCTTAGTTTTTTCAAAAGGGGCTTATCCATGTCAAAAAAATTTGGAAAAAAAAAAGAATTTAAACAAGAGGACTAATTTAATTTTATACTCTTAACACACTAAAAACTCACAAGTATAATTGAAGGCAAACTATTGATGATGTACTATACCTATCTTGTAGAATAAAGAGTTGTTTTTTGTAACACTCTAAAATTACAGAAAAAAAAAAAACTAATTTACGATTGTCCATGACTGAAGAGTTCTGGGTTTCAGGGTTTGACGAATTTATCCTAAAATATAGAAGACTGATTAGTCTGGATTTTCAATCACAAAAAAAAAAAAAAAGAAAAAAAAATCCAGGCTATAAAAAACCATAATTTGACACAAAATAAATAAATAGCGGTGATTTTGGAGAAAAGTAGATTTAGATTAAAGTCATGGCCATGTGTATATAATAGTGTACCTTATATATTGAGATTGAGATCGATCATATCTACAAAACAAATCCATAAGCAAAAACGTCTCTTACCCTTGTTAATTTGATCCCTCACATCACCGATTGAGTCTTGGCCTCTCCCAAAGAAGTGGTTATCAAGGAGGTTTTACACGTGTGGCTTCTTCTTCACTCAAAAGCTTCTTCAGTCTTAACCTCGTCTGCAACTCATTACAGAAACTCTGCTCAAGTCCATTTGCTTCGACGACGATTCCATAATCCCCAAGGATGATCCAATACATAGCCTCGAGATTCCTCGATCGAGAAATACAGAGAGAGTGGAAACGCCGAAGCAATGACTGGTGCAGGAATTGCGAATTACGTACTACTTAGACCGATCGAGACGCATGGTTATGAAGAGAAAGCGATCGAATGTCTAGTACATTACCTGTATCCAAAGGACATGAACTGCCAACATATCTCTATATGAATCCATCTCTTCTTCTTCTTCTTTTTTTTTTTTTAATGCGCAAGAGGGTCTTGAGATCATTGGTGAAGTTCATTTTCTGTCGTTAATTCGTTGATGAAATGACAATTATGTTTCGTTATGTGTCTTCTCGCTTGGTCTGGAAGAAATCTCGAGACTAGAGACAACATTGTTTATATTGGTGTTTGTTTGTTTTTTTTTACTAGCTATATATTATACTGTTTTGAAAATATTAAAATCAGAGAATAAATTCGTAGGTGATCATATATACAAATCTTAAATAAAAAGTATATTAGCAAAAAAAAAAAAAAATGCGAGAGGAAGATGTTATTCAAAGGACTGAACAAACACGCATATTCCCACAAATCTATGCATGCATGTTGGATTATAGTAAGCAAGGGGGGAGTTATTCACGTAGTTTAAGATCTAATATGTCAAGTAGTGGAGAAGGCATTCCCACAAATCTATGCATGTTGGAATTTGGATTATAGTAAGCAGGAGGTAGTTATTCACGGTGTCGAAGAATGCATCCTGATCTATGAACTCATAACAGATGAGAAAAGAAATGTTCGATGATCGGAAGCAAAAAATCTATCCTAAATTACTGTCTCTTTTGGAAGCAGAAGTTGCAGCCAAATTAGCATGGGGTATGACATGTGTCAACAATTCGGAGTTCGAGTTTGAAATCCTTCGAGAGTGATTCCACGGTTTTGATGGAGGCGATCAAAGATATCTTATACAATGGCAAATGTTAAGGACCTCTACAAATGAAATCTTGATGCAGCGTACGTACATGTTTTTTGAAACCATCATTCAAGTTCATTGGTAGATAGAAGAATTAAAATCAATGTGCAGATGGTATTGCTAAATAGGCATCCTCTTACCATCATCATTATGCTCTTTTAGATAATTGTGCCCTTCTTTGGTTAAGTCCAGTGGAAAATAGGGAGAAACTTTTATGTTTAAACCGTACCTGAATTTAAAAGAAGAATGTTTTGAGTTACAAAAAAAGGAAGATCTAACATATCAAAAGCGTTTTCGTGCAAGATCATAAGAGGAAGCTAAAAAGGAAAGAAGAGGACAAGGCATGGCCACTCCCATGTGCTTCTTCATACCTTTAAGTCTCTTTTCTATACTTTTAAATAATTTTTTTTTGCTTTTGTCATTTCCTTCTTCTTGTCGCTTAGTCATACTCCAGTGTTCTTCCTATATAGTAATATATATATATATATATAAAAGAATAAAGATTTTCTTAATTATTAAACCTACTACCTTTTTCGGCTATTAAATCTACTACATTATCAATTGAATTACAAAATTCTTATTAAGAATTATTCTTTTTAGCACCAGATATTAAACAAAAATACAAAAAAATCCTACACTAATAATTGCTAAGCGAATGAGTGTTAGAAATAATGAGTTTTTGAAAGGGAAGCGGAGAAACCATATCTACATATAATATGTTCATTATGTTGTAAACTTTAACTATCGGGTAATACGCGCAGAACTTGAGTTTGTGGAAATAATTAATGTATTAGCTAACGCTTTGTGTTACATGATATCACTAGGGTTGCTAGCCATTTCATAAAGTCCGGGATTAGTAGTTGAGCAAGTTGTGCTAATAACATCAGTACCATTGTATATAGAAACAAACAAACAAAAACATCACTATAATTTTGTCAGAGCAGAAATTTAAAATTTGGAAAAATACGAGCCCGTAGACGATAAAGGAGGAAAACAAAAAAACAAACTCGTAGTGCATACAGTATATCTAGGATACAAGGCAGGGGGCAATAAAGTGACTAGATGATTGAGTGACAGATCTATCTCATCATTCAATGCATATCATCGCATACTACCATAATCAAAATCAGTGTAACCCATTATTAATTGTAGATATATAACAAAACTGAGCACCTACTAATTTATTTTTACCTTTGTTAATATCACAAATATTTCTCCACTATACTGGCAGTACAAATCTTAAATTTCACATATATATAGATAATACAAAACACGATATAGTACATGCCATATTGGAGGAAAAATTAGTAGACAAAAGGTTCCATATTGATTGGTTTAGTCTAATCCAATGGTATCATATCAAATGAGGTTAAAGACCCATTTCCACCAACTGCAATAACGTAGGTATCAATTAAAGCTAAATAATCCACTACGGTCTGAATCTTTATCAACCATATACTACTACTAAAGAGATCAAATTATTCCGGAATTTATTAAAAAAACGTAGAAGACCTCCATTGGATTTCATTTGAGGATCCTTAATGGGGCTTTTGTTAGCTGATTTCAAAATTTGATAGCAAAGAATAATCATCAGTTAAGGAAGAGTACTTACAGATTATAATTAAACCGGATCTTCTATATACATATCATATATGAAAGTTTTGGTGTACACAGAGACAGAGATATGGCAGAATCAAAGGACGAATATGAGCAAAATGACGATTTTCAACGTCATCAAATCGGCGGAGGAGCTGAGCCTGAGCCTGAGCCGGAGAGAAGCTCGGCTAGAGATTTCATGGCTCTGACTTGCATCTCCAGAGCCTGGATGTAATCAGTTGCTTCTTCTAGAATCACTGGTACAGATTCTTTCCCGCAACCCGGAACTAACCGGCCGAGAACACGAACTTTCCCGGTTACAGCCGGTAGACTCTTCTTATTCAGTCTCACCACCGAGACTCTCCGTTTCCTCGATCTGCCGCTACTTCCCGTCGTGATCACCGTGGTCATGGCCGGTATCGCCGTCGGCCTTGGCCGTTTCTGTTTCCGAAATTTGAGTTTGATCCGATTAGCCAGAATCGCTCTGCTCCAGCGCGTCCTTCCGCGAGCGGAAACGGCGAGAACGCGATCGGCGGCTTCGCGGACGGCTTTTCCCCGCTTCTGAGCCGTTGGAGATGATGTCGCGGCGGAGGAAGAGCTGTGACGGACCTGTTGCAGGGCTTGTATCAGCTTGGCCGAGTAGATCCGCTGTTGCTTCTCCGATCTCCATCGCGCGTGGCTCTCACTGTCCCCGGAAGCTGCGTGTCTCCGAGCCGATGCGCCGGAGGAAACAGAGGGTCTCTTCTTCTTGCGAAGAAGATCTGTAGAACTTGGGTCCAAATGCGTCGGCGGTTCAATATCTGAGATCAGAGACGCCATATCCAGAGAGGATTGTTTCTGATATTTTCGTATTCAAAAACCCAAGAATCTGAGTTTCTGTGAAGTTGAGCAGAAGAAACTTATGAAATTAGAAATTTGTAGAGAATATTACAAAGGGAAGAGGATATATAAAGGAGTAGATGCATCGCGAGCAATTTCATTCACCACACGGCGTCGTTTTAGTATTTCCTTTTTATTTAAATATATTATTTATGTTTTAGCCAGAGATGTAGAAGTGGTATTTGTAATGCATGATAAAAACGATTCGTGAATGCCACCAAGAGACGAATTATTAGATTTCCAACAGAAGACTAATGAAAATGATAAACTAAATATGGTTACGGAATTATGATAGACATCATTGTCACAGACTGAAAGCAATGCTTTGTTTACTTCAAAGTTTTATACTCTCTTCTTTTTTTTTTGTCAAAGTTCAAAGTTTTATACTCTGTATTGCTTTTAACAGATACATTTTAAATAAAGTAATACAATTTTTTGATTCACTCATTATCCATAATATAAAGACAGACAATGGTCACATAACATTGTCGATATTTGACAACACAAAACATATATCAGAATAAAACGAGATGAGCATACCGTGTATATATACATAATTACATAATCAGTACGAAAAAGAGAGGTCGTCAATGCTTAGGAAACAAGATAGATGTCATTAACAGGAAGAAAAAAAATTAAATTTGCAGCTATAGAAATGCTACAAATATTCTAGTGTGGGTAGGGCATCCATAATGATTGTTTACCACTATGATTTGGGTTCTAATTAGTTGTTTCTTGTGATAGGAGTTAAGTGAGATTATTTCTATCCAAAGATGTTTAAGAAGAAATAAAAACCCCTTTTTGGGGTAAGTTAAGAGAGAACAAAAACTTTATATGCGTCAGAAAGCTAGAAAGGCCGATCCTTTGGTGACATGGAGGAGGAAGGTAAATTCAAATACGACGTGACGTGTAATACAACTATTGGAGGAATCTGTTGATGGCTTTTAGTGGTCGTTTAATTGACTGACAAGGCAAAAGAGAGGGGCCAAAAACTCAAAACTTTGGATTTTGTATTCAGTGCAATGATTTCGTAAATGTTAAAGTAGTATTTCAATTCTGCTGTATACATAAAGTAAAATACCAAAACGAAATGCATGTGCGATGTAGGGTTAGTGGCATTGCCTCTCTTTAAGGCTTTTTCCTTTTTCCTGTAATAAGGAGCATTGACATCAACTCGTTCATTTTATACCCAAAAACAAAATTATTTCTTTTTTCCGCGAAAACAGTGTCAGTGTCTAATTTTCTTTTATTATTTCATTGAATTGTGTATATGTACGTATAAATAAATAGTAGATTAATGAGTTTGTTGGGTTGGTTTATGGGTGTGGCATATGGTCCACATATTATGCATAAAAGGGAGCCTCCGAACTTCTACATTTAGTAAAATTAAGCTAGAAGTGTTAATTCTAATTTTATTGAGCAACTACTTAATTAACCTGAGGGTTAATTTTTGTATAAAGTATTGTGGCATATTATCTGTAACTTAGAAAGTTTTTAAGTTACAATGATTGCTACACATGACAAATTAGTAAGAAAAATAAAACAACTCATTATATATCCAGGTATCCCGTATCTACTAGCCACTTACTATAAAATACTTTATCCGGTTCCTGTCTAAGAATATTTTTTCGTTTTAGATACTCCAAATTTAAAAACACTTTAGAATCGTACGAAATTTATATACATAATAACAATTTATCGAGCATTTTAATTTTACTTTTTCGTGAATGTACAGAAGCAATCTAATGAAAAGTCTCGTTTATAAGTTGAGTAAAGAAATAACACTTATTTTTAGCGATTCGTTTATAATTTTAAAATAGGTGACTCACGGAAAGTGAAATTAATAAAAAAGCTGTTTTGGCACATTTGGTATTGTAAGCGAATTGGACCTTAAGGTTGTAAATTAGAAACTCCGTTTTACGTGATGTTATTTTAAAACCTGAAAAAAAGTGAACAACATTTTCGTTTGTCTGTTTTAGTAGAGGTTTCTGTTTGTTCTATGCAGTGTGTAATTTTCCTGTAACTAATATAAGATGTTTTTTTGCTCTCTTTAAAGTTTTTATATATCTATCAATGAAGAAGTTGATAAAAAGGAAGATTATTTATTAAGTATGATTAGGTGGCACGGCGATTGCCTCCCTAATTCTAGACACCAAAGAACCATCTTAAGTGAATGACAATGGGTGAATAGACTATTTTTTTAAAGCCGAAGAAAAAAAAAGGCGAAGTATTGATGAGTAACGGATAAGTTTTCGACAAAGGTACTATTTTAACCACTAGACAATACTAAATTTGCCGATATCGATGAGTAAAATGTCTTTTTTTTTGTGGTTCCTGGTAATTTTAATATCAACTAAACCCTGTTCAGAGAAAAATACAGAATACTTACTTACCTGTAGAATTGTTTCCAGATGTATATTAGTATATTCCAACTTTTACATGCTTCCCTTCTGGTTTCACTTTCATAGATGATAGCAGCCCAATCCTGCATAAATAGCACAAATATGATTGTTGTTAGATTACGTAGATTAAACTGTAAGCATTTTGAAGTCTAACTCTTAATTTTTTGTTATCACTGTTTTATCAACAACATTGAGCATACTGGACAGGTACTTGAGAACCAATGACAAATCATTTTTGTGAATCGAAAAGCTGAAATTTTTACCCATAATTTGCCTAGATTTAATACCGAGTTTTGATTGATACGTATAAAGAAAACAAATATTTTTTCTAGTAGGGAACTCAAATTTCGAAGCAAGACTCAGTTTCTCAGAAAGAATCACTATTCAATAGAATGAACTATACACATGCTACAAAAAGTGAGGAAAACCAAATGATACCAACCCTTGCTTATAATACAAAAAACAAATATGGTCATTCATGATTTCATTAATGTTAAGACACAAGGACAAGTTATATTTTTTTTTTGAGAAAAAGGTAATGCATCTCCAATAATTAGTGCCAACTAATTCCAAATCACTAAGCCGGGTTTTCTTTTAATCAAACAGAAACTTTACTTCAAAAGTAAACCCACAAGAGCTGCTTTAGTTTATTATTTTTTTTCCTGGTGTTTAGTGGCCTACCACTGTAATCCCCAGTAGAAAATCCAAACACAGTCTGGACTATTCTGTCATTCACTTTTTTAAATACAGGACTAATTTCCAAATCCTAATACTTGTATCATCATCATCCATTCTCCATAATAATGGAGAAGAAACCTAACCTAACGCCTACAAAAGTTTTTCTCTAATATTATCAAAGACCAAATCAAGTAATTACCCTACAAGCTTCACAGGCTGGAGTTTCCCTAGGAATTGTCTAGCTTATTATACTTCAAAGTAAGGAACAACTTGCATAAGAACAGAAACATGTCATAGTAAGATCTAAAACCTATCATTTTGAGAAGCACAGAAAACAAGCATGCTAAATATATGAAACAAAGCAACAAGGTGGGGTTGCATTGCACTGTATCAAAAAGGGCTACGAATGGAGCACATCAAAATAGATTAGGACCTAGAGACTTAAATGCCACAGAAGTGTGATCCAGAGAAGAGTTTTCATTTAGATTATAAGATCAAATGTCATATCCGTTGTCCCAATAAAGTGTAAGGGATTATTTTTTTTTCCCTCAACTGTAAGGGATCATTTATTGCTTAGGAATGAGACTAACCAGCAGCTTAATAGGCCAACTTCTGAGACTAGTAGGTTTGGGCCTAACATGTGCACGAGTTTTAACTTCCAATCATATGGCCTAGGATGTGAGATACTCTACCACATACGAATTTACTGAGATATCTGTACTACTGTGCTAGAGGATGTGTTTCAATTATTCAAAGAGAACTGTGAATTCTTAAATGAATAAAAAAAATCCAGACCTGCTCTTTCCTTTGGCAGAAACATCCCACACTATTTGATTGAGAAATGTCACAGTGATGAGGTTGCAGAGATACTAGAAGCCAACTCAAAATAAACAGTTGGTGCTCATAAACAGAGATGCAACTTGAAATGATAGGTGAATATGAAAAGCAGGATAGATGAGCTGTTATAAGTAAATCAGTATATGCGACCTCAATCCTATGCAACATTGGTATTATTGTTATGAAAAGGAAACCAGTATAGACGTAGTAAAGGTAAGAAATCTACAGTGAGTAACCTTACCATTCATATAATCCATGGACGGACAGTGATTTGAATCCTTCAAGTTGGAAGTGGTCCATTGTAAGCAACTTCCTCTCCTGAGCAGACGGAGACCACAATCGCAGCTAAAATAGCCCAAAGGATAAAAGCCAAAAGCACAACGCGGAATTTCCCAGTAACAACTCCATCGATCCAGTGGCTTTCTTCAGAATCCTCAACGGAATATATCAGTTTCTTCAGCTCATTGATCTCCGCGCGCAAAGACTGCACAGAAGCAGGCAAGTCTACAATTGAATGGATCCGATCGGTAGAAGAAGCGTCAATGTGAAAATCCTTATAAGTAACGGTTGAAACTGGAGATTCATCAGCCGGGAGAGAAATCTCTGGCGTTGATAACAGGTCTAGGCTCGATCCTTGCACAAAACTCTGAAGAGAACAGCATAATTCGAAAAAATCAGACATTATCAAAGCACAGAATGGCTGCGATTCAGCTAGAAATTTTCTTATTCGTTTTTCAATCAAACATCAAATCGATTCAATTTCAAAAAATATAAATATCTGATCTGAACGGATCTGGAGGTTTGCAAAGCAACATAACTGAAAACTCCGATGGAAATGAAAACGCGAGAGACGCATACCTCGGCTTCGGAATCAGAAATCGCCCCAGAAATTTGAGAGATCGGAGTAAAATCCATTGGATCTTTCGTACTTTCCGATGATAAGTCGGAAAAGGTTGCGCTCTGTCTCTTCTCCGCAAACTTCAGTCGAAACAAGGAAATGTGATTGGAATCTCAGTAGTACGGTAGAGGAAGAAGAAACAATGGCGATTTAAAGACGATGCGATCAAATTACCTTTCGATATTTCAGCTCAGAATCCTTGAATCTCTTAGTTCCAGCATCAGATGACCGCGCGAAGTTTTTCCTGGGAATTTGAATTTCCTTCATCCCTCCAGCGTTTTCAAATTCGGGACTAGTGAGTTTTTCGCAACTGTGAACGAAAGATATTTGTAGTACGCTATTTCCATGGGCTAAGAGCCGATCACTGTTTAATTAAGGCCCAGCCCAATTTATATCGGTTTTCGCTTACCAGAAGATCGACCTACTTAACCGTCTGATTTTTGGTTTTCATTTTTTTGGTTCGGTTGAGGCTCGAAGGGAATAATTAACCGAATCAGAGTTGTTTCAATTTGGACGAAAGGTCGAATTGGAGAGATGTAAAACGGTTCATTAGTGAAATTGGAACGGTTATGGTATTGTTTTATCCGGTTAGGATGTGGTTCAAAAACACAGCAATTGGAGGACAGTTTCTGTTGAAAAGTCGATAGCTTTTTGCCTTTAGGGTTTCTAACGTTGAAGCTGGAAACACACTCAAAATCTCTGTAGCTACTTCATCCACCAAAACTCAAGAGTTAGGAGAAAAGGTAGAAGCAATGGAGGGAGCAGAAGAAGCTGGTGCGGAGATGACGATTGATTCAAAAGATTTGCAGCAACAAAGCAAAGCTTTCGACAAGCTTACCGATCGCGTCGAGGATCGCCAGCTTGATTCTTCACGCGTTCAATCGGTTTGTTGCTCTTTCTTCTTCTGTATTGACTGATCAGTTTTTCCGTAGTGGTATTTCTTACTTGGGAAATTGGAAAATCTTTCTTTGTTTTAGCTCAATTAGTAAATTAATTGGCTTACAAGGTCAATACTTGTAAATATCGTGTTTCAGGCAATGGCTTCGATTGCTGCTTCTAGGGAGGCTGATCTAAATGCTAAGAGATTGAGGTAAAATTCTTAGCTTTTTGGTGTTGTAAATTCTGGATTCACAAGAGATAGTAGTTGATGCCTTATATTAGTTGTGCCGTACTAGTTTTTCCAAGAGAAAATACAGTGAGATGCTCAAATGAAACAAGTGTCAGTATAGTAGTAATATGTGATTCCATGTGATTTATATCAGCTTTTGGCAAAGATGTGAAGATAGGACTAGACTTTTCACATATTATCTCTTGTGTCGTATTTGATTGACAAATTGCTGGAACTTTATGCAGGGAGAAGGAACTGGCTTCTGTTAAGATCAATGCTGCAGATGTAGAGATTATTGTAAACGAACTCGAGGTTAGCTTCTTCTTTTGTTTGTTACTATAATATTTTTCCATTCGTTATTCTTATGGCTCTGTGCAAAAAGTTCTGAAGCTTTTCACCATTGTAAACGAGCAGATGGAAAAGAATGTGGTGGAGAGAACTCTACGGGAGCACAAAGGGGATGCGGTTGCTGCAACTAGGGAATTGCTTTCGCGATATCCTCTATGATGGACCAAGACCAGCTTTTACTTGCAACTTTTTTTTGTGTGTGAGAGGTTGAGACTGAGTTGAGACTAAGCTTCCAAATATTTAACTGAGTTGAAACTGTCTCAGAATCACTTGCATTGCTGAATCAACCTCTTTGAGAAGCCCTGAATATAGATACATTCGATTCTGTGGCGGTCTTTTACTTTTCTATCTGAAGTTCGAAGTTTCAATCTTATTATCAAGATTTAAGATGTTGTTCTTTTTTTTTCGTTGGTCAACATTTTTTGTTCCTTATTTGCTTGGTATTGGAGCTGCAATAAACCGTTGGAATATTATAGGAACATTGGCTCTTGCAAAGCGATACAGATTAAATTGAAAGTAGCCCGTGTTTCGGAATAGTTGCTAGAACAAAGCTTAAATGCCCCAAATGCCAATATTTGTCTGCTCCAAAAGAAAGAAAAAAAAAATCCCCTAATGATGTCGCTATATTCACTTCCCTTTTTGTCCTCCCTATACAAAAACACCAAATTGTTCGACTCCGCTTCATTACATACATGTATTATGTATAAGGTCTGCATATAAACATATGCAAGCATACTCTCTTGCACACCTACCCAACGAATACATACTCAAGCACGTGACATTTTGGCAATCAACTTCACATCAAATCCCTTTCACGCACTTGCTTTAAGCCTCCACGACAGAAAGATAGCAAAAACCAATCACCATAATTACACTAACCAACCTGAGCCATACGTTTCTTTTGGCAATTTGTGTAATGACCCGAACACATCACACATCACTTACTGCCTGTTAGAGCAGTCCCAGAATTCCAGTGGCTGTCTCTGCTCTTCAGTCTCCTCCACGTTGTAATTACACTTACTCGCTCCTACTGCTCAAAAACAGGCCAATTCTCTATCTTTTCTTTGCTTTCATGAATGTTTTTGAGTCTTCAAGTGGCGTCAAGCAAGGCAGCACGATTAGCTTGTGACTGTATTGTATACTTTCTCTGCAGGTCTCTTAGTTTCTCCATCAGTTCTTGGAATGTGGGTCTCAGCTTCGTATCGCTGCAGTGTTGTACAAACCAAAATAGAAACACATATTAATGTCACCATTAGCTACCTGTGACTTGTGCAGAACATCTCAATCAAGGAGAAGCGTAATAATTAATGGTTATGTTCTTCTAGCAAGGATTATGCGGCATGTTAATTTACCTGTGCCAACAGCTCTCCATTAATGAGATCCAAAGAGGATCAATGTCCTTTGGAATTTCCAGCCTCTGGTTCATGAAACCCACAGCTCCAATCACCTGTAGATATTTCAAAATAAGCATCTCGTCATATCCGACACGTGCATGTGTATATATGCATGATCAATGCGGCGAGACTGAAAAATGGAAATTTTCGGCAAGCAGAATGGTCGTGCAATGGAAACAGGACATCAAATTCGTAGAGATATTGCAAAACTATGCCTTTACAAAGGCTAGATTCTAAACAACACACTTCACTTGTATGTATCTACACACATTACTTTGTAACGGTATCTATGGTTCTTGGTTCCCACCTGCTTAATGAGCATAATTCTATGGTTCAGTACAATTATTTGCTAAGTTGACGGAAATGAGATGGATCTTATCGAGGTTCACCCTAAAACTACTTTTTTGACACAGAGATTCTTGTTATTTTTTAGCTTAATTAATAGAATAATTTATAAGTAAAATTTGCCCAAATTTGATTTCTAGGACCAACTGTCATTTTGGACAAATTCTTTTCATCGTGTGATCTATTATAAAAAAATGATACCTGCATAGAGTTGAGAGTTTCCCATGGAATCTTCTGTGTGGCAAGCTCCCATAGTACTACTCCAAAGCTGTAAATATCAGACCTGTTTCAATGAATAAGAAGAAGTAGTTAGCGTTGAAGGCTAGAAGAACAATAAATCAAGGGCAGTAAACCAAACAGAGCACGGGTATATACTTCTCATCAGCAGATTCATTTCGAAGAACTTCGGGTGCCATCCATTGAGGCTGCAAAACAGGAAAAAAGCCTATCAAGATCATAGTGAGAGGTTGACTATAATTCAGGATTCGTATCAATAAAATAAGGTAAGTACCGTTCCCTTCCCGGACTTGGTGGTTAGGTATGTCTCATGCTTGATACGCGAAAGACCGAAGTCAGCTACCTGTTAGAGATGTCCGGTAAGTTCCAGTTCTATTTTGGAGATATGAGTCTCAGTCTTCCAGTGCGTTCACATACAACGATATTTTTTTATCTAAAGCTTCATTATAGAGAAGCTATATAATCACTATGAAGATGGAAGGTTAGTATCCATCTAGATTACAGGAAACCAAATGTAAGATCAATATCTTACCTTAACGGTCCAGTTCATTCACATAAAACGAAAATTTTTTTTATCTAAAGCTTCATTTTCGTTTAAAAGCTATACAATTAGTTAGAAAATGGAAAGTTATTATTTAAGTCGATCACGGGAACCACACGCATTTCAAGATGAATATGTTACCTTAACGGTCCAGTTCCTGTCAACTAGCAGATTTGACGACTTCAGATCACGATGAACGATGGGTGGACTACAACAGTGAAGATAATTCATACCGCGAGCCTGTGTGAAGAATTATGAATATGCTGGATGAGATGTACGGTGACTGAGTCAAATGGAGGGGGAAAGAAGGATCACAAGACAAATACAAGAGGTAATCAAATAGGGCAGCTCATACGTGGAATTTTCTACGTGCAATCATCATTTCTCATAAAAACATCACAACTCAAATGAATGTATAACTAATACTCACAATGTCCAAGGCCATATGGGTACGACGCCTCCAATCCAGTTTTGACATGTTCCGCTGTAGTAGACGGAAGAGACTTCCACTGCAAATAGTAATTCGAATAATTAGGGGCATGGATCAAAGCTATGGCTTGAAGGCTCAAACATTCAAAGAAAGTGATAGTAACCAAAAGAGATGAGACCAAACCGTGGAAGGAACTCTGACACTATACAGAGGCGCGGAGGTGAAGTCACAGCTCCCATAAACAGCAGCACGTTAGGATGTCTTAGTCTTTTCATCAACAATACCTTAGCAATAAAACAAGACCACATAAATAATTAAGAATTTGGTAGCTGTTTTCAGAAATGATATATTCTTCAGTGAAACGCAATTTGTAAGTAAATGTGCTCGAGTACAGACAATTGTTGTAAAGAATCAATCTAATAATTATGAAATGAAAGACAGTTTATACGTTGTTCTACTAAAAACAAATAAAAATGTCAAATGTCTTTTGCGAAAATTGCACTCGAAGCAATCGTTATTGACGACGGACTAAAAACAATACCTCTTGTCTAAAAGATTGTATAACCTCTTCTGAATATTCTTGTTTGGAGAACACCTTTACAGCTACATCCTGCAGTGATATTACCAGCTCTCAACAAGACAAATCTTTGCAATTTTTTTTTTGGTGTTATAAATCAACAAATGCATATCCTACAATATCACCAGAAGCCAAAAACTTACAGATCCAAACCAGAGACCGTGATAGACAGTTCCACATGAACCTGTAAAATATAAACCTGCATGTTAGCAGTATGGAAACAAAATATCACCTAAAAAATATTAAGGTATAAAGAATGAATATGTCTGGCAAACGAGATAATCTATTCAAGAGAATAAATTACCTTGTCCGATTTGTTCTCCAATTGTCAAATCATCCCATAAAATTTCATATTCCAAGGAATCACTATCAGTATCAACCTTGTTCATAACACTGCTGGTACTTTCGCAGCTGCTAGCGCTACTTGTGCTGTTCGCATTTAAAGAGGAAGACCACAAACTACCTCCCTCATTATTGGTAGGCTTATTACTTTCAGATGAATGGCTTTCAGGCTTAACACCAGAAGAGGGATTAATCTGGAGAGACTTTTCTTTCTCTTCTTCATTCTGTACCGAAGGCCATACAGAATGAGTAGGCCTTCCTTTTGAACCTTCCTGCTCGTTCTCTTTCCATGGCCATGACAAACCTTTCTTTACCATCCATTCTTCAGCTCTTGAGGTGAGAACTTTACGGAGTGCAGGCTTTCCATCACTCTCATCACTGGAATCTTTAAAGGGTTTTGAAAGAAACTTTTCATCGTTACATGTGAATACACCAAAAGGAGATTGGATAAAATCCCCTCTTGGTGTGCTGGCACCACTTGATGCTGCATCGTCCCTGTGGTCAGACAGAGTAGCACTGACGACACCATGATCTGAATGATGACTATCCCCACTGCCCCCCTCAGAGAGTGTGGCACTACTGTCAGATGCTCGCATTTTCGACCTGACCTTATTGCTCACCTTTGATGCCTGTGATTCTAGCACTAGTCAAAATATGCAACAGCAAGATAAAAGATGAGAGTATAGTATACAACCTAAAAACTGAACTAACCAAATCTGATATCTTTGAAGCTAAAGCAACTTGTATCGGCTGATCAGAGTCAAGGCCAAGTTTCGATATAACAGCTCCTCTGGAGTGCAAACCAAGTTTAGAGGCAAAGCTATTCCTTGCAGGGATAGTGCTCATGTCACCTTCTTCTTGCGCCTTTAATTTAGCCAAAGAGGTTCTGGGGTTCAGAAACGATGCCGTGTTAGTTGTGATACAAATGATCCCTATAAGAGCAGCGTCATCATCATAGAAGGGGGAACATGTAGTGACAGCTGAAAATCTCTCCCCTGATTTTTTCTTGACAGGAAACTCGCCTGTCCAGCTCTCTCCACTGACACAACGTTGAGCAACATGCATCGCGAAGACAGCATTCCGATCATCTGAAATAATATTAATTGGGTTCTCCCCAAGTGCTTCTGCAGCAGAGTACCCATAAAGCTTTTCGGCCATGGCATTCCTGAAACAATCATGTCATCGAATTGGAATCTGAAGACATAACAGATTACAGAAAATACTACAAATGAACAACGCAAAACCATAATGCAAACCGTCTATCAATGAAATCACGTCTTTACTTCCCTAATTAACGAACGAGGGTTCCCGAATATACAGGAGTCAAAATCCAGAAACTAGCATCTGAATTCTGAACAATACAGGACGGCATAAACCTGCATTCACGAGATAGAAACTACTCACCAAAAGATAATTCGCATATTTAGATCGAATGCATGAACAGCTTGTGCCATCGACTGCAAAATATTCAGGTAGTGTTTATCCGCGAACTTCCCGGCCGATGGTCCTCCGCCAACTCCTCCGGCTCTCAAATTCATCGAAGCCTGAATACGGCTCTCCTTCCGCAACGGCGAAGCGTGACGAAACGAGGCGGAGCCGCTCTTCCTCCACGCAGGAGCTCCGTCGCCGATGTATCTCCTCGCCGGCCGATGCGGCGACACGGAATGCGATCTCTGCCTAATCTCGGTGGATACCTTGAGCCTCGACATCTCCTGCTTCAGATGCTCTTGACTTTCCTCTAGCTCCAGTATCTTCTTCAGCAGCAGTTCCGCAGGTGGAGTCTCCATTGCGCTCGAAAAGAACCAGAACACGGAATACAACGATTCCTCCGAAAATGGAAATCAAATCTGAAGCAGAGCGAGTTGAATCGGGGATCGTACGACGAGTGGTTGAGCAAAGCTGTTAAAGCATGGTCAAAATTCTTCCTCAAAGGAGGAAGAATCGAAATAGGGAATGATTTGACTATAGAGGATAGATTGACTGTCTCTCGCTCCCTAAGCGATGATAGATACACAAAATTTCTCTCTCTCTCTCTCTCTAGAATAAAGAGAAAAAATGGAATTGAAGAATTGACGAAAAGAAACGTTCTATCGATGGTCCCAAGCAGTCAATAATAATGGAAACTTTCCTCGCTTATCTTTGCTTCTTTTGATTCGCTTTTCTGCCTGTACGTTTTTTTTTTATATTTTTCCTTTTCCACTTAAATTTTTTTACTGAAATTTTTTGGCGGTTTATTTATGAGCGTTTCTTTATACACACAAATCATAAATTTCTTGCGGTTCGTTGTATTTAATTTGGATAGATTCTAAAATACAAAATCTGGAGAAGAAAAAAAATCCTGAATTAGATTGTAAATGTTGATTCATGTTAAATTAAGTAATTTTCTTTCCATTGTTCCATATAAGCTATATTTTTATTTTTGTTTTAAAACTATATTTTAACAGGAAAATTTAGAAAAGAACAAAAGAGATGGATACAGGTTGATTAATTTATTCCTATAGTTTTTGGGGCCTATGTTTTTGTGATCAATATTATGTCCTATTTTATCATTCTTCAACATCCACAATACACTTATCATGAATAATTATGTCAAATACGATGAAACAAAAAACAAAACAAAAACTATCATGGGAAAAAAATTAATATGTAAAATTCGATTAGTTTATAAGCAACCTCTGATTAAGATATACATGCGGACACAATTTAGGGCATTTATTTATGCATGCATAAGTCAGAAAAAGTATAATATATGAGTATACGGTATGCATATATATCTATATCACTTTTTTTTTTCTTTCAACATATATCACTATTTGCAAGGAAGCTTAGATTCGATGTGGAAGTAAATCTTCATAAATGTACAAATAATTAGAAGCATGTGTTGAAAATCAAAAAGATTTCATGTGGTGATCTTGACGACTCTTCTTGTCTGTTTCGCAATAAGACGAAGTGGTTTATATTATAGCACCCAGCAACACGTTAATTAACTCATTTTATCAAGCACCAGATGATCACATGTTTCTTATTGCACCTAACTCATTATATGATTATATGAGTGAACATGTTTCTCTGTAGTTTTTTTTTGTTTTTTTCTCATCGCAGTAGCTAGAATCGTTGATTATAAGTTTAGAACTGAAGATCGGATAATCTGTACGTCGTTCGTACATGATTGTAATAGCAGAGTCAAATCCTTGAAAAAACTTATAGTATCAGATCAGATAATGTGAATTTAAATTTTTGTACTATTAAGGAAGAAAGAAAAATTTTGCTTTGTAAAAATTCTTGATAAAAGTTTGTTGTAGCAGAGTTACCTCGTCTTGGGATGCATTCAATTTCAGGACTTTATAGACTCAATTTCTGTCTTTTGGCATCATCTGCGTGTCTACGTTAAGCTGAGCGGATGAGAAATATTTGAAAGAGAATATATAACGTGTTCAAACTTTTTAACTTTTAAGTGTAATCGAGTCAAAACAAAATTAATGAATGATATCATTGTGATATTTAATTAATAAAGCCAGTGTGGGTTATTTTAATGGAAATTTTGCACACAAAAAAAAAAAAAATAACAAGTTCAAAAAGGTCGAGAAACTTATCTGAATTTAATACTCCTTATTTTAATACAAACGTTTGACCTGAAATTCTGAACAGAAAAGAGGAGGTTGGCCGGTTGTAATTTATGGGTACTAGACAATTTGTTGGTTAGGCAGACAAAAACAAAAATACAATCACTAAAAATATCACAACACGTAAGAAAGTTGCAGTGTGTAGAAGACTCACAACTATGATCCACAAGCAGCGGAACTTCTATACTCTTCTTTTTTATAGTTCTATTTTATATGTTACCTAATATATAACGCCTACATTAATATATTTTACCTTGCATGGATGTAATTTATACGTAGTTTACGTATCAGTATCCACGGTGATCTGGAGAAAAAAAAAATCTTGTGTTTGTGTGAACATTGATCTAATGACAAGACATAAACTAAATATAAATACTTTTTTGTATGTTAACAGTAAATATAAAAATCTGGATAATGCGTTGGTATCTTTCGTAATACCCCGTCATTATCTGATTATCACTAGTAACAGTTAAACGAACATGTTTTATTAAGTCGCTTTTTTATCAAGTTAAAACTTAATTAAAAAGGTTCAAATCCAAAGTTATATTTGAAGAAAAAACATTCAAAACTTTAGAAGTTTAAGACAAAATAGCAAGATTGAAAAACAAAAAAGGTTTCATCTTGCCGCCCCGCCGCTTCAACTCCAGAAGTAATGCAGTCGTTATCAAAGACTAATGTATGTCGGCCAAAATATCAGCAACTAACTTACCTTTTTGAATTGAAAATCATATTTCCTTTTCCTAGCTGATGTGTATCATATGCTCTTCAGTAATAAATAAATGCGTACTTGCTAAGGTGGTATGAGTTTCGGATAGTATTTGGATGATATCAATTCAAGTAGTTGGTTTCTTTTATATACCTAAAATATTCAAAAACCCACCATGAAAGAAAAAAGCTCCATGTTCTAAAATTACAGAAGAACCCTAGAAACTTGAACAATTCCAATTTACGGAGTAGACCATCATTTTCCTAAGATACGTAATTTGTTGTTGACTTGGCTTTTATTTGGATTTGGTGACACTTTTATTGGCTTAAATTTAATTATAAGAGTACTATTGATACGTGATAGTTTTAGATAACACGACAGTTATATTATATTGCAGTTAGAAGCCGTTTATAATGTAAGAAATTTTACCAAGACGATGTGAAAAATACCAAAAACTGGGGACTTCGATGTAATAATAACCAGGAAGTTATGTGAATTTACAACGAAAACATACTGATATTACAGATAATATTCAGAGATTTAATAACTTGTTCTTCAAGACATCTTCCCACGGGTCTCGGTACAGAGGGTGCTTCAGACTCTATCTGATCGAATGCGTGCCTGCACCCATTTATGAACAAGATGTATGTGTCCGGTTAGGAGAGCTACCCCGATTAAACCGATGGATCGAGCGAGGTAACCCATCTCTTGTTTAGTGAGCATCCCACTTACAGCGAGAAGGTCCGCGAAGAGCGATCCAATGGCTCCGTCGTCTCTGCTCTTCATCCTACAAAATACCAATAAGATGTAAGAAAAAAAATCCCATAAGAGAAAAGTTCTGTTCCTGCTGCTCAAGTTGTCAGAGCGCAGAGTGGGTCTCACTAGCTAACAGTATATAACATTTGTGTCAGGACATGGAAAGATGAGCAAATATATGAATTTGGTACAGTAATGGGGAAGACTACGTTTAAACCAGCGGAGAGAATCCAATCTCCCACGCCATAAACTTGTTCATTGACGGAAGACATTGGCACACCAGAACAGCATCCATTGTTGCTGCTCAAACTTGTTCATTGACGGAAGACATTGGCACACCAGAACAGCATCCATTGTTGCTGCTCAAACTAGACCATTTATCTATCTTTCTTTGCGTTTATGAACAGACTTTGAGTCTTGAAGCGGTGAATTGAGGAACATAATGGCATAAGAGGAAAGGGTGTAACTTGTTTAGTTGTCCTCGAGGAGAGGGTTGTCAAGTAACCCAGCACGAGTCGCTTGGAACTGAATTGTATACTTTCTTTGCAGGTCTCTTAGTTTCCCCATCACTTCTTGGAATGTGGGTCTCAGTTTTGTATCGCTGCACCGTGGGACAGACCAAAATAGAAACACAGATTCATGTCAGCATTAGCTGTGAAATGCGAAGAACTTCTAAATAAATAAAAGAATCATAATAATTAAAGGTTTACATTCTTTTAACAAGGATTATGCGGTATTTGATATGTTAATTTTACCTGTGCCAACAGCTCTCCATTAATGAGATCCAACAAGGATCAATGTCCTTCGGAATTTCCAACCTCCGGTTCATGAACCCCACAGCTCCGATCACCTGCAATTTCTCTTCAATATTTCATTCGTGTATGTATGAAAGAGGGAGTGCAGTAAGACTGAAAATGAAAAAAAATGGTAAGCTGAATGGCTGTGCAATGGAATAAGAACATCAAATTCGTGGAGATGTTGGAAAAATATCCCTTTAAATGGTTAGATTGTACATAATAAACCATGTTGAAAAACGCGGCCGCCTAAACTTAATAACACTTTAAAGTTTAACTATTTGGCAAGTATAATTGTTTTTTATGGTTCTTACATTCCTAATTAGTAAAATTTAATTGTAGAGATGGTGGGAATTAGATGGATTTTACAAAGGTTTACCCTGAAACTAAGCTTTTGACATTGTTATTTTTTAGCTTAATTGACAGATAACGAAAAGTACTTGATAAGTAAAAATTAGGCCAAATTTTGAGGTTTCTAGGGCCAATTGTCGATCGGGTCTCTGTCTTTTTGTCGATATATCTATAATGGTACCTGCATAGAGTTGAGAGTTTCCCATGGAATCTTCTCTGTGGCAAGCTCCCAAAGTACTACTCCAAAGCTGTAAATATCAGACCTGTTTCAATGAATAAGAAGAAGTAGTTAGCGTTGAAGGCCAGAAGAACAAGAAATCAAGGGAAGTTAACCAAACAGAGAACGGGTATATACTTCTCATCAGCAGATTCATTTCGTAGAACTTCCGGTGCCATCCATTGAGGCTTCAAAACAGGTAAAAATCAAATCAAAGACCACTGTGAGAGGTTGACTATAAATCAGAATTCATATCAATAAAATAAGGTTAAGTACCGTTCCCTTCCCGGACTTGGATGTTAGGTATGTCTCATGCTTGATACGGGAAAGACCAAAGTCAGCTACCTGTTAGAGATGTCCCGTAAGTTCCAGTTTCATTTTGGAGATATAAGCCTCACTCTTCCAGTTCGTTCACATAAAACGAAATTGTTTAGCTTCATTTTCGTTTATAAGCTATACAATTAGTTTGAAAATGGAAAGTTATTATTCAACTCGATCACGGGAACCAAACGTATTTCAAGCTGAATATGTTACCTTAACGGTCCAGTTCCTGTCTACCAGCAGATTTGACGACTTCAAATCACGATGGATGATGGGTGGATTACAACAATGAAGATAATTCATACCGCGAGCCTGTGTAACGGATTAAGTAATATGCTGTATGAGATACGGTGACTAAGTAATATTGGGTAGAAAAGAAGGATCACGAGACAAATGCAACGAAGCAATCAAACAGAGCAGCTCTTACTTAGAAAATTGTCTACGTGCAATTCTCATAGACCATAGAAATATGGTAAACAATTGTTAAAAAGAGAGTATAATTAATACTCACAATGTCCAAGGCCATGTGGATACGCCGCCTCCAATCCAGTTTTGACGTTCTCTTCTGTAGTAGACGGAAGAGACTTCCACTGCAAATAGTAACTATTGATTGGGCCCAAGGGGAGCTATGGCTTGAGGCCGAAAAAAGCACAAAAAAAAAGCGAGAGTGGTAACCAAAAGAGATGAGACAGAACCGTGGAAGGAACTCTGACACTATACAGAGGCGCGGAGGTGAAGTCACAGCTCCCATAAACAGGAGAACATTAGGATGTCTCAGTATTTTCATCAACGATACCTTCACAGTAACACAAGAATAAGATTAACTTAGAATTCTAACTGTTCGTTCTACTAAAAACCAAGAAAAAATGTCAACTGTCTTTTGCTAAAACTACACTCAGAGCAAATCATTATGAACGACAGATTAAAAAGCAATACCTCTTGTCTAAAAGATTGCATGACCTCTTCCGAATATTCTTGTTTGGTGAACATTTTTACAGCTACATCCTGCTATGACATTAGCAACTCTCAATAAAACAGATCTCTGAACTTGCAAAGATTAATTTATTTATTATGGAATAAATCAACAAAAACTTACGGATCCAAACCAGAGACCATGATAGACAGTTCCACATGAACCTGGAGTATATAGCAGAACAGAGAGAGAATATCACATAAAATGATAAAATTAGTAAAATGTAGCAAAACCTATTTAAGAGAGCAAATAACCTTTTCCGATTTCTTCTCTGATTGTCAAATCATCCCATAAGATTTCATATTCCAAGCAATCGCTATCTCCATCAATCTTGTTCATAACACTGCTGTTGGTACTTCCGCAGCTATTGGTGCTGCATGTGCTGTTCGCATCTAAAGAGGAAGACCACAGACTAGAAGCCTCGTTATTGGTAGGCTTATTACTTTCAGAGGAATGGGTTCCAGAGTTAACACCAGAAGAGGGATTAATCTGATGAGACTTATCTTTCTCTCGTTCATTAATTACCCAACGCCATACAGAAGAAGTAGGCCTTACTTCTGAACCTTCCTGCTCATTCCCTTCCCGTGGCCATGCGTGACCTTTATTTACCATCCATTCTTTAGCTTTTGAGGTCTGAATCTTACCGATTGCAGACTTTCCATCACTCTCATCACTGGAATGTTTGGAGTGTTTAAAAGGAATCTTTTCATCGTTATATGTGAATACACCAAAAGGAGAATAAATAAAATCCCCTCTTACTGCACTGGCACTACTTGATGCTGCCTCGTCCCTGTGGTCAGAGAGAGTAGCATCAGTGCTACCCTCAGACAGTGTGACACTACTATCACATGCTCGCATTTTCGACCTGACCTTGTTGCTCACCTTGGATGCCTGTGATTCTAGCACTAGTCAAAATATGCAACAGCAAGATAAAAGATGAGAATATAGTATACAACCTAAAAACTGAACTAACCAAATCTGATATCTTTGAAGCTAAAGCAACTTGTATCGGCTGATCAGAGGCAAGGCCAAGTTTAGAGGCAAAACTATTCCTTGCAGGGATAGAGCTAGTTTCATCTTCTTGCGCCTTTAATCTAGCCAATGAGATTCTCGGGTTCAGAAACGATGCTGTGCTGGTTGTGATAGAAATGATCCCAACGAGAGTACCCTCATCATCATAGAAGGGTGAACACGTACTGACAGACAAAATTCTCTCCCCAGATTTGCTCTTGATAGGAAACTCGCCAGTCCAGCTCTCTCCACTGATACAACGTTGAGCAACATTCGTCGCAAAGGCAACGTCCCGAGCATCTACCATAACATCAAGTGGGTTCTGCCCAACTACTTCTGCAGCAGTGTAGCCATAAACCTTTTCGGACGTGGCATTCCTGGAACAATCACGTTATCGTATTGGAATCTGAAAACATACCACATAAAACAAGAACGCACATCTTATTCCAGAATTATTGGAATCAAATCCTGATTAACGTGAACGAGGGCTTCAGATATATATAATTAAGGATCAAATCAAGCAATTGTGACGGTGAACAATATAGGAAGCCATAAACATGGATTCACAAGATCGAACTGCTTACCAAAATATTATTTGCATATTTAGATCGAAGGCATGAACAGATTGTGCCATCGACTGCAAAATATTCAAATACTGTTTATCCGTGAAGTTCCCGGTCGATGGTCCCCCTCCACCTACTCCAGCTCCGGGACTGATCGGATCCTCGATAAGGTTCTGCTTCCGCAACGGCGAAGCGTGACGAAACGAGGCGGCGCCGCTCTTACTCCACGCAGGAGCTCCCTCGCCGATGTTTCTCCTCGCCGGAAGGTACGGCGACACCGAATACGATCGCTGACTAAGCTCCGACGATACCTTGAGCCTCGACATCTCCTGCTTTAGTTGCTCTTGACTTTCCTCTAGCTCTTGTATCTTCTTCAGCAGCTCATGAGTCTCCATTGCGCTCGAAAACCGAAATTCAACCAGAACAGGGAACACAACTGTATCCTCCGAAGTAGGGGATAAATCTGAAGCTTAGCGAGTTGAATCACGGATCGCTCGAGTTGAATCGGACCTTGAACAAGATGCTAAGCCATGGCCGGTTGGAAGAATTAAATATAGGGATTGATTCGACTATGGAGGATTCATTTCGACTATGGAGGAATCATTGACTGAGTGTCTTTAGCTTCCAAAGATGCAACGATACACTGTGTTTCTCTCTCACTAGGCGATGAAATTTGACGCGAGAAACGCTTTACTATCTCAAGCAGTCAACAAATGAGGAGGTTGTCCGGTTCTATTTTAATTGGTACACGACAATTTCTTCTTGGTTACGCAGACAAAACCAATATTTAATCTCACTTGACATGATCATATACTGTACTGTACGTAAGAAAGATACCGACATGTGGTGTGTTTGTTTTCTCCTAACTTTTACCTATAATTGTATAAATCCACAAACAGAGGGATTTCTAGTTTTCTACATTCTTCTTTCTCATAACTTTTACCTATAATTGTATAAATCCACGAACAGAGGGATTTCTACATTCTTCTTTCTCAGCCTTTGTTTGCATACTAACTAATAATCCGTAAAATAATTTATCTTGCATGAGTGTAATATAATCAGAGAGATTAACTGACTATAATTTTCACGTACTGATTTGCAGATGAGTTGTTGTGTTTTGTATTGATACCGATCTAATGATGAGACATTAGCCAATTTTCAGCAGTAACAGCAGAATAAATATATTTAAGCTAACAGATTCAAACAAAACTTCATCAACAAATTCTATCAAACCTGAAAATAATTAAAGCATAAAAATACGATAATTATAAGCAACAAACCATTAAAGTATGGTACAAGTATCAAAGCGAAGAGCATTAATTCAATCTTCGAACAAAATTTTATAATATCTATTAGAGAAACATAGCAAGACTGATAATAAAATATATTTAATCTCGCCGCCCAACCGCTTCAACATTATAAATTGCAATGGATACCTTAGACTAACGTATTTAATATTTCTTAGACTAACGTATGTCGACCAAAATATCAGAAACTAACTTACCTTTTTAAATTAAAATCATATTTAATATTTCTTATTTTTGGTTGTTGATATGATCGTGATTAATAAAGTGGCGTAAAAGTCGAACACCCAATTTCCGGAAGTAGAACACATTTTTTTCTAAAATAAGTAAGTGCTGTTCTTCCATAATCTATTACTTAAAGCTAGGTGAGTTTATATGTAAGAAAATTCTCTAAGACGTTGTAAGAATACTAAAAACTTGGGCACTTGACTTGGGTTTAACCACCAGGAAGTTCAACGAAAAACACAGATAATCTTCAGAACAGATATATCAAAAGATAAAACAAGAGAAAAAGCCTAACTGGAGGAGAGGGAATAAGAATAATATTGATGAGAAGAAGTGATAATGATCTGATGACTACTTGGTGTACAAGACATCTTCCCACGGGTGTCGGTACAGTGGCTGCTTCAATCTCTTCTGGTCGAATGTGTGCCTGCACCAATTTAATCACAAACAAAATTTGAGAATCAAACCGAATCAATTTGCTTCAAGAACAAAGATGAATGCGTCCGGTTAGGATAGTTACCCGATTAAACCGATGGATCGAGCAAGGACGAAGAGGCCGTTGAGATAACCAATCTGGACGATTTCGTCGATCTCTTGCTTAGTGAACATTCCACTTCCAGCGAGAAGGTCCAAGAAGAGAGATCCTATGGCTCCGTCGACGTTGAGTACGAGGTTGTTGGCTTTTGAAAGTGTGTACGTCTCAACTTGGACTGCGTATTCCATATACTTCACCGAAGGGAAGTTAGACCGTGCGAATTTCTGAAGCAGCTCCACTCTTTTGTCTCTGTTGTCTCTGCTCTTTATCCTACAAAATCCCATTAAGATGTAAGAAAACATTATCCCATAAGAGAGATGTTCTGATTCTTCTGCTCCTACTCAAAACTGATTTATTCCTACCGGTGACCAATTCCAGGGACACGGATTCCTTTCTTCTTCATGCCTTCCACGAATTCATAAGGCGTGAGACTCTAAGAAACGATAAAACATATTTGTATCAATTATATTTCAATTTCAAGAAATGGTTGATGCAGTTGCAGTGCGGGAGAAAGGGGTTTTTACCCTGTCGCAAGCGTCCTTGAAGTACCTTGCTGCGTCATCAATGGCACCACCAAATCTTGGACCAATTGTTAATAGACCTGTTTGTTGGAATTATTATATAAGCAAAGATTATTTTATTATAGCAAAGTTCACTTGGAGTAGACTGTGAATCTAGATGTTAAACTCACCTGAAACAAGACTGGAGACGAGGTCTTTTCCTGCTCTTGCTGTTACGATGGTGTTGTGAGCCCCGGAAACGCATGGACCGTGGTCCGCACACAACATTATACATATCTGATCATAGATTTAAAGTGCCAGAAAGCAGAGTCCATATCACTAGCTAATAGTATTCAATATTCGTGTCAGGGGATGGATAGATAAGAAAAGATATCCAACCTCAATGAATTTGGTACAGTAACTGGGAAGACTACGTTTGAACCATAAGAGAGAAATGACATCCCCCACGCCATAACCTTGTTCAATGATGGAAGACATTGGCACACCAGCATAGCATGGTTCCTCCCCTGCAGATTACACTCAGAGATAAATTACTTTTGTTTACAACAATGTTTCCTGTTTTAAGCGTGATAAAATGGTCTCGTTTCAGCAGAATAATACCCCTGTCATCAGAGATGGTGGAGATGATGTGCGTAGGAGCTCGGACTTTCCCACTCTTAATTGCGGAGCTGAGATCTTCGGGGATTTGTGGAGGAGTGACTTCCTTAATAGGAGACACCTTGCCTTCTTCAACCTATGAAAAACGAAAAAATGAACATACGATCACAACAAAAAGAAATGCAACCTAAGAGCATAATTGATTGGAGACTGACCAGTTTGTCGAAAGTTTCCTTGATTGCAGATTCTAGGGCTTCAAATGAAGTGGGTACAGTAGCTCCAGCGTCTTTCAGTGCTTGATTCTTGGCCTGTGCAGACTCCATCTCTCCACCACTTTTCGCTCCCTGATTCAGGTTATGTCAAATAATGGTTTATGCAGGAAGGTTAGTTTCCAGAGTTTATCTAATTTGGGTGGCACTTACTGCATGACCAAATTGTACTTCGGACTTGAAAAGACGTGCACAAGTCCCGCTGACCCAAGCAACCACTGGTTTGGTGATTTTTCCCTGTTTCAACGCTTCAACTAGAGAATATTCATCTCTCCCTCCAAGCTCTCCAAGTACAACCACCATCTTAATCTTCAATATTTTTTACAAAGGAAGTTTGGTGTTAAAAACATTAGTTAAATGAGAGAAGGAAGGTCAGATGCCTTATAATAGCTTCATATCTAGTTAAACAGTAGTAAAACATAGTTCCGGTGCTATTCAAAACTGTCAGATGAAAGCCCAGTGTGAAACAAAATTTAAAACTTAAGGATTAAATTACCTGTGGGATGTTATTAAAGCGGAGGATATGGTCAGATAAAGTGGATCCCGGGAACACATCCCCACCAATAGCAATTCCTGTAGCCATCCCAGAAAGTAAACTCAACTTCAGAATTGATAGACATGAGGATACCTCATTAGCAGATTCTGAACATAAAATAGAATATCACCTTCATAGATCCCATCTGTCACACGAGCTATGGTATTGTACATTTCATTAGACATGCCACCCTGCAGAAAAGAGAGAAGGACAAATAAATTCTCAGATTAAGATACAAAAGAGGAGCTTCTGCAGGCTACAAAAGAGCAACGAAATCAGTACATACAGATTTCGAGACAAAGCCAACAGATCCAGGCCTGTACAGTTTGCATTGGATGATATTGTCAATTGTTCCGGCAGTGTCACCAATTTTAAAGGCTCCAGCTTGAATACCTCCAACAGTAGCTGGTCCAATAATAACCTGTAACAACCAATCCGTAATAGAAGATTGATTCAGAAAGCTCACATTAATTAGAACAGATTGATATGAACTAGTCATCTTAGGGAATCGAGTTCAGTTCAGTTTTAAATCAATCACCTTATTGTTAGCACGAGCATACGCAATCAACTGCTTAGTATCTGACTCCGGAACACCTTCTGCTATTATGGCCACTACTTTAATAGTTGGCTGCTTCAAAGCAGCCATGGACGAAGCAGCAGCACTAATACAGAAGGAGGAGAGAAAAAAAAAAAGCATTACAAAAGAATCACAAAGAGAGACAACTTTTATGGAATAAAAACTACACTAACCTTCTAAACGATGCAAAGTTGATGAATACATCTGCTGTGGGATGCGCAGCACATGCTGCCTCAATGCTGCAAGAAACAGAAACAATGTTGATATTGTCTTTTTTTCTCTATCGAAATGAGATCTAACTTACGCTGCATGGACAGGGATGGCGATTTCTTCTTGACCAAAAAATAGCTTTTGGAAACCCTCGGAACCTGGGTTAATGATACCAGCAACAGAAGGAGTTTCTCGCCCTGAAAAGAGTAAACATAAATTAGAGCCAAATTTGATTCGAGAAATTAACCGTAAAGTCAGCTAAAACCAGGAAAGAGATTAAGATCAAGACAAAGAAAACGAAGCTACACTCACCACAGAGGAAATCAAAATCAAGCATACGCTGAATGGGAAGCTGTTTATAGTTGTAGAACAACGCTTGTGTATTGCGTGAAAATAGCTGCCCCGTCGCCATGTCTCAAATCAACCACTTGCATTACAAAATTCCATTTCAATTTACATTTCAACCTCGTACAAAACAAAATCTATCCACTATCGAATCATCACTAGACCTCTAGCCCCTAATCCGCAAATCGGATCGGCACTTTTTGTTTGAGAGAGAGAAAAATACAGATCGGAATCGAAAGAAACACGGATCTGACTCTTGAGATCCTCAATGAAAATTTAGAAAGGCAAAGACAAGAACACGAACCTGGTCACCTGCTGAGTCGAGCGAGACAGTACCGAAGAATGTTAGGTAGAGAGTAGATTGCTAGTTGGAAGGGAACGCTTCAGAGAAAACCAAAAGATATCTGAGAAATGGGAGGGAAACAAATGGATCAGCTCAGCTACCACAGAGAGAGAGATGGAGAAAGAGATGAATATAGAGTGTAAAGGTGGTCACGTGGCCCTTGGTAGTTAGCTCACAGCTCCGGATCTCCGATCCAAGTTGTTTTTTTTTTTTTGTTAGTTCTTTGGGATTATATAGAATTTAAGTAAATAACACAATAACGAGAAAATTTCTCATGAAAAATAAGAAAGGGAAATGTGACAAAAAAAGGTATTAGGATTTTCTACTTTTTTTTTGTTAAAATTTACATTTAATAGATAATTTATTCATTTAAATATTCTACTTTTTTTTGTTAAAATTTCTCAATCAATCAGTATTCGCAAATTTTAATTTTCTACCTGCTAATATCTTACTATTTCACATTATGCGTGGTTATTGGTCAACATTAAAATTCAATTTTATAAGATAAATAAAAAACTAAGAATCCATCGTGTGTTAGGGTTTAAGGAGTTTTCGTCTTCTGTCACTCCCAAATTTCTATGGAGATTTATGCAACAGCTCTAATATTTTATTCTCTCGCATAATGAAATAAACAAAAATCATTCTAGTGTGACAATCTGAATTCTTCACTGAGTTTACCTGCAAAGTAATGGATTCCACTGATGACGATTTTGGTGAGTTGTACGTTGATGACAAGGTTCAGGCGAGTAATGCCTTCGCCGACGATGTTGGATTCGTGAAGCCGCCCGAAGAACCGGAGGATGCTCCGATTTCCGACGAGGACAAGGGTTTTGAAGGGACAGAGAAGCCTGAATCGCAAGGTGAAGTGGTGGCTAAGGATTCGAGTCGGACAGATTCGAATGAAGAATCAGAATACAGTGACAGTGAAGATGATTTGAATATAGTGCTGAAAGACGAGGGTTCCAAAATGCTTCCTAGTGCTTGTGGGTCGAACACCAACAATGACGAATACGTCGAATCATCGCAAACTTGCTCGTTTCAGGAACGGAGGATTGGAAGTTGGGTAAGTGTCCGCGATTGAGTTTTAAATTTCTGGTGGCATTTTATTCTGCAGTATATGCTTTTAATCTCATTGTTCTGATGTATTCCTTTCCAGTGCACAATGCCAAATGGTGGGATGGTTAATGGACGCATGACGAGGGAAGCTTCAGCTAACAATGCCTGGATGAATCCGTTTCTAGGAATGCCTCAATCACATACTTGGTCCAGGTTAGTGACATTTGATCCATGCGACCGTAGTTTTATATAATTGAATCTGGCTGAGAGGAACAATGGTAAAATTTGTTTGAAGATCATAATATTTACGGTGATGTGTGTTTCTTTTATTCTCAGGACAACTTTTGATGCAAATTCCGATGTGTTTGAGAAGAAGCCATGGAGGAATCCTGGTATGGATATCAGTGACTTCTTTAATTATGGGTTTAACGAGCAAAGTTGGAAAGATTATTGTAAACCGTTGGTAAGTAAACATGTTTTGATCTTTGATGTCAATGTCATATCCTTGTCGCAATGACGTATTTGGTTTGATCTTGATGAGCTTCTTTCCGTTTGAGTTAAAGGGAAGAGCAATTGAGGTTAAAGGTGGAACTCACGAGCGAATATCATCTATGGATTTGCGTTGTCCACGTGATTCAGACCCTGACGTGGTGATACAGGTCAGATATTGACTGATACTTGGTTGTTGTTTCCCTTATTTTTTTCATCGTTGATTGGGTATGTGAAACCAGATCCCAGTCACTGATGATGTCAATGAGCTATCAAGCGTGACACCTATGGAAGCAAGGTCTCTTAGCATAACATCAAATAAAGCTTCTAGAAGTGAAGAGTTACATTCAGTTAACGGAAAGGATATGAATTCATCTGGTGATTCAATGAGAGAAGAGCCTTCTGTGGAGTGTGAAGACGAAAACACTGGAAGTTTCAGAGGCGAGCAATCTCCTTCGAAAGAGGATTGCTACGGTAGGGAAGGAACACCTTGTGATAAGGAAATTATTGAGCAGGAGAAAGAAGAGACTTGTTGGAATTCTGTTGAGGCGGATTCATCCTCAGTGGAAAGGGAATCATCTCTTGGAGATCACATTCATTTTAGCCCTATATCTTCCTATTCTGTGGGTAAAACTGAGGAGTCTGAAGATTCTGAAACAGAGTCATCAAAAGGCGGTGCTACTGATGACCAGTGTGAAGTCAGTACACCACCACGACGAACTAGATTTGTGGAACAGGAAGCAAACAGTATCAAAAGTGGGGAAAGGAGTGGTACAGAGCATCCTAGACGCAGAAAATCTTACGAAGATGCAAGCGAAAGGCATTTTGAAAGAGCTAACTATGGTGTAAATAGAAGAATACAACATAGAGTTGTTAAGGATGCATCACCGACACCAGATCCTTATCTTGGCAAGAAAGTGTCTTCTGGGCGTGGAAGTTTGTATCGTGATTCGAGCAAAAACCGGCAAAATGGACCATTTTCTACTTTAGAAAAGTTTGAGACTGAAGGTAAAGGTCTTCGTCACTCAAATAGAGAAAATTGTCATGGTTGCCCATATTCATCTGCAGATCTTGATCGAGATAGAGAGCACAGGTTTGGTTGGCGCAACAACAAAGAATCATCACAGGGCCGTGGGTTTGATCATTCTAGTAGTTACAAGTATGCGACACGTCTGAAAGACTATACCTCACGTTCAACCTTCAATCTTAGTCAGAGAAACTCTGGATTAAGTTTTAAGGAAGATGAGGATAGATATGGTAGGCAACATTGTGAAAGAAGCCCTGGCCTAGCCTATGAAAGCAGCAAAGAAAGAAATCGATATGATAGGCTAAGAGAACCTTATTATCAGGACCGTATTCCATCAACTGACATGGACTATAGGTACCGGTTTGAGTACTCTCTTGCACATGGAAGACATCGCGAAAATGATCTTCACTGTAGAAGAAGGGGTGACTACGATTATAATTTTCATCGTCATAGATACGAAGATGAAGTTCACAGGGCAGAAAGTGAAATTCCATTTGAGCTGGCTTACAGGGACGTGCATTCTTTTGCTGAAGTGGGAAGGAGAGAATTTGAAGGGTATGAAATAAATGAAGAATTCTCGGAAATCGATAGAAGACACCATTGCAGACCTGATTGGCATCTTGATAGTTTTGTCTCAAAGAAAGATGGTTATAAATACAGAATCCAGGATGATTGGCCATCAGCATCTTTATCGTTGAGAGACTCTTTGTATACAAAAGGATCAAGAGGTGATTCATGGAGAGATGATACCAGAGACTTCACAACAACGGAAGCATATGAAAGCCAGGATAATCAGTTGTATAAAGAAGCACTAAGAGATGGTTGGACGCGAAATCTTGTTTATAACGATAATGTGAGCATACAAGATAGATTAAGGTATGATGATGATTGGATTCGTCGTGATAGAAGGAGATATCAGTTGGAAGATGACATTCAATGTTCAATGAGAGAAGTTCCTCATTTTGAGCATCCATCATATACTGATGAGATGCCAGTGCGCGGTATAAGGATATCAAGACGTAATCGAATGTCTACCAAACAAAGGCTTGGATATTTTAAGAGCAATAATCACGAAAGTGATGAAAGACATCACAAATCCAAAAAGATGAGAAGAGATGGGCAAACTTTCGTCGAGTGTCAGGATCCGGTTGACTTAACTGGCAGGCAAAGGAAGGTAAAAATGAATTCATCTGTATTTATCAAATATAAGCGCCATTTCAGTTTTTTCACATTGAATGAATTTTCTCTGCCGCTCTGATGATAAACTTCAGTGACATGCCTGCCTTATCTTTTTGACTGTTCCTTCTCTTTTTGACTGTTTTATGTGGTTGGATTTCTTCTTTGTTGTCCTGATTTGATCTGTATGATTAAACATCAGCTTGAGTGATATGAAACCTTTTCTTTTTGGTGTGTTTCAGCTCTCTAACCAATCAAGAAAAAGATTCTCTAATGGCGGAGATCCAATAGAACAACGTAAACTAGGTAATGTCGCCAGCAGAAGGAACGAGAAAGTTGATGTGCAGATTCAAAGCTTATATGATAAAGAGGAAGGTGAGATCACAGAAGAAGCGAGAAACGTGAAAGGGGTTGATATAGGCGAGGAGCGAATACAAGAGAGCCTTAAGAAGATGGAGAAACGAAGAGAGAGATTCAAGAAAACCGAATTCTCGAGGACGGTAGAATCCACGTTTCAATCTCAAGCCAAACCGGGAGCCATAGCCGACGATACCAATCAAGAGAGACCGGTTAGGAAGAGGCGGTGGTGTGCAAGCTAGTAAATATTGGTTGGCTATTCAAGTGAATACAGTTACGGTCCAGACAGTTACGGTCCAGGCGATACACAAACTTTGACTTAGTTTTTCAAGTGATTTTGCGTGTGATTTTTTTTTTTTGGCCTAGTTTGACCCCTTTAACTAGAAGATTTGACTTTGACCAATACTCTGTTACGTTTAGCATGCGAAATCGAATGATATGATGCAGCCAAAGATCGAGCCGGATATATTTTGTATTAGAGCATGGTTATCGTAATAACCACAACACGAGAGTAATTTTTTTTTTTATGATTTGATAGTTGTAATAACCACACAACACCAGACCAATTTCTATCTTTGATGTAAAAACCAGACCGAACTGACTTCAAAATTATAAAATTGCTGACCGAAGAAAATACAATGGAAGCAAAGAAAAAATAAATAATTATCGTCGATATATGGTGAGGTGGAATCGGAGCCGTCGGATAACACGCGGCTGATCAGAAGCGTCTCTGCAAAGGAGAAAAGGGGGCAGAGAAATTCAAACCAGTTTCCATCGACGAAACGACCTCATACGATCCCTCTCGTTAGGCTCTTCTTCTTTCTAACTTCCAGGTCCGCTTTTATGGAGCAGTCCTTGTAATCTTTTCATTATTTTACTTTCGGATTTCTTTAGAAGATCCGTTTTGTTATCTGATTGGCGGGACATGCTTTGCTCCGTTGCTCGAAATTTATATGCACTTTTTTATCGAGAATTGCAAAATTCATGGATCTGGTGTATTGCAAGTTAGTGTTGAAGCTATGGAGACGAGATAGGAACCTTGTGATATGCGTTGATTTATACAACTTTGTCATTTTCAAATCGCGTTTTTTTTTTTTTTTTTTTGGGTTGTGGGAACTTCATAATCTTCTGTAGTTTTGATTTCACGAACTTGTAATCGAATTAAAGATATGGAACTGGCACCTGAAAGGCTTCGAATTTGGAGATTTTGTGTATGGGTTACTTGCTTTGGATTGCTTGTCACTTACCTTTGATTTGTGGTTTGCAGAGACAAGTTGTATAAGTCAATTTCTGCGTAATTAAGGTGAAATGGCGAGGATAAAACCTCAGGCTCTTCTTAATCAAAGCAAGAAGAAGAAGACTCCGAGTCGCATAAGTATTTCGACTATTATTGTGTGTAACCTTGTAGTTGCTGTAGTCATACTATCGTTGGTCACTACTTATCGTCATTGGTCTCAGAGGTTTGTTTTCACCTTTCAATTACTTCTTATGTCGGAGATTCTATTTCGACTGTATGTTGCTTATAGCTAGAAATTGCTATCTACAAACGTAATATGATCTTGGTTTATCTCGCAGGTCAAGAAACACAATTGAACAGGAAACCCAGAGTCAGAGATTTGAGGTACTGTTTTGAGAAATTGTTTCAATGCTTGTTCTTTGGGTGATGAAATTTCTGAGCACGTAGTTTTAGAATTTAGGATATATACAGACATTATCTGCCTTTGTGTTTGTGTTTCAGGACACAAATGCTGCATCAGGACAAAAGAATTACGATCTTCCTGGTTATGCTGTAAGTAAAAGCTTGCTTGAGTTTTTTGTCTTGTCCTTGCTCTTATTTCTCCTGGATATACATTCTCAGTGTATCTTCTTATCTCATGTAGGATATAAATACGTCAAAAGGTCTTATAACTGTGGAACTCTTTAAAGAAGCTTCCCCCGAAGCTGTGGACAAGTTTCTAGATCTATGGTTAGTATCATAATTCGTTTGTTCTCTTTCAAGCTAGATAAAAAAGAACAAGTATATGAACATGATTAAGCTAGGTCATGATTTGTTCTCAAGTAGGGGTCGAGTAACTTCAGTTTTTTCGCTGATTGATTTTAACCATCAAGTCCTATCATTCTCTTATTTGGAACATAAAACGTCACAGAAGAGAAACAGGCTGAATCACTATGTGACACTATTCTAGCTTAATTCGTTGGTAGAAGTAATACACTGAGTGTTGTTGCAGTCAAAAAGATCACTTCAAGGGAATGCCGTTTCATCTTGTTATAAAAAACTACTTGGTACAAGCTGGTCACTCCCCGAGCTCTATACCTGTTGAAGAATGGACAGCTAAAGGAAAGCTCCGTGGTCGCCTTCACACAAGGTAATTTTGTTTGCTCTGCGTTTGCTTTACTTAAGAGCATCGTCTCTCTTTGGTTTAAGATCAAACTAAACCCGTGTGCTGTTTTTCAGCCCAAAACATGAGGCATTCATGTTGGGGACACCAAAAACCAAAGGAAACAACAAGGATTTTGAGCTTCTGATCACAACGGCGCCAATTCCGGATCTGAATGATCAGCTTATAGTGTTTGGAAGAGTCCTTAAGGGGGAGGATGTAGTACAGGTTTGATCCAACAAAACACACTCTCTTTTCAGCTTTTATGGTTTGTTTTCATATGTCAACGATTAAATCATAATTATTACAGGAGATTGAGGAAGTTGATACGGATGAGCATTACCAACCGAAATCGCCGATAGGGATCATTAGCATTGTACTGAAAAGAGAAATATGAAATGAAAACCTTTCTTCTTTCTTCCTCTGTAAATGAGGCCCACGCCAAATATTTCTTCATGCTCACTGTTTGTATCATCCCTCTTTTGAGGTTTTTTTTTTCTTTTATATTTAACTGATAATTTCTTCTTGCTTTGTAATTTTATCTAAACTTTTCTCGAGGAAAATAGCATCTTTTGTTTAATTAATACGCTTCTCCTTTCAGACCATATTTTGGTTCTTCGTGAAGTCTTGGACTGCCCAGTGGACATTAATGCAGTGTAATGGAAGACAAAAAGTAAAGTCAACGGTCTCGTTTTTGTTCTAGGATCAACATTCAATTTATACGCGCTCTAAAATATTAGGCATCCTATTAAAGAGATAAAAGTTGAATAGTGGTTCCAACTGTTAACATTTGTTCCTTGCATCTTAACTTTGTAAAAATATCAAACAGCAAAACTTTTACACCCCATAAACTTTTGACAACAAAAACAAACCGATTTTTCTTCCTTTTTTCCTTCAAAATTTTAACATATGATTCATCAATCACAGAAAAACAAACCGATTCATACTTTAAAATTTCGTATCGTAAATACATCGTTAACAATTTGGATGGAGTAGGAAAATTTTGAATAATCGCTTGTTTCTTATATAGTTGCAATGTCTGCAACATACCGAAAGTTACAACCAATAGGGACATACAATCGGTATCATGTACCGACCAGTTATTACATTTATACCATATAACTATATTAAAAAAATGACAGATCAACAATACGAAATGAAAGTTCTCAATTCGAGCAACATGAGAGATGACGAATCTGTTACTTCTCCTTGGAGAGAATCACAAGAGAAGACGAAGCTCGCATATGATTAATGTTACCTTGGATCCCACCATGCATCCTCTCCATCTTAGCTTCAAATTCCTTGAGCTCCTCAAGAGTAAGATCCTCAATAGGTCTGTTAAACCTCTCTTCTCCAGCAGTTTCAAGCCAAATCTGAAGATTTTCGCCTCGTTTCTTCTCAGCTTCAGCTTCTTCGATGATGGAGTTGAGACGTTTGCATATCATCTTCTCTTGTCTAGCTCTGTTGCCTCTTCTATAGCCTGATCTTTCACAGCTGTCTGAATCTTCGGATTCGTTCATAAAACGCTCTGCAATCAAATCAAAATTCGGTTTCCCGAAGGAGTAAGGCTTGTTTCCAGGAGAAAAGACAACAATACCAACCTCGGCGTTGCACAAAGTGGCAAGCTCACTCGCTTTCTTGAACAAACCCAATCTACGTTTCGAAAACGTTACTTGCTTTGTGTTTGTGTCTTGCACTTTCTCCATCTTAATCTTTCTCCTACCCATTTTCTTTCTTTTTTTTTTTCGTTGATGTTGATTGTAATCTATCTTTGTTGTCTATACTATTATATAGGAAGAAGATTTATTTTTTTTATCAGTTATTTCTTCATGTATTTATAGTAATGAATGTGTGGAGAGTTTTCCATTGAACCTCATCATCATATTTAAGAGTAGTTTTAGTAAGTCGTTTTTGCATAATTACATATTAAGTAAGTCCACTGGTGAAAATCTTTTATTACCTTATAGGAGCATTGAATAATTTCTATGTATTCAATCAATATCCATAGATATTTAGTTATTATTAGTTTTTTTTTTTGCTAGTGGACCTCTTATTAACTGGCAGTTTAAATTACCTAAAGAGAATTTACAAGTTGACAAAAGAATACCTTTTTTTACCAAAATAGTTTTCTTACACCCGAAAACAACTAAACTAGATTGAAAAAAAAAACCTTCTATATATAATTCCATTTTCAATATTAAAAAGTGTTTTCGAAAAAATAATCTTTACGTATAATATAATTTAGCATTATCAAATTAACTTTCACAAAAGTGATAATATCGTTTATGAATAGAAAAAAATATAAAATATATAATTCAATACTTCTATTTTTATTTATTTTCAATCCAAATGAATGAAGATGAGGGGAGCTAAGTTCAGTAAATAAAAATCTTCTATCTATATACTTATTTGTCTAATGATTTGTTTACGTGTCGCGTTCACAGCAATTTTCACCGTTCGTGTCAGCCCTAGAATGAGTTTTGGCCGCAAAAAAATCGTTTAACCTTATTTTCCAATTACGTGTCATTTTTTAATTGGTTCTCATTTGATGACGTGTCAAAAAAAACTTAAAACAAACCGATCTAAATTATTACGGTTAAATGCTTAATTCTGTACTCAGTCAAACCTATATACTTATTTGTGTAGTGATTTGCTTACGTGTCGCATTCACAGCGAATTTCACCGTTTTTCGTTTACGTGTCAGCCCCATAATGAGTTTTGGCCGTAAAAAGACCGTTTAGCTATATTTTCCAATTACGTGTCATTTTTTAATTGGTTCTCATCTGATGACATGTCAAAAAAAAACTTAAAACAAACCGATCTTAATTATTATGGTTAAATGCTTAATTCTGTACTCAGTCAAACCGTTTTTAAAATAAGGTTAAACCAAAATTAGGCAAAAAAAGAACTAAAAACGTTTTTATTTAAACGTTTCTAATGTCTTCAGAAACGTTTTTCAAAAAAAAAAAAAATTTACCATTTCTAATATTTTCGAAATAATCAAAAATCTAACTAAAATATTAATTAAAATTTAGTATAAATATAAGTCACTTTTCACTATTTCTCTCAGAACTTTTACAATTGTTAAACATCTTCCTTCTTTTTCATTCAAACCGTTTTAAAATTTTATATTAAACCGAAATTTAGAAAAATTAGACAAAAACGTGTTTTTAAGTAACACAAAAAACTAAAAATTTACCATTTTTTATGTTTCCGAAATTTAGAAAAAATCTAACTAAAGTGTTAAAAGAAACAAAAATTAAAATAAAATTTAGAATATCGTTTCAAAACATAAAAAAAAAAACAAAATTTATGCTAAAATATCGTTAATTATTATAGTGTTTACAATTTTTTATGTTTATAGCGTTTTCGATTTTTATAATTTTTATAAAACTAAATTTAGTAAAAATCTATGAAAAAAAGTAAAAAAAAAACAATAAATAAAAACTATATGTCCAGTGAAATATCGTTAATTATGAACATGAAAGTTAGCAACTCAGCTGATGCATGTAAATGCAAAAAGTGCTTAGTAATGGACATGAAAGTTATTTGTCATCGGTCTTTAGTGGCTCTTTCTAGTTCTGCTCACGTGAGAGCTCTGATCGGTAAGGAACTTGAGGACATCGATTAATGATCTTAGCCGGTCCCAGATGTTGAGCCCATAAAGGGTTTCGACTAGTGCCTCCTGGAATTCAAATGCGTTTTCTGCTACAGGGTACTGTCATTTGACCATAATGAGAAATGTTAACGGATATGAGGATTATCAAGATAGAGTTTAGAATTTTTGTTATTAGTTAAAGAATACTTGCCTGAATAGGTTTTGGAATCTTGGTTTTGATGAGTGGCCAAAATCTATCCTCAACCACGGATTTTACAAGACAGCAAGCTCTTAAACCTTCTATGCCAGCAAACCGTCCAAACCCACTATCCTTTACACCTCCAAATGGGAGCGACTGCAAAATTAAAAGAGACAAAGTCCTACTCTTACCCATGGAAATGATAGTTCACCCTTTTTTTCTATCTTTCCCAAAAGTAAAATCAGTGATGAGTACCTGGCACATGTAGTTTGATGCAAAGTCATTGATTGCAGCAACGCCACACTGAATTTGTGAAGCAATTTGTTTGGCTCGACGCTGGCTTCCAGAGAAAACAGCACATCCGAGCGCATAACGTGAATCATTCGCTAGCTTGATGACCTCTTCATCGGTGCTGAATTGCATGATCGGCATTATTGGTCCAAAGGCCTGATTCTCACACATTAATAAAAATCTTAAGAACTCGTGTATGCATTTTGTGTTATGCACCAACATGCAGCAACAAAAGTAAGAAGTCTATGAATTCCGAGCCAATGATGGTAAGGGTAAGGTTATGTACCTCTTCTTTCATTATTTTCATATTGTGGTTTACATTGATAAGAACAGTTGGAGGGAAATACTGATCGACTGCATCTTCTCCCAGATGACCAAAGCTTCCACGGACTGCAATTTCTGCTCCTTTGTCTAAGGCGTCATTAACAAGGCTCTGTAGGTTTTCAGAGTGCTCTTGCAAACATATAGCCCCCATGTCATACCTCCCACTTAGAGGAGGACCCTGATGTAAACGAAGAATTAAAATAAAACAAGACTAGCATATTGCATGCGAATTTCAGTAAACCTCCTCTGTGGCTTACAAATACTAGGAAATATAGGAATAGGATTGAAGGGTGGTGAAAACAAGTGAACAGCTACTATGCCCATTTCAACATACTTATGAAGAGGCTGGAGTGAAGATGAAAAACAAATCACAGTAAAACTAGGAATCAAGAACTTCCTGAATTTCATGGTTGTATTAAAGATCAAAATAAAATGCCCTGAGAATGGTTATCAGTTTTTGTTTTTTTTTTTGTTTTTGAGTTAACAGAGCACAGTGCACTTACAGCAGAAACGGACTTCACAATCTTGGTTACTTGGCTAATGAATGACGTATAAATGTCTTTGTGAACATAAAATCTTTCAGCACCCGCACAGTTTTGCCCGCTGGACTGAAGAGTGCCCCTTACAGCCACTTGGGCAACCTACGTTGTACAATAGAAGTGTTAGTTTTATTGAAGGAAAAAACCTCATTTCCAATAAAAAAGAATAAGAACACAGAAGAGACCACAATGACACAGAAAGAACACTTACATGGGAGACATCTGCGTCTTCACATATGATAAATGCATCTTTCCCACCAAGCTCAAGCGTGACAGGTGTCAATGTCTCGGCCGCATTTCTCATTATCTGCAACATATTGCTTGAGCACAACTCATACTAAACAGATGTGAATGAAGAAGGAAGTCTGCAGACTATACCATCTTGCCAACAGCTGTCGACCCAACAAATATCATTTTATCAACAGATGAGACAAGTGCTTCTCCGGTCTCCGCAAACCTGAAAAGAATATGTTCTTTTGAGGAAATCAATTTGATAACAGCATGCCAAGAAGAATTGCATAAAATCTACATATACCGACCCTGTTATCACATCAACTAGATTTTCAGGTGCTCCAACCGCAGCTAAAGCTGCCTGGATAATGCGGAAGTAAAAGCATCCTGACCAGCTAGCGTGTTCTGAAACCTGCAGAAAAGGTTTTGGCAACCATCAGAAACATATATATAATCTCCAACAGAAAATGCATTGAAGAAAACTAATCAAGTTCCTCTCAATGGTCGCACTGTCCATGATGTTGACATCATTTAAACAGTAACATGTAGGCCAATACAAGATGTGAAATACCGATGTATGGCATAGCCTTTGGAAATATCAAATCGAAAGGGTCAGCGAATTATAGTAATAGAAAAGACATTGCAGTTATACCTTAATAACAATGCCATTCCCTGAGAAGACTGCTGCCAGCATAGGATTGAAAATATTGTGGAACGGATAATTCCATGGGACTATAGCTCCTATGACACCAAGGGGATGGAACTCTACTCTTGATACTTTATGAAGCATAGCTCTTCCTGAAGACCTGCAGACAAATTAGATCTGAATTGAAATTCATATCCATGTAACAATCAAAGGAGAGCTGTAATCAATAATACTGATATATAAATAAGCTATGATGGAAATACCGATATTCAGGCTTTAACCATCGTTCACCCTCCGAAAGAAGCCAAGTAATCTTCTCACAAGTAGTCATTATTTCTCCCAAGGATGCATCGACCATAGTCTTTCCAGTATCACGTGAAGATACTCTAAATAAACACGACAATGTCTCGGCATCAATCGGAAAAGAAAAGGTACAGAGGTAACATGTATATCAACAGAGAAATGAATCCTTACTCGCATATAAGCTCTTGGTGTTCAATAATGTACTTGAGAAGAATCCGCAAGAACTGCCTTCTCAGCTTGAAGCTACTTTGAGCCCATGTTTTTTGTGCCTTCCTTGATAGTGTCACTCGCTCCTTAACCTGACACACAAAAAGTGTAAAATGGATTGCCTTGAGAGAAACCTTCGAGTAAAGTACTTCTCGAAAAAAATAAACAAACAATATTCCCTTCACAAAAGGGACAGAAGCTACAAACCTCAGCGGGCGACAGAGCGGGGAAGTATCCCAGATATTTCATCGTGGCAGGTTCATAGCATTGAACTTTTTTGTCTGACTGTTGACTCCTTCCTCTTGGAGGAATCTAAAGATCATGTCACAGAGAGCTTGTGATTCAGTGTGCTATTTCACAAGAACAGCTATCACAATATATATCAACTGTAGTGAGTTAACCACTTGGATTGACAAATATGGAAATCAGAGTTGCTTTCATAATACAGAGATGAAGTCCTAAACCAAAACAAACAGGAGAATATATATATATGTAAGATCAGCAGCTTAAATTTCCTATCACTCCAGATATATTTAAACCACAATATATATGGATGAAAATGAGAAATGATGCGATCGAAATAACTCACATAAATGAAGCTATTCTCCTCCGTATCTTTCCCATGAGCCAACACTGTTTCGAAAATAAAATCGTTCCATTAATCACACTATCGATAAGCTTGTTGTACGGATTGTTCACAAAAAGGAACAACGCAGCAGTGAACAAAGCGAGCAAAGCCATAAAATGAAACAAGGAGCCGGTACAGACATAGAGGAAAAACTACCATCGGATGCGTCTACGTCAATGGAAGGGACGTTGGGAGGAATGAGCATAAGAAGGAATCTGCAGATCGCGTAAGCGAAGGCGAGAACGATCAGCGGCCACCAGAAGGGCATTTCTTCTTCACTTGCTTCAGCTAGGGCTTCTGGAGAATTAGAATTCGCCGATGAATGATAAATCTCAGAGTCTCCGTTAATCGGAAAATGGGAAATAGGAATCAACGAAGAGCAGAGATTAGATTTAATGTTCTCTCATCTTTGAATCGCCTTTTTGTTTTCTAGTTTTTGAGTCCACTTGGAAGTGAGAGGATGGCACGACTGGTAATTCTTGGAAACTCCAAGGGTAATCGGAGAGGAAGGATTAATCCAAGAAAGTGTTGCGTCATTAAAACGAGAGCATCCACGCCAAGAACGTGTGAACACACAGCATCAAGCGCTGTATTTGCGTTTGTTAAACCGGGTTAAGCTAAATATTTGAACCGATTGGTCCATATTATTATTTCAAAGACTAAATACTCCTCCTGATAAAGAGGGGTTTGAACTCAGACTCCGTTAGCTTCTTTGTGAGTGCAACCATTGCAGTAGTTATGCTTGTCTCAGCTTCATCAACGTTCTGGATTGTTGCTGGATTTTGACGTCGAATATCCAGGGCAACTAAGCATTAACTTTAGATATTTCCTTTTTTTGTTTAATAAGTAATCGTAATCTAAAATTCTAAATATAGTAAATTTTATATTTTATTGTGGAGCATTAACTTTAGATATTAACGCATTGCTTCCACAATTTCTCTCTTAAAAATATAATCAATCGCATATATTGTAGACTAGACAATATATATAGTAACTCATCAAAAGTAACTAATACAAACCTTGCCTCTAATTATAGTCAAAGTTTGAAGCCCAAACCCATTGCTAAAGATCATAAACATAAGTCTATCAACAAAAATCCTTGTTAAGTCATACACTCATACTCCATGGATGATATCAATATCTTCAGTCAAATTCTCCACTCTTTCACCCACCAAATACCGTTCATCGAAGACCAACTGGTGAAGGTAGATAATGAGATGGCGTGCTAGCTTGGCTATGAACCAGGCCACTATCAAGGTTAATAACGCCGGCCATATAAACCGCTCAATAGCTGAATTGACCCTTTTCGAGTATCCAAGCAGTGGAAACAGATACTTCCCAAGCATGTAAGGGATGGCCAAAGTAGTTAGAAGCGTGTTTATACTGGAACCGATCACATCTTGAAGCAACCACATTGAAGGAAGTCTTTCAGTTCCCACAGTTCTGATTCTCTCCAACTTTCTTCGCCATGCCTCAGTCGCGAACCAGTTGATAGGCGTGAACATTGTCTGAGAGAGAGAGAGAACAAAAAAAAGAATAAACAAATACATCAGTTGCTCTGCAAGAAAACTGAGTAATTTTTTTAGTGAAATCCTCTTGATGTTTCTCTTACCATAAAGGCCCAGATGTGAAGCACCACTACTCCGATCAGCCAATCTTGGACCAAGAAATAAATCGGTGATTCATCTAGCGGCACTCGTAATGGGATGATGATCATAAGGTCAATGAGTAGACCAAGCAATACCGGTACGATAGAGATCTGTTCATCGGGTTTTCCAAGTTAGTTAGAAGTCAAAATTTTCAAGAGTTTTTCTTTTGGTGAAAATGGAAGGTTTTTCTTACCCAAATGAAGACAAACAATCCATTTTGTATCCTTGTCAAGACATCTTTGAGAAGCAAATCGATTCTTCCCTTCTGAATATGATCATATACAAGGCAAATGCTGATATAGATTGCTACCAGGATATCACATCCAATCCAAAAAGCACAGAGATCTACACAGTCACGAGGTTTTGCAAAAGTGAGACTTAAAAGGTTAGAGGTATGTAAATAATAAAAGGAAAAAAGGCCTATAAGAAACAAGATGAAGAAGAAACTACAACTTACCATCATGTTTGAGTCCAACCCATAGAATGATGAAAGAGACAGAGTCTAAGAATACTCTTCCCACCATAATTGGCAAAGCTAAGAACGTCGTACTAACGATGAACATACTCAGAGCAGCTAGCACCAACATCAATGCAATCCTCAGCAGAAACCTGATATCGTCTTATCACTCTTATCAGAACTATTACAAATTTTTATTAAAAGCTTGTTTGTATCAGTTAATTACCTGTTATCCCTTTGGTCTTTAATATCGTCTTCAGCATTCTGAGATCCATGCAAATTCACCATAGAGCCTTCAGCTAAGGAATAGAACCGAAACCATGGATTACGATCATACGGCAATCTTGGTGGCAACAATGGCCTCACATGTTGATCAGCACGGTGAAAGCTATCTCCTCCTCGGGGCACTACCAGCAAGAAATCACTCAGCTGAAGCCAAGAACTAACGGTGATAATCCACTTGTCAACTATGAGTTTGATAGCTGGTTTGACAAGTTTGATTAACCACTCGTGGTTGGATTTCAGTAGGTTGAAATATATTGGGTATACACCAATCAGATGCTTTTCTTTGGTGACCCTGCGTTTTGTTCAATGTACAAGAAAGTATAAGCGATATATATAAGGTAATGTTCAGAGGGAAGCAAACGCAGCAAGCTTACCAGAGCTGAAGAGGGAAAATTGATGGGCTGATCATTGTAATTGCTTTAATTGGTAAGTGGAACAAAATCACCAACAATACCCCATGACAAGCAAACGCATAGAAAGTGTGACCAAGATATAGTTTGGTGATCTTGTATTCTGGATCTGTGACATCTAGAAGATACCAAAAGGCTCGTTTATGGATGATCTGTCGAATAAGAAGGGAGAAAAAATGAGAAAAAAATCTGATAAAAGACAAAGGTTCCGTTGGGATGAAACCAAAAATGAAACTATTACCTCTGGGATAAGTTTCCTGGAAGCATTAGCAGCCGCCAACCAAGAGAGTCCTGCCAGGCATTGTAGGAAAATCACGAATGGGTCTTGTGAAAAAATCTCAAAGCTCTGGGAGATTTTGGTTCCAAGCATAGGGGACGCGCAGAACTCGAGCCAACATCCGATAATCCAAGGCAGAACAGCAATCTTGAAACAGAGGACTAAAGCATCCTTGATGAGATGTATGTTTTTGCAGGCTTTTACTGAGAAATACAACAAAGTCAACAAGAGACATGGCAATACCAATGTTAAGCCTGCTATGAAGCGGAATCCCAGCGAAAACCACCGGATGATTGGAAATGAGTTTTGACGGAGAATGAAGGGGATTCCAAAGTAAGCAAAGCAAGTTGACAGCGCCACCATGTATCCAAGAATTACAGGTGAGTTTCCGGCTAAAGAGTTGCCTCCAAAATTTGCTAATACAGTCCATCCAATCCAAAAGGGCACAAGAAGAAAGAGGAGAGACACGTATACGCTGATGGCAAGAAACTGTAGAGAACAAAAAGAACTTGTCAATCATCATTCTCCTATTTGTGGTAATTTACGTTAGTTAGGGTGCATGAAGGAAGAGAATTGATGAACAAAGAGAAATATTTGGACTTACAGCAAAGGCATCGTCATTCAGAAAGAAAAGCAGCCTCCGGATAAGCCCACATTCATGAATGAGCGCGTTTGGAGGAACAAGTATTAGTTGATGAGGTAGCCCCAAGAAATGGACGAATTTATGAGCATACCAATCACAAAGGATCTTCATATATTTCCATAAGACCTGCACAACTCCACCAATAACTCCTTGTTGTAGGCCATTCTCAGCGCCAAACCCAACAATGAATCTCCTGACATCGACATCTCCTACCTCAATCCTTATAACAGTGATAATGGTCAGGAAACACACGATCAAAATGCTGTAAAGCAGGCCAGCCCACAAATAAGCCAACTTCCGAGACATCCAAGAACCCATCTGGAACTCTGCAACAACTTCTTGCCCTCACGGATGTAACAAATTGAAGTATGCGTTGAAGAGAATCACCAAAATCCAAGGAACAATCGATTTCATGTAACGTGCAGCTCTCAATAACAACCAAATCACAAACTCGTTACATGGAAGCCTGTCCGGAGCATTCTCGGAGTAAACGGGAACAATAGAGTAGCTACGCCCACAAACCTGCGAAACAGAGGAGAAATCAGAAAGCACACACACTACTACGACATAACGATGAACCCTAAAAATCAGCCAAGTCAAAAAAAAACCTTTTCGGAAAACTAGCAAAGCGCAACAAAACCACATTAACGAGCTTGTATTGAAGATTCTTCTTAGACCCACAGAAATAGGAGGAAATCGGAAAACCACACTAACACATACTTGATAAAAACCCATGTAAAAAAAAATCCCAAATTCGTTGTAGAAACAAAGTTGTTTACCTCGCATTTCTTGTATCCGCGACGATTCAGCCAAAGACGAAGACAATCTTGGTGGACATACTTGATGGAGCCTCGACACAGACAGGGATACCTTAACGGGTTTCCTGGTTCCTCCGGTGATCGACAAATCCGACACAGGTCTTCATCAGGCCGTAGCCACCGACTTCTGCTATCTCCGGCGAAACGTCCATTTTAGGAAATGCTTTTCCTCTTTTTCTAGTCTCTCCCTGAAGCGGCAAAGTGCATAAACCTTAAAACATGAAATTTATATCTTTTCTTTTTTTTTTTTTTTTAAAAGTTAAATACAATTGGCGCGATGAATGCCTCTGTTTGCTTTTTGTCAGCTATAGAGTCTGCAGAGTGAGAGAGAGGGTGACCAAAATTACGACGGTAAAGTCATATCACCACGTGACCACGGTTAAAAACCACATCTTGTTAAAGTCCATTGTCGTATACTCGTATAAGAGAAAACAGTAAGTACTATTTGCGACCAAAATTCCACTAACTTACAAGACAAAAAAAAATGTTTTAAGAATCATAACTTTTTAGCTTAAAAATATCCAATGTTTTTAAACCCAACCCGGACAACTACCCGGAGTGTTCTTCGGGTTACCAGATCACTGGGTTAACCTGAATCAATCCGAGTCAACTATGGATCAACTAAGTATATATATTTGTTATGTTTTTTAATAAATTTTATAATTTTTGTTATATTTTTTCTGCTGTGTAAAAAAAACAAGTTTTTATAAAAAAATTTATCACTAAATCGCATTAATTATTTTATATCTTTTTTAATTATCTTATATCTTTTTTGTATAATTTTTTTAATAAAATTTTAAATAAATATACACTAAGTATTGTGATCATCTTAACTATATCTTTTAACATTTATAATTATATTTTTATTATATATTCCTCTTCTTTCTATTTTTTTTAAACAGTAAATTTTTTACTAGAAAACTTGATATTATAAAACTTACAACTGTATAATGGTGAGAAAATTACAAATCATTCAAAAAAATATAGAAAAACAAACCGTTATTACTACTAAAAACATTAAAATAAAAATATATATTAATTATTTCATAAAATCTAAAAATAATGTAGAAAATCCTAGTAATGTTTTTTGACTTTGCTACCGCCTCATTTTCTTCATCTTCTATTACTCTAAGTGCTCTGCATCTTGTTCTAATTTTGTTTTTCAAAACTATATCGTTTTAAAAAAAAAATCATATATTCATAAATAAAGTTCTAAAACTATTAATTTTTTTTCCAAACCAGAAACCCATCCGAATCGGGTTTTGCCGGTTCACCGGGTTTAAACGGATTTTTTTAGGTTTGAACGGTTTAATAGCATCCGGATTTTTAACAAAAACCAAACCGGGAATTTTACCGGATCGCGGTTCAACTGGTCGGACCGCCCGGTCCTATCCGGGTCTGAAAACACTGAAAATATCTCATCATTTCTTTTAATCCGACGGTGCTAAATAAGCCCCAAAAAAGTTGTTTTCGTACCTTAAAAATTTGAAACTAAATTTATTAATTTCAACCAAAGGTCATTAGTAAGAATTAAGACTTTGAAATGGTGACGGGTAAAGGTAACAGATTTCTAGCTATACATAGAATTTTTAGATTTTATCTACTTCGAATAATACAAATGTTTTTAAATACACGAGACGTTAGTTATCTTTGACGTGTTGATCTATTTTCTCGCAAAACTTCACAATACGAGTTTACAACAACCCTCTTAAAAGAAATGGATATTTCAATTCTGAAAGTTGCTTGAATTCGCCATTTGCGTTCCGCCGATCCCCATTTTTTTTTTTCATTCGTTCCCTTTTATCTTTCAGAACTCCGATTTTTTTCCTCAACAAAAGGGAACGAATTCGGATAAAAAAAAAATGGAGTTGAATAAAACCGTTCGGATCATCGCGATCGTTACGGTTTCTACGTTGGTCACCATCTTCACGCCTGTGGAATCCAAATGGGTGCCGCTCAGCGATTCCTTCGTCGCGAGATCTCTACTCCGTGTGTTTCCACCTTCGAATCCTCTCTCCGAGTCAGAGTCTCCATCTCCAGCACCAGCTCCGGGACCAGTAAGTATTCCGGTAAGTCCGTCGACGGATATTGAAATCGGATCTCCCGCCGATTCCATTTCCCCTTCGAATCCTCCGACGGCGGAGATAGATATGGACTCTCCCGCGCCGTCACCAGAGGCTGCCGCCGATTTGGTTTCCCAAACAGCTAAATCTGCAAAAACGCTTATGAATTCGCCTAAAAACCTCTTGAATAGTCAGCCATTGTTATCTCCTGAGATCAAAACCATTTGCGGCAAAACCGATTTCCCTCCCTTATGCGAATCTGCCATTACTCCTCTCTTAACGGCTCAGTTGAAACCCGACGCTTCCTCCGTCCTTGTTCTCGCGATTCAGGCTTCGATCAACGCGACCAAGGCGGCGACGACCACCGTCGAAAAAGTAGCCGCCGCCGATTGCCAGGAGCTGTACGACGACGCCGTGACGAATTTGGAAGACGCGGTTAACGCCGTCAAGTCACGTGACATTGCCACCGTTAACACCAACTTGAGCGCAGCGATGACGGATTACACCACGTGTAATGACGGTTTTGAGGAATCAGGTGAGCCTAACCCGTTGGCTGACGTGGCCGATCAGCTTACGAAGATGGTTAGTAACTGTCTCGCAATCTCGACGCTGATCAAGTGAAATACGACTGCGTTTTCATGGGTCATGTGAATGAAAAACTGTTGTTACGTTTCTATGGGGATTAAATGGGGTTTGAACATGGTACTACGTCATTTTCGAACATCCGGACATATTTATGAAGAGGTGAAGGTTTAGGCTTTATTATGATAAACCCTAAGATGATACTTCTTGCACGTATCTCCTCATTGTTGTATTGTCATGTGTGGATGTCATTTTCTCGTAAAACAAAGTGATTATAATCTAATATATATACATAAATGTATATGTGGAGATAAACACTGTTTTTTTTTCTGTTGTTGGTGGTGATCCCTAGACAATCTAGTGAAATTGAATCGTTGTTAAGAATGTTGTTTGCTATTGTAAGATGAATACCTCAACAACGTTCGGAAAATGATAGTCTCTTAGAGGAAAAAATGTAAATATGGTTTTAAATATGTTTCTATGGCATATCTTTAATTCGATTTCACATTTAGAGCCCAAAAAAAAGATCTTTAATTCGATTTTGGGGAAAAACTTAAAATATATTACTTATTTACCAAATTAAATACAAAAGCTAGTAAATGCAATGTTATAGCTTTTTGTAATTGGGCCTGAATGTTAAGGGCCTAACCCAAAAGTTCCAAAAATAAATTCTTGTCTAACGCTTTGACCCCGACAAAGAAACGCGGTGCGGTCTCGCCGGGGATATTTAAACGGCACGGCATGGACGGGAAAGAAAAAAAAAAGGAAAAAAAAAAAAAAAAAAGAGAAAAGAGAAGAAGGAGGAGGGAAAATCAGAAAAATGGAGGAGATAAAGATATGGGGGCTAAAGGGCACAAACTTCTCTTCCACATTTACCCTTCAGTTAAAGCCAATCCACATACTTGCGCTCTTTCGAGACACTTCTTCTTCTACTCAATCCCATCTAGGGTTTTTCTCTCCTTCATCTTTGTGCGCAAGTTCGTTCCCTCTCTCTCCCTCTCTCCCGACTCCTGGTTCGTTCCCTCGTAAATTGGTGTTACTGTCGGTTCTTGAAAAATTCGATATCGGTAATTGAGGAGTAGGTGTTATTAGGTGGGTTTAGTGTCTGGTTTCTCGATCGTCTGTTGTGGATACCACTCTAATATGTGATTTGTTAGAAGATGCTATTTTTGATTGGTTTTTTGTGTCAAATTTGAGAATGCAGTGTACAGTTTCAAATCATCTTTAGAAATGTCTCCGTGGAAAACAGAATGTGAGGCTTAGTTTTCTGTGAAAATTGCTTCTGAGTAAACCAACATTTATTATGGCTTTTGTTGCAGATGTTATAGCTCAATTACTATGTATTAACTCTCGGGTCACTGTGTTTAGGTATTCTGCTGCAGCTATTCTCGCGACGGTAGTCCCTGAAATCTGATGATAATGGAGACCTCCGAAGGTTCTGCTTCTACTATAGCTGGCTTTATGAATAGGAGAAGGAGAAGCTCTGTTATTCGCCGACCTCGCGACATAAAAGAGAGCTTGCATAGTTTCACTTTTATGCCTCCCTCAACACAGGCAAACATTGCTCCTATGATTGAAGGTAACCCAGATTTTAGCAACGCCGATAGTCGTTGTGGGTCTGCAAGTGAGAACACACTGAAACTGAAGCTTAAGCTTGGTGGTGTTACTCGTACAATCCAAACCAACTCAGAGGCCGGTTTTTATACAAAAGCTATGGTAAGACAATTGAAAAGCCTTGGTTTTGTCCATCTTCATTGCCTTAGTTATTGTGTCCTTGTTTCTTTTCTGTTGGCTAATGTTTGAGAATTATGCAGGATAACGGACAAAAGCCCGTACAAAATAATGTCAAAGGAAATGTACCAGAGCAGAGATGTGTTCAGAAAACTATGTATCTAGGAGAGATACATCGTTCTAGAGTAAATCCCTCTGAGACTGTGAATGGAGCATCCTTGAGCGAAAAGAGAAAACAAGGTCTTAAAAAACGTTTATTGGATCCAGAGCCAGACAGTGATGATGATGGAGATGAGGAAATAAGATATCTTGAAAAGTTAAAGTCTAAAAGAGTCAGCAGGGATTATCATCAAGTTAAAGAGGGTGACGGAGGTAGAAGCATACACAGCAATGCTGGCCACAACATGGAAGACCAAGAAAATTTCTCATCCGACCAACATGCTTTAACTGAAAGGAAAAAGCTGAGGATTGATTCGCTGCCACAAGTATCAACAAATGGACAAATACCTACGACACGTACTCGGGCTCTCCAGTCTGGAAAAGATCCATATTCTCCCATCGGGTCAGGTCCACTCGAATATCCTGATGGCTTACCGTGCCCCTCCTCCAAAAGTGAGTTGCACACTTTCCCTTTCGCTTTCGAACTGACAAAATGATAGCTGCAAATGCTGATTCTCTAAACTTTGAGCCGTTTTCCAGGACAAAAACAGAAGCTTTCCGAGGTAGAGCAACAATCCAAGAAGGCCGAAGCTGCACAAAGACGGCGAATGCAGTCCGAAAAGGCTGCCCAAGAAGCCGAGGTAAAGTGAATACATTTTCTCTGGTTAATGTATAGTTGCCAACACAAGCAGAATGACAATCTAAGCTCTTCTTCTTTGTCTTCTTCACCAGGCTGAAGCTATAAGGAAAATACTCGGGCAAGATTCAGGGAGGAAGAAAAAAGAGGAGAAGATTAAAAAGCAGCAGGAAGAGCGAGCTCAGGTACCTAAAAGTGCATATGACATCTTATGCAACTTCTCTCACTCTCCTTTTGTGTTGACGTCATCTTTCATCACCACAGGAGAGAGCTGCAAGATCAACCACACTCGCATCAAACACTGTCAGATTAGTTATGGGTCCGAGTGGAACGACTTTGACATTTTCTGAAGACATTGGTCTTCCCGATATCTTCAAGCCGATCACTTACAGGTAAGCAAGCATCTGAGTATACATATATCTATATGTGGAATGCTGTGGTTTTTGTAACTGTGTTTTTTTTTTTCTGTTTGGATCTTTCTTCAGTTATCCTCCTCCACGAGAGAAATGTGTGGGGCCAAATTGCGAGAAAACTTTCAAGTACAGAGATTCAAAGTCGAAGCTACCACTATGCAGCCTCAATTGTTACAAGGCTATTCAAGAGAAGATGCAACAATCTTCGATTCAATGCTAATTGCTTAACAAGTTTTGGTGCAATATATATTATTTAACACATAATTGTATTTTAGCATGAAGCAAAATTTGGCATCTTTTGGTCAACTAACTATCGTTCAAAAGGAAACTTGGATTCCGGTTGCTAGGCGCATAAAATTGAATTGACCTTTATTATTATTTATTAAATTGTTGTTTTTTCATCTTCGCTAGTCTTCAAAGTTGAAACCAACCAATACTGAGACGAATTCGTAGGAAACCCAAATTCCAGGTTCCCTTTGAAACTTTAATCATGTTTCCATCTTCTCTTGAAATTGACCTTTACTTTCAGTTTACCTGATAAATTTGTTTTAAATCTTTTAGTAAACCAAACAAGAAATATAAAATAATAAGAAACATCGAAGTGCAAGAAGAATTTTGCTAGAAACCCAATTACATAATTAACTAAATATCTGATGACGTCAAAAAAAATTAACTAAATATCTGATGACGTCAAAGAAAAATTAACTAAATATTTTATTAGTGGAATTTGGTTCAAATTCGTGTCATTCTTTCATACAAGGAGCACATTAGCACTATCGACGTTTATTTATATCACAAAAATTATTGGGCCTAATTAGATCCAAAAAATAAACCTCAAATCGATTATAATACCAGTGGGTTAAGGAGAGTTTATAGCCTCATATTTCCATTGCAAATTTCGGCCCAATAGAATAAAAAACAATGAGATAAAATGTGTGGCTGCTGGGATTCGAGCCCAGGTCTCCACGGCCACAACGTGGAATTCTTACCACTAAACTACAGCCACTTTGTTGTCCCTACTCGGAAGAAGTTACTACATATCTACTCCAAATTAAGTTTTGCCAGCAAAATACTCAGGGAAGGAGAAGCTGGTGAACAACTGACGCCATCAATCTCGTTAATCTGCTTGGTACCGTCATTTAACAACTTGGAACCAAGAGAAACTCTAAGTGATATAAATCAAATCCAAACAACCCAGTTAAAAATCAACACTTTGGCTGCCGGAACCACCTAACAAAACGAGGTGTTTTAGTTCATCTTTTGATCGAAGAGAGTGGAATTTCCACAAAGACAGACATCTAACGAGGATCAATAAAAGAAACCATTAGGAACTTGAATTTAGAAGAATAAAAAGTTAGTTGCTGATAGACCATGTCTTACAATATGCAATTGACCAGAGCAGAGACCGCTAAGTTTTTCCAAAGATGAATATAAAATAAAAACCGGCAGCAAACACTATGGACCAAGACCCCGTTGTATCTCAAATTGGCGCTCGCTATACATTTCCTCCTCCGTTGGTTTCCCCAAGCTTTGTTTTGCGGTTACTCAAGTCTCCTTCTCAGTCTTAAAACTTTGAAGGTTTTTTTATTTGCACATGAGAGAGAGTGCCTTCTGTCCACAGCCACAACTATAAAGAGTCCAAGAGTGTTAAAATCTCAGGATCCATTTACAGCCATTTCAGGTGATGATTTGGGAGCTACTACCAGAGATTCTTCCCCATTTAGCTTTCCATTGTCTGATGTTCCGTGTTCGGAACTGGAAACTCCATCATCCTTATGATTTTCATCATCTGAACTGCTGCTATTATTCTCTTCACTACTTCTCGAGTTCTCAGGTTCCTTTGCTACAATTGACCGTATTGCAGATCCAGTGGTGCCTTGATTTTTCTTACCCGTAAGCACTGCATGGCTCAGCGTCGAACAGAGCACAGCAAATACATTTTCTCTTTTCGAATTTTTACCCATCCGTGGTTTCTTGGACGGCTCTTGTTCTCTTTCTACGCAAGGGGATTTTCGCTTCAGCCCAAGGAGCTCGCCTTCCTCCTCCTCAGAGGCTACTTGCTGTTTCCGAGGAGGAGGTTTATAGTCTTCATCATCTTCATCGTCCTCATAGTCAACCAAGCCTCCAGACCTCGGGCTACATAGTTAACAGAAGAAGCAAGCAAACCCATTATACAAACATAATTGCGGATGCCTTCCATAAATTTTCATATTGGAACTACTATACCTCGAAGAAGCAGGGCTTGCAGCCACTCCATTTGCAAGAGGCTTTGGTTGTTCTTCCTGTGTATTACTACAAGCAGGTTTTTCCTTTTGTGTATTAGAGGCAGATGCAGAATCTTCTTCATCGCTGTCAGTACCAAAATGTGTGAGAAAAGCTCATTCAAGCAGAATAATAAAATAATCATGGTTTTAACACCCATAGATAATAAACCTGTCTTCATTGAAATAATCTTCCTCCTCTTTATCCAACGCACGCTCGTCAACTCTTCTTCTCGGATCAACCGCATCAGCAGTGCTTTTCGGTCCAGCACTTTCTAAGCACTGAAAACACATTGTCAAACAAAGACACATAAGAATTTTTCCAAAGTAAAAAAATCAAGATCCAGAGGCAATACCTGTTCATACTTGACCTTGAAAGCCTGGATGGAGGTCAAGCATTGAAATGGGGCCAACTGGTCCCAAAACGTATCGACTATGTATTTGAGCAACAGAGTTGCATTTCCCTACACACCAAAAAGGAAAATGATCAATAATACGATAACATCCACTACATAGACGAAAGGGGAAAAAGATGAAAAATGAACCTTGCGTATGTGCTCAAGCAGATCCAAGACTGCAGAGTTCAGCAGATTGTACCGGTTGCCATTGGCAATGAAGACATCTATAATCGGTTTCAGCATGTCGTTCTTAACAACGTAATTCTGGACATATTCATCCTGAAATAGAAATATATTTCAGCAATTCTGTAGCATTTTCTAGAAAAAAATTTTCACCTGATGAGCTTCTTTGAGCCATGATAGAAAATCAAAGGTAGCGTCAGTTCAGAAGAGAAGGTCAGTTGTCACAAGCAGTTTAATCCCTTACAGAAAGCCTACCATATGATACCTACCACTTACAAGAATTTAAGTAGGATAAGGTTATCTAACTATTTAGCAAACAAACATGAATAGAATAGCTACCACCAATATGACTCAATTCTTTAGAGGGAGCAGTCAGGAACTAGTTCAGATGACCAATATATATTGCCTAGGGTTCAAACAAATCTACTCACATGCACAGATAGGAGAGTACGGACAAATCGTATAGCCGCAACCACTAGGTATTTTTCCTTTCTCCGAGTGAGATGCAAAACCTTTTCAGTCACATTGTTCTGGAGAAAACTGCATCTGTAGACAAGAAGAAATTGGCAACAAATGTCAAATTGGATCCAGTATGAGAATAAATCAGAAAATCACCAAAATATGCATCAACATGATTACTTTGTTCTGGATGAATCTTGCATGATGCAAAAGCACAACAGTTCACATATGTTCAATAGGACTTCAGGCTTTGTGCGAATCCTTTTGGATGCACCATCAGATGTGTTGCCTGACTTCTCAGGACATGAGGCAGTAATAACATCCACTAATTCAGGTAGATGCTTCTCGTAGAAAATATCCATGATATTCGCTCTCTGCTAAAATGGCACGCATTAAAGTCATAATAGAAGTCAGGATATTTATCTACCAGATTATAATAGAAAAATTGAAAAGACACAAGGTTGGGGTGGGGGAAAGGGGGGGAGATACCACCCCTTTCTAATTATATGAAATTGAGGGTATTGAAAGAGAACAAGGATGCACCTGAGCTCCACCAGACAATGCATTTGCATCCAGTAAGGTTCGGATAATTTCTAGAAATTGACAATGCATCTTATCACCAAAGTCTTCCATCATTCCCTTGACCTATTACCAAAAGATCGGGACAATTATTACTTGAGTCTTATAAACAAACAAAAAAACAAGAACAGCCTTGAAACTGAGAAACAATCCAAAGGCTTCCAGAAAATTACCAGGAGACCGAGGAGGGGGGTTCCTTCTGTCCGAACAACATACGAACGTAAGAGGTTGGGGTCTTGGGTCAAGAAAAGAATCAGGATATCTGTCCTGCATCCATAACAATATTTATTTTGAGTATACAGCTTATGAATTAGCACTGAGATTTCTTAACGGCACAAGAAAATAGAACAGAGTAACAAAAATGAGCTATCAGGTCTAATCAATCGTATACCCAGTTAAAACGAGCTTCTGGTCTGGAATCTGCAAGACTTCCTCTATGACATGAAAAATGCCTTCATTAATAAGGTCCCTGTAGAATCATTGAAAGACAAGCACGCAATTAAGAAATAGATCACTAAAGACTTCTTATAGAAGCACTTAACAAAGAAAAGGCAATAACACTAATATAATAATTGCTACAACTGTTCAACACCAATTGCATTTAGTTTCTAGTGAGTACATACCTAAAAAGCCGCAGCTGCTGCACCACTTGGAGGCTCTTGCTTAAGCTACAAAATTCGTGCAAGAAATATACCTATTTTATTGAAAATGAAAACACATCAGTCTGACTAACTCAACTGAACAGCAATATTTTTCTAACGGAGATCTATAGTTTCCATTTAATGTCACATGTAGATCATCTGAGCATCAGGGCTAGAGATCGGGGATCCCAATAAAATCTCATACACCCAAAAGATTCCAACTAAAATAACTTTTATAAATGTCATTCACTTCTACAAAACAAATTGAGCCTTAAACAAAATGAAAAATGCCTCGTGAAGGCAGGAAATACCAAATTTTTCTTGGATTCCATAGATGTAGAAGGTGACCTCAGCCTTGCAAATAATTCTTGAATGAAAGTGCTATCGTCCTTCAGCAATGAAACAACCTAGAGAAGATACGCTTTAGTTAAGCAAAAATATGGGTACATGCTTTCAATGTCATAGAATTTCTATGGACAACTTACAATGGCATTGTTCGCATGGATTACTGAGTTCAAGTTTGCAACTATAGCATCATCTAGTACTCTAGCCAAAACAACATCCTGTAAAAAGCGACAGAGAGTGAGAGACCTAATACCACCGAAAAAGAGGGTAAAAGATTTAAGAAAAATTATGGAATCCAACCTTCAAGTAACCAATTCTGTACGTTTGGTGAATCTTTGACAGGACTAAGGGGTCTTTAATTGGTATGGCCTGCAAAAATGAAGGGATATACAAAAGAATCTGATAACTTTTTTTCCCAAACACCCTAGATCAATCTTCTTTCTAAAAATCAAAGAAACAAATCCCAAAGTACTCATTGTGAGCATGTTAACTCTCTAATATTTGGTAGGCATAATCTGTTCTTATAAAAGGAAAGCGTCTCAAATAATCTCTAAGTCCAGTCTACTTTAACTGGTCCTGACCAACAGGAAATAATAAGTATAAGGGAACATTCTGTTACCTCCTTAAAAACAACATGCTCCTTCAGAAAATTCCGGTGATGCTGAGAGTGAGGAACGCCGGGGTCATCTGTAAGGAGAGTCAACATGCAGCGTCATTTATTGACGCTATATATGAGACAACGGCCAAGAAAAGAGAAAGCTTCACATTGGCTATAGTATTTGTGTTCCCAAACGCAAACCCTTATGAAAATGTCTATTTGATCCAGCAAGCCTATCCATCTAATAATCAAAGAAGCCTAAGCTTTTGGCGTCCATGTACGACAAAGGATATGAAACCACAAGGAGATTCCTCGACAGTGAAAGTATCTAGAAGGCCTATGCTACAGATCCAGCAGCTACAGGACTAAGGGATCATTTAGGTTCAACTAGTGATATCAAACTTACATTCAAGGCATCCGATAATTTCCATGATCAGCTCATCTCCAAATATTTTCTCCAATATTTGAGAACTGTTGAGCAAAACTGCATATACAAAGATATAAGAAATGCTGAAGATCAAGAAAAGATTCTGGAAGATGTCGATGGAAGAAACGATAATGATTAGTGTGTGAATACTAACTGATTCCCTTGACAATATTGAATATCATGTGAAGGCCATCAACATTTTCCAAGTCCTCGCATATTTTAAATACACCCATCAGATTCCGGAAGAAACCATGCTGCACCAAGGGAGAAGATAAGTTAAGGAGGTTTCCAGCATATACTCCTCAACACATGACAAACTATATTGATTTGTATAACAGTATATAAAGTTAAGAGTAGACACTGAAATCACAAAGTTTGAGTAACTTATATGAAAGAAAACAAAATAGGGCTCAAACTATATCAATGGAGATTTCCTTGCTATAGCTTGCTTGTAAACATAAAAACAAACTTAATTTTACTAAAAGCGTTAAAAGTAAAACTTAAGCGTGGAGTGAAATTTTCCAGATAGAGTGCAAGCATAGATATAACACTAAATTGAACTAGCAAGGACAAAAATACAAGAATGCTTAATAACTTACATCCTTCAAAATAAGTTCAGTTAGACGCATCTGATCTGTAATGCCACTCTCTGTAACAATCTGCAAGGAAGATGGAAAGGTATAACAAAATCTTTAGGAAAAGATAAACCCAGGACACAAATCCAAAGCATCAACGAATTATTAATTAACAATAAACTTATTCATTGATAGCGCCTACACGCTCACTAAGGAGATGAATATGATAGTGCAAAATACAGTTCTAGTTCTAGGAGTCAAAAATGGATACAAATAGAGGCAAGGATACTTAAAAATGATGCCTTCACAAATATTTACGGCTAATTTTGAACGTTCCACCACATATGAGACATCAATAAGACATAGGGGTAGTAGAATCTTAAAACCTTTAGTATTAAGGGAAGTGTAGTAAGCTCTACAGCAGGAAGCTCCCTCAACTCACTATTCAAGCTGTGATATGTTTCGCCTGCCCAATCACAGATAATTACATAATCAGATAATAGATAATTAGATGATTACATTATCAGAAGGTAAGGTAAAATAAAACTATATTAAATTAAGAGGCAAATCACAATAAACAAAGATCAACTAATATAAAAAATCCAGAAGAAAATTCTTACTGTTCAAAGAGCTGAAATGCAAATTTCGTTGCATGGTACAGATTTGATCCCTGAATATTACGCACACCATAATTGCAGTCATAAGTATTGTGATATGTAGAAATGAAGGACGAAATTAAGAAGATAACGGGAGAACTTTCGTAACTGACCATACATAAGAGCACCCCGCCGTCTCTTGAAAGCTCAAAGCCAATTCTGTTGAGCGCTCTGGGTCTCTCCATGAGATTATTGTGTCTGTACATTGAAACAGATATCACTCATCAACACACACAAAATAAACAGAAACCCCAAAAGATATCACAACTAAGAAAACCAAGACGGACAAAGGCTACCTTCTTGCTTCCTGTAGATATCATCAGAGTTGATGGGATGCACAAGTAAAGTTTCGTTATCTTCTTCATCAATTACACATAGACTGAGTTCTTCGGAACGCTGCATCATATAGCATATCAATTTAGCTACAAGTCCTGAAAGTTTATTTACAGAATAATTGCTGCAGAATACCGGCAGCAGGAGGAAGTGAGAAAGTCAAATAGAATCACAACAGACCTCCACATAGTCGATGCTTACATGCCCAGTTCCTCGATCATCCCATTTACCATCTTCATTCAGATGATAGACCTTTACCCTCTGAACAATTGATATAAAAGTGAGAAAGGCTGTTCCCCCACAGAGATAGAGGAATGATAACATATTCGTCCTATCAATTCAGCACAACTCATTAAACAACACACTTTTCTAGTGTTTTTCATGTATCAATTTTAGAGATTCGTTTTCTATCGAAAAAAGTAAGGTATACCACATGGTGGGAAATCTACTGAAAATTATCAGCTAACACTGTCCAAAAACCAACGGGAACTAGTGGATTACGCTACACTACTCGACAGAGATGAATACACATAAACATCCAGAAAGTAAAAATCACAAGAAGTGAACCATAGAAACGAGTGAAACAACAATTCCCATCTTTGTGGTGCTTTAAACCGAGGTATCAATTGAATTGCACAGTTATTTGCTGGGTAGCCATGAATTTCTTCAATAAATAACAAAGCTTAGAAGCAGGGAGTGTCGTTCTATTAACGAACAAGGATTCGAGGGTAAGTACTCTACAAAAAATTCTACTAATCGAGAAACCCCCAGTTCGAATCAAGTGACCGAACAAGTAAAAAAAGCAGAGCGAAATACACACCTGCATCGCATTAGTATTAGATTGCGACTTTTCCGGTGCGCCCATCACTGATTTACCCACCTCCAACACCAAATCGAGCCGAGAAAGTGAAATTCCTGACCGACGGTGGGACACCGAAGCAAAGTTAGGGTTTTGGAGCAACGAGAAAGGAGAGGAATTAGACGCCGACGATAAAGGCGGGAGATTCAGCTCTCGAAGGGGACGAAATCAAACAGAAAACCCTAACCACCACAAAGAGAATCAAAAAAACATTGACATTCTCTCTCTAGCTTATATTTTCTTCTGGGAAAGCCTTCCCCAACCTTCGAAACGCAATAGAGTCGAGAGGAAAGGAAAAAAAAAAAAAGAGAAAAGAAGAAGAAAAACAAAAATTAAAGCAGCGCAAAAAATTATAATTCTTCATACGTTATAGACAATATTCCATTAATACCCTCAGGAAGAATGGATTTTTACTAAAAAGCCATTCCGCTTAAGGGAATACATCCACACGCGCTCTCTTCCCGCGAGTCTGCTCGCTATCTCTAAAAATGACAGCCTGTGACGTAGGACAAATAACAAGCAAAAACGTTTTGTGTAAAAGCCAATCAAAAGGCGCCAGGTGGATCTTTGATAGTCCACGACTGTGAAATTAGTGCTGTTCTGGAGAGTATAGGTTATGTGGTCAGGTAAACACCCACGTGGATTTAGATTGTTGGCGGATCTATCCAAAGCGCAACAAGAAGGAGAGACAGGTAATCGAAACCTCGACACGAGCTGTGTATCCTTCGCGGACAGACAAGGGGTTCTTTCGTCATCAACATTTTTTTTTTTAGAGCATCGACACTTAAAATAAAAATATGTTGTATATTTCGTTTACCAAAATCCTAATTACTCCTTCGGTTGACCCAATTCGACGTTTTAACACTTCACCTAAACACTGTTAAGTATTCTTGATGTTAACAATGTGAAGACACACGGATTCATACACAACATGGACAATAGAGTTTGTTAACGGACTACTGAGAAACAATACAGAATTTCAAAAAAATCTTAAAACCCACAAGCGATAATTGAACATGTGATTCGCAGAGAAAGATGGAGTTTAACCCAGTATATTCATGAAAACCAGAACCTATAAGAGCTATAGGAAATGTTGAATAAAACCAGATCAGATCCGAAATGTTTAAATCCAGATTATCAGGTCTACAAATACGAACAAGAGAAAGAATAGCATCAAATCAACTTACTCGCAAAAAAAGAGAATCTGAATGTAGATATATTAAACTGGTTACTTTGTCTATTACAAAAAGTCGTCAATCTCATAAAAACCTTTAAAATGTCTTTCTCTCTCGCTCAGACGATCATAAGATCTATGCTTCAACGCCGGCATCCTCGCCGCTCTTGACGTTGTGCTTCCTTGCGTACCTCTGGTTCCTCAGGAACTTAGGATCCATCTGAAACATTTCACCAAACGCATATCAAAATCTGAAAATGGATCATTAGGTTCTAACTGTAATAAGAGACGGCTTACTCCTTTGGTAGAGGTGTGACGGTGCCTCCTTGGCTTCTTGATTCCGTTCTTATGAGCTTTGGCCGACTGGTTATGCGCCGTGTGATTCTTCGACTTCGCCATCTCTGTGAGAATAACACAACTACTTAAAATCAATCGCGAGATCCAAAAATAAAATAAAAATTAGAGCGTGAAAGTCAATTATCTCAAGAGGCCGGCCGATAAAAGAAGCAAACCTGGGTAATGGGAGAGAGAGGAATTCTGTTCAGCTAGGGTTCCTTTCCGTAGTGTAGGATGCTAATGGACTTATAAACCAAAGTGAATAGTAATAGAAATTGTAAAAAGCCCATAAAGGAATCCATAGGCCCATATGTATTCGAAGGCAACGAGGATACACACGGCCGAGAACGCCAGTGGAGAGGTGCGTACAACCTTCAAGGCTCTGCCGATTCTGCCAGACAACAAAGGTTATTTCTTTATGTAAAGATCAGATGGTAAGTACGTTACCTCCATCAAAATCTTTGGCATTTGACATGATCCAGGAAGCTTTACATATATTTTTTTGTAAATTTACTAGTTCTACAATTCGGCCAAAACGTGACTTAAAACATGAATCCCCGTTATGTTTTGGCTCCACCATCCTTTCCAAGTTGTAAGAAGTTAAGATCCTTGACAATCTTGGACCACTTTTGATCTTTACATAAACACGTATATGCAGTTGCAAATACTAAAAGAATTCAAACACTCGATTGAGATAGTTAAATACCATCTCAAAACACAGGATTGGGACAATTTGACTAAAATATTTTGAGCCTGATAAACAACGACTTTTGTTGATAGGAATGTCAAATATTTTAATCTAATATAATCGGTTAGAGGCAAATGAATATGTCTTGATATAAAGTTATGAACAGATTTTGACGAGAACATTTGGGGCATGGTTTTGATGTGAAGCAAACATATAATTTGTAGATTGGTTTTTCGAGAATGCTGCTAATACAAAGGTTGGAGGGAAAATATGTTCTGTATGAAAACAAAAGATAATTAAATATGTCAAAGAAAACAGATACTACTTGAAAATTATAAAGTTACGCTTTTTATTATTCTTTTTTTTTTTTTGCTTTGTCGTCAACTTGTCCCTCCCTGCCTCTTTAAACTCTTCACTTTTTTACTCCCAAATGTTTTTTTAGGGTTTTTATCTCCGCAAGATCTATATAACACACGACCACTACCTGCGTTTGTCTGTGTGCATTGATCGAGTATAACTTCCCCTTCACTTTCCCTTAATCGGATATTTTGCTTTCGAGCGAGAGAAATGTCGCTGAGACCAAACGCGAGGACTGAGGTGCGCCGGAACAGGTACAAAGTTGCGGTGGATGCGGAGGAGGGACGGCGGAGGAGAGAGGACAACATGGTGGAGATCCGTAAGAGCAAGCGCGAGGAGAGTCTGATGAAGAAGAGGCGTGAGGGTATGCAAGCTCTTCCGGATTTCCCTCCATCTTCAACCTCTTCTCATGCTCCCGCTTTCGATAAGAAGGTGAAATTCTGGGGTTTTCGCATTAAGCGATCGTATCTGTAGTCGATTTCTAGTTTTTCTTTTCATGTAGGCTTAGTGAGGTCTTAGGGTTTCGTTTTTTGACCGATTGGATAATTATTGATTTGGAATACTGGTTTATGTCCAGAAATGGTTTTTGTATTCTGATGATTGAATTCAAACTCTTTGTAGCTGGAGAGTTTGCCGGATATGGTCGCTGGGGTTTGGTCCGATGATCCTTCTTTGCAGCTCGAGTCAACTACTCAGTTCAGGAAGCTTCTATCTATCGGTAATGTTTATGTTCTTAAACCTTTTTGTTTCGCTTTCTAAAATTTTTTTTTGAGTGTCCCCTTATATTATGTCCCCTGTTGGTGTTATATTTGCGTAGAGAGAAGTCCTCCTATCGACGAAGTGATAGGTTCTGGTGTCGTGCCTCGGTTTGTGGAGTTTCTCAAGAAGGAGGATTATCCTCAGCTGCAGGTGAGAGAAACACAGTCTCTCCCTCTCTCTCTGTCTCTGTTTCTTTTTTATTCAGTCTTCTGAGTAATCTTATGTTTCTGATCTTCTACGATCATTTCTAGTTTGAGGCAGCTTGGGCTCTAACAAACATTGCATCTGGGACATCTGATCACACAAAGGTTGTAATCGATCACAATGCTGTTTCAATCTTTGTCCAGCTTCTTGTTTCTCCTAGCGACGATGTCCGTGAACAGGTATGGTACTTATGATGATTTACGGAATATGTTTATCATATATTATGCGAGATTATTGCGATTTACAAGTCTTGTAAAATCCTGGTCTCAAAGATTACGCTTTTAACCTGTAGGCTGTATGGGCGTTGGGTAATGTTGCTGGTGATTCACCACAGTGCCGTGATCTTGTTCTTAGTTGCGGGGCACTTACACCGCTGCTCAGTCAGCTAAATGAGCATGCCAAGCTGTCCATGCTTAGAAATGCCACATGGACCTTGTCAAATTTCTGTCGTGGCAAGCCTCAGCCTCACTTTGACCTGGTCTTCTTCTTTATTTTTTTCCTCCATGTTTTTGTTTCTACATTGTATTGCTCCAGTATTCTTTTTAACATATGAAGCATGATCAACAGGTGAAACCCGCTCTTCCGGCCCTTGAACGACTAATTCACTCGAATGATGAAGAAGTCTTGACAGATGCCTGTTGGGCTCTCTCATACCTCTCTGATGGAACCAATGACAAAATCCAAGCTGTCATTCAGGCCGGTGTTGTCCCAAGACTTGCTGAACTTCTCCTGTCAGTAACCTTTTTTTTTTTTTAACTCTCTCTATTTTCTGTCCCCTTCACGCATGTGTAGAATATAACTGGACACCCTGCTCTTGATTTTGCAGCCATCCTTCTCCATCTGTGTTAATTCCTGCACTTCGCTCTGTTGGAAATATCGTTACTGGAGACGACGATCAAACCCAGGTATGAATTCCAAATGCTGTCTATTGAATTTCTCGCAATACTTTTGTTGTCACATCGAAGAAGATAGTATACCTTTTTGCCTTCGGCGAGGGATAGCTTTGTGTATAAGTACAGCAATGGACTCTGGAGAACCCTTTGGCCTTTAGTAATAATAGGTCTGAAGATACGACTAGAACTTTTCATAATTGAACTGCCGGCAGAAACATGTCGAAGTTAGCGATATACCATGTATATTATCTAATCATAGACTAGTTGTATATGCGATGAAGTGTTGACCAATGTCATGCTACACCCTTGTTGTTATGTGATATTTAACATTTTCATTAGATAATTGTGAGAGGCTTGAATTCTTATAATTAGACCCTCCGTCTGTCCATAATAGTAGATAGGATGCAGTGCCTTTATTTGCTATATGTTACTTGTGTTTTGTTTTTATAATATTGTTGAAATCTGGTTTTTCATGAGTCAATCAAAGCTGACTTGTATTCCGATGAACTTCTTCTTCTCCAGTGGGTGATCAGCAGTGGTGCTCTACCTTGTCTTGCCAACCTTCTCACGCAAAACTACAAGAAAAGCATAAAGAAGGAAGCTTGCTGGACGATTTCAAATATCACAGCAGGCAACAAAGAACAGATCCAGGTTGGCAGTTCCTACTGTTTCATCCTGTGTTTTGTACCCTTGTGCTGCCAGACTTTTCTGACCCATTGATTAATTGTGTGATTTTATTTTCTTGTTATCCGAACTTTGCAGAAAGTAGTTGAGGCTAATTTGATTCCCCCCTTGGTTAATCTGCTTCAAAATGCTGAATTTGACATTAAGAAAGAAGCTGCATGGGCAATTTCAAATGCAACCTCAGGTGGTTCTCATGATCAAATCATGTAGGTCACTGTCTTTTTTACCTTCTTCTTAGCTTTCAATTCCTTCTCTCTTATATATACTTTTGGGTTCATGTATCAATGTTCTGTCCCGGTTGGTTATGCAGATACCTGGTGGAGCAAGGATGCATAAAACCATTATGCGATCTCCTGATATGCCCCGATCCAAGAATCATAACAGTCTGTCTTGAAGGATTAGAAAATATTTTGAAGGTGGGAGAGTCGGAGAAGACGTTGGGTAATACAGGGGAAACGAACTATTACGCTCAGCTGATTGATGACGCAGAAGGGCTAGAAAAGATCGAGAACCTTCAGAGCCATGACAACAATGAGATATATGAGAAGGCTGTTAAAATTTTGGAAACATACTGGCTTGAAGAGGAAGATGAAGAGACACAACAAGCTCCAGGTGGTGATGGTTCTCAGGCAGGGTTTCAGTTTGGAGGGAACCAAGCTTCGGTCCCATCAGGTGGATTCAACTTCAGCTGAAGGTAAGAAGGAGCAAGAACCATTTAACATCTAACAACCTCTCTCTCTATTCATGAAAACTTGCAGAATCTGACATTTATATCTGAAACACAAACCTACAGGAATGAAATTGAAAGTGCACAGAGCCGAGCCTGGGCAGAAGCTCATGAAGCATGTGAATGTGTCTAAACTTTAAAATTTGTTAGCGGCCAATTTGTGAATGGGTCTAAAGTTCTCGTTTTTTTTCACATCTGGGTCAAAAAATTCGAGTCTATGAGTTTATGTTTTGTGTTTTTTTTTTATCATATTACTTTAATTAAACAGGAAGGGCAAATGTTCTTTTTTCGAAACTTTTTTTTCCTTAGTTTTTTTAGTCTTTGAGACTTTGTTATTTATTTTTTAACACTTTTTGAATACATTTTTAACTTAAAATAAGCCCGAGTTAGTAGTAATTGTAACATAGCATTTGAATAAAATTGTCATACAGACAAGGACTATTGCCGAAATAAATAAAAAAAAATATACATATATCGACGAATTTAAACTCGTTTTTTGTTTGCCTTATCGTTTTTTTTTTATTATTTGACATCAATTGCCTTATCGTCTAAAACCCCTCAAGACTGAGAAACCTTAAAAGCTATAAAACTGAAATCATTTTCCACTCTCGATTCCCAAAATGGCTCTTGTTCAATCCAGAACACTTCCACCCCTCTACGGCCCCTTATCGCCGATTCTATCTTCCCTCCATGCTCCGTCGTCTCTGTTTGTCCGGAGTGAACTCCGACTTGTCCCCTCGCCGTTCTCCTCCTCCACCGCCCGAAGCTCACCGTTCTCGCCTCCGTTGACGCATCCGCGGAAGCTTCTCTGCGCTCCGCCTCGCGGAAAGTTTGTGAGAGAAGATTATCTTGTGGTATGCCCAATTTCTAGCCTTCTCTCTCTCTCTCTCCATTACGTCCATGTTGTCGTGTCGGTTTAGAAGCTCTAATTTTCGATTTTCCTTTTAGTTTTCCTGGGGAATTGAGTTGATTAAAGGCAATATTCTTGTAGACATTTTCCCCCAAGGATCTGGTCATCGATGTAGTTATATAAGGATAATATGTGTGCTTGCATTCCTCTATCAAATATTCGACCAATGCGCTCCTAAAATGCTTCATAATTAAGATTGCTTCATTTGAATTATTTATGTGGGAGCCTCACTGCTCGTAGGATGTGTTTTTTACTTTTCTTGATGGTTTGACAGAGGAAATTGTCAGCTCAAGAACTTCAAGAGCTGGTGAAAGGAGAGAGGAAAGTGCCGCTGATTGTCGATTTTTATGCAACATGGTGTGGTCCTTGTATCTTGATGGCCCAGGAACTCGAAATGGTATCATCGCTCACCTTTTTACATTTTCTCCATTTCATTTGCGTTATGTTTTAGCCTCTAGTATTGCTTATATTATCTACAAACATTTGACTCTTGGAACCGGTAGTTTGTTAATATTTACTTGAATCTTGAAATGTGATGGTTTCTGTTAAGTTTTTTTTTTTTTTTGCCAATTCTAGTGCAAGACTATTGTAATTAGCATAGGTGTTGAGCACTGAATTGCAGCTGTTCCAGCTTAGCAAAGATCTTATGGTTAGTCGAGAGCTCAGCTTTAAAGAGGAGCAATGAGGATGCATTGGGGACATTCTAGATTTGTCTAAAGTCTCTTCTACGCTGTAGTTATTTGGTGAACTGAATTGAAAAGGCGTTTTCACGGTGCCAATCTTATCAGTGTTTCACCCCATTCCTTATGGTGAAGATACTTGTTAGATAACTTGTCGTGGAGGTTGGCATGTTTCCATTTTCAAAAGAAATACTGTGTGATTGGGGAGACTCAACATTGTATATGCTTCTTGATTGTCTCTGTCTACTCGCTTTTACTCTGCAAATCTCGTTTACAATTTGTGTTAAGGTGATTATGTTCTTTGTGAAACAGCTTGCAGTAGAGTATGAGAGCAATGCAATGATTGTGAAAGTTGATACAGATGATGAGTACGAGTTTGCACGCGACATGCAGGTAACTCTTAAACTTTTCATCAACCTCCTCTCAGCGTATCAATGTGATGCATTACAATAAACTAAAAATCTTTTGGTGCAGGTTCGTGGCTTACCTACATTGTTCTTCATCAGTCCTGACCCAAGCAAAGATGCAATCAGGACGGAAGGGCTAATTCCATTACAGATGATGCATGATATCATTGACAACGAGATGTGAAGTCGAAACACTTTCTTGCTGGCTTTAGGATTGAGTAGAATCGCCGAATTTAGGATTGGTACCGAGTTATATTTGCATTTGAGAATGATGTAATCTAAGAATCTTATGTGTATGCAGTGTTAGGCCTTAACTCACATAAGCTTGCTATGAGTATTTTAAAGCATTTTATTTTCCAGAAGAGGTTTTGTGGTTTGGGTCCTAATTGGGGATACAAATGTGAAGCTAGAAGATCTGAGCCGTTGATCTTGTCGGATCGAAGTTATGTGGCACATCTAAATCACGGTCCTGTCTCTCCAGTTAGACTTATGCGAATTTTTAAATTCGAAATTAACATGAAAACCGAAATCAAAAGTTATTGAACACCATTATTAAAAAGCACCGCGCCACTCGAAATGGCGCCATTTCTTCTCACCCAAAATTATCAAAATAAATTCCTCAGGTTTTGCGGTTTGTTGGCGGGTCGAAATAGGGGTATTTTCGTCAGTTTAAGACTAGGGTTTAGCCGGCCCAATTCAATTTATAATTGGCGTTTTGGTTTAGATCTGATTCGTGTGGTATCTGTCGGGTCTCTTCTTTGAACCCAAAAAAAAAAATATCTCTGTTTCTCTGACACTCCCTCGCTACTCTCTCTCTCTCTCTCTCTGTTTCTCCAAAATTTCAAATTCTTTGTTTTACCGATCCTATCTCTCGTCTCTGATTTTGCATCTGATCTTGTGTTTTACTCGGACCCTTTCACTCTTATCTCTATTTGAAGCCCTAGATTCATATCTTCTCGATTGAAACCCGTTCGCGATCTGCTGTTCGATCCAAGAATCGGAGACGAAGTTGGTAATGCTCTTGTTTCCAGTGAGTGATCTAATTTCCCTCTTCTTGCTGTTAATCCCAGTGATCGAATCTATTAAACTTAACGGTGCTACTTCTTTTGGTGTTTAGATCTTCGACTCAGAAGCCATGAAAAGCAGCAAGTTCACATCCGCAGATGCAATCGAAGAAAGCAGCAGTAGCAGTAATGGAGGTATTAGCAATGAGAAGAAGAGCTGTGCCATTTGCGGCACTAGCAAAACCCCTCTTTGGCGAGGCGGTCCCGCAGGTCCCAAGGTTAGGCTCTTCCCGATCTTGACCAAAACCTCAATTTTGGGCCAAGTGGTATTCGAATCGTTATCTAATCCGATCCGATCTGATCTGATCTGATCTGATATGATCTCTCTGGTTGCTTATGTAGTCTCTGTGTAACGCATGCGGGATCAGGAACAGGAAGAAAAGACGGATCGTGATCGGGAATAGATCAGAAGATAAGAAGAAGAAGAAGAATCCCACCAGAAACTCGAAGCTTGGAGACTCATTGAAGCAGAGGTTGATGGAGTTGGGGAGAGAAGTGATGCTGCAGCGATCGACGGCTGAGAATCAACGGCGGAAGAAGCTCGGCGAGGAAGAGCAAGCCGCCGTGCTACTCATGGCTCTATCTTATGCTTCTTCTGTTTATGCTTAACGAATTTCAAAGTTGAAATAATAATTAATTTTGTAGGATAAGAGTATGTTTCAGATTCTGAGAGCAGTAGCTAACGAATTAATGTGTAATTTTTGTTCGTTTTTGAATTGTTGAATTAACCTTCTTTTCGAATTTTTTTGTATCTGGTTTATCATTTATGTGATCTGGAGAAGAAATGGAAAATGGTCAAAAATTCAAGCCTTATTTTTATTATACTAAAATCGTTACATTTTTCCTTCTGCAAGTTTTGTCTTTATTAAGACAAACTGAATGGAGACCGCACTAGTATCTGTTAAGCACATACATTTATTTTTTGAAAGAAAAAAAGTTTCAGGAAATGTGTTCGAATTTGCCGCTTCTTTTTTTCAGTGAAACCTTAACCACAGTACTGCAGAAGAAATTAAAATAATCTATAGTTTGACTTGTTTGGAGCTTTTTGCTGATCCAATCATTACGAAAGATTAGTTAACTTTAGATAAGTTATAATTAAAATTTCAAAAGAGATAATGAAACGAAACAACTTGAACTCAGTGTAAAAAATGCGGGCAGGAGGAACCATATATGCAATAAATGAGCATACGGAATGTTGGCCTGTAACCTTGAGACGATTTCGAACATATTACTACTACCTCTCACAGGTATCACGTGATTGGTCAAAGGTATGACTCTTTGATCCGATTTTTTTTTTTTTGGGTATATTCTTAGTCTAGTGGCCACAACAACTCACAAGCCACTAGAGATGTATAAATAATGAATGCATTTGATCATTTAATAGATTGTTACGCTTATTGGGCTAGAAATAATGGAATATATTGTTGGCCTACGGTGGTTAAACCAAAACCAGTTGCCATTGTTAGTGAAATTACGAAGGAAGGGAACCAACCAAATGATCAGAAAACCATGTTTGAAGATGGTTTTGTTTATTAGGTTTGAGCAAATGGAATGAGAGTGGTTAAGCCGGTATGGCATGATTAGATTGTGCATAAAATTAAATAGTTAACTGGAATCCAAGGTTTTGATCCCGGTTTATTACGTGTTTTTTTTTTTGGTCAACCAAACGAGCAAAGAGTTTTAATGTAAGTAGGGTTTAGGAAGAAAAAGGGAGAAGCGCTTGCTTGTAATTGTTGGAGCCTAAACCTGTTTTTAACTAACGAATGTCTAGAGTGAAATGTTGTAGATCTTAAGAGTTTGCTTTCCTGCGAATGATTCTGTGTGTCCGGGTTTACTAAACGTCCGCTTCTTTCAAAGTTGGTTGTGGAAGCCAACAGATGGATGGCTCTCTGATCAGATTAAAACGGTCTCAGTATGACGTCAGAAACCATTGCCATCGATTGCTTGCTAGCAAGCATTCAGTTGCAAACTCAGGCCGCCACTGGGCAGCATGCGGAAGATTCTACAACGTTTTGGACGTGGCCATTGGTGTAAATACTCAAAAGAAGATATGAACACAATTGTGCGCTGTTCCATTTGCCAGGAAACTTACATGTCCCGCCGGTTTGATAATGTGCCACCTAGCTAGTAGTTCAACCGCTGGCAAAAAAAGAATCTCAGGATCAAGAATCAGAGATCTGATTAACTTGTGTTGTTCGGTAATTATTTTTGTAATTCAACTATAGTTTCACACAACATCAAAATCTAGTCGGAATGATGAGTACAAAGACGACAATTCGCAATTTTGAATATGGTTATAAATTGAATAGCGCTTTTGCTTTTTGTGCAACATATTCTTCTTCATTAACTACTTACACTTGCAAAATATAACTGGACATGGACATTGAAGCTCCTCCGCCTCCTAACAGTGACCTGATTCTAAAAACTAGAGTTAATATATTTGCCATTTTCTTATTATCTACCTAATTGTCTAAAAACATTCGACTTTTTATCCCTTGAAAAAAAAAACAAAAAGGCTAATCCACTAACTTTATTTTACTTCCAGTACAGAGAACTCAAGCTCAATTTATGCCACACAAAAAAAAAAAAAAAAAAATTCACCAAAAGAAACTTATTTTCAAACAAAATGTTTACTTAGATATATATCTGAAGATTCCGAACAACGAGTAATTATGATGTTAATTAAAAATAAATATTAAATACAGATTGTCAACAGAAAGTAAAAAACAGTAGTATGGTTAAAAGAGAAGTTTCAGTTCTTCGTACTTGCCGGCTGATGTATCCGATGATCCTCCCTCAGTCACCCAAAACAGAGCAAGACGGAGAACAGAACAAAGAAAAGAGAGCCCAATAAACGATCCGATCCAGAATCTCCCGGAGGTGGAATGTGATAGTAATACGGAAAATAAGGAACGATCGGATTCGGCGGAGGCGGCGTTGGGTAATTTCCGTAAGAAGCAGGCGGATAATAGTAACTTTGTCCACCGTCTCCGCCGTACGGAGGCGGGTATTTACCACCACCGGAGCTTGAAGGAGAAGGAGGAGGAGGAGAGTAATAATAAGATCCACCACCGGAGCTTGGAGGACTAGGAGGCGGAGGAGGATATGGGACAGGGTTACATGGATTGTCGCAAGAGGAACACATTGTGCAAGAAACAGTTTGGTCCTTTGAAGTCACAGTGAGAGACAGTGACAGTAGTAGCAGTAGAAGAAGAGCTGTCAGATTAGAGAATCTGATTGCTTCCATTGTCAGAAATTTTTGTTTTCGACTAATGAGCCAGAGGTTAGGACTAAGATCAATAGATAAGGAGGAGAGAAGATGAGAGGAAATGAGAGAGAGAGAGAGATAAAGAGGAAGAAGCACATTCAGAGGCTCATAGTAGAAGTGTACCTCTCTTTATATATTATTAAGGAATTTCATATTTTAGTTATTTATTATTCTTTTATGAAAATATTGATTATTTTCTTATATTTTCGAAAGTTATAAGTATTTTTTTTTTTGGTTTAAAGTTACAAGTATTTTCTCTATGACATTTTTCTTATAATTTTTTACAGTTTGTAGGACGACGAGCCACAAGGATCTATACAATCGCATCTCATTCGAGGTAAACTCTACCTATCACCTTGGACAACTGTCTTCAGAACCTAGTATATTTTGTTGCACTACAAAAACATGTTTTCTATCAAAAGGATCACAAAAACTACTGAGAAAGTTGTCTTAATATTTGTTGAAGAGCAGATTAAAAAAAAATAATGGAATTGAATTGGAATTTCATTTTTGTGTTATTTTCAGCTCCTCGTTAGAATAGATAGTCGATAAGATCTAGCTGGACGTATTTTGGAATTGAGTGAAAAGTCTTCTGATACAATTATAAAGGGTCGTTGCAATAGCCAATAGGCCCAATGGAAGTCGGCACCCAATATTGATGTAAAAGGTTTTTACTTTTTAGTGTACATATAAAGTTACATTGATGCGAAAAGATCCGTGTCATCATCATGTAATAACATGGAGTACCCAACAAAATTTAATTGCATCTAGGAAAAAGTTTCCCAATGTTGCATAAGTGATAGAGACCAAATTTAATTTTGCTTTCGAGTGTTTCCACTTATTCTTTATGTAATGTGGATGTGGGTTGTAGTAATTTGAACTTTGAAAACGAAAGAAAGAGAGGATCTAACAAAATCACAAAGGCAAAGAAGACAAAGCTCTATTTGTGTTGGTTGCCAAAATGTTTAATCGGATTCTTCCCTGTTTGCTGATAAATATAAGTTATTAATTATTGCCAGTTTGCCACCACTTTCCCCTCACTCACATGCAACTTCATTTTCTCTACTTTTTTTTGTTTGTTTCTTACAAATTTGAGATGATGACTCATGTCGCTCTCGAGTTTTTAATTATAACAAAAGAATCTAATTCTAAATTAATTACCAATAATTATAGGCTTTGTAGCAGTTTATTTTCTAATAAATGTGGCTGTTTCTTTTCTCAGACAGGACTTTGTGGTCGACCAACGCCACACGTGTGAAGCATAGTCATACATACAAAACAAAACCCCTTTCTTCTGTTCAGTCCAATCGAAACCAAACCGCGTGAACGACTGATATTTGAATGGGGCAAAAGTATAAATAAGAATAAAAATTGAGGATAAAACAGGTAAATATTATGTTGTCTTTCTTTGTCTTGTGTTCTCCGAACTTGTAGTTCGGTAACAAGTCTCGCTTCCACTCTCTCTCCATCTCCTCCCATTTTTCTTCCTCTTCTCTCTCTCTCGCTCTCCCGTCCTTCTAGGGTTTCGTTGATCGCATTCAAATTTTTCTCTTTTCATCTCAAGAATCTCTAATTTATCCAATTTTGTAAAATCCGTGTATCAATCAGAAGAAATGGATTCGAATTCATGGATCAGTTGTCCTTCCGTTTTCTCATCATCTTCTTCGAGACGGTGTCAATCTCGATCAGGTTCACGCGTCTTTTGTTACTGTAGGATTCACGTTTTCTTTCTTAGGCTTAGTCATGAGATTGATTGATCCGTGGAATTTTGGGGGCAGATTTGTATTTAGGTGGAGGGTACGAGGATCTCGAAGGAGAAGACGATCTGAAGGCGGAGTTTATCTGCCCATTTTGTGCAGAAGATTTTGACATTGTCGGGCTGTGTTGTCACATTGACGAAGAGCATCCTGTCGAGGCCAAGAATGGGGTAATTAACGATCATCGACGACTCTTCTTTACCATTTTCAGAAATCTTCATGTCCGGTTATTGCAAAAAAAAATGGGTTCTTTTTAGAAATTTCGAAGCTTTGGTTGAAATTGAAAATGTCCTGTTTTTATGTTGTGCTCTTCGTGATGATGAAATGCTCTGTCTATCTATGTTGTTTCTTCTTATCAGATGAGCCATTTAGCAATCCAATCTTGGAATATTTCATTAAATTGAGTATTCGTCATTAGCTGGTAATCGGTAAATTAGTGATCTTTCATGATCCGGATGCTACTTTTTGAGCTACGTATCTGTCGGGTTCTTAAACATGGAACTGATATAATGTGTTTTTTTTTCTTTTGGTATTCCAGGTGTGTCCTGTATGCACAAAGAGGGTGGGATTGGATATCGTTGGCCACATTACGACGCAACATGCAAATTTTTTTAAGATATCCTTTCAACTTTTGATATCTTGATCTTTTCTTATTCCAGTATCTGATGCTTTGATCTGTCTATATTACACAATCATTTGGAGTGAATATGTTTATTCCTTGATGAGAGGTTCTACGTGCAGCGAAGGAGAAGGTTGAGAAGAGGTGGATATAGCTCTGCTTATCTCGCCTTGAAAAAAGAACTCCGGGAAGCAAACTTACAGTCACTTCTTGGTGGATCTTCAAGTTTCACTTCTTCAACCAATATAGATTCTGATCCGTTGCTGTCGTCTTTTATGTTTAGTTCTCCTTCAGCTAATGAGTCTGCGAGCAAATCTGCTACACCTTTGACCAAAGGAACCTCCGCTACAAAAATCTCGCAAAAGGAATCTCTCAAAAGGTAACACATGTAGATATCGATTGAATCTACGGTCCCAAGAAAGCTACCCATAGGGCTTCTTTCTCACTTGGTTCTCTGGCTTTGATCTGTGATGCAGAGACATTCGAGAAGCTACACTCTCAGGCGAAGATCAAGAGAAGGCGAAAAAGAGTGAGTTTGTGCGAGGTTTGTTGTTGTCAACCATGCTTGGAGACGAAATCTAATATCCGATAAGGCACTGTCTTATTGAGGAATCTGAGGTTGAAACTGTTAGAATGGTCTCAGCGTATGATGCAAAACCTTGTAAGTTGAGGGGGGAGCAGAGTTAAATCCGTATATTATTGTCATTGTACCTTGGAACCTTTATATGTGTATAAACGGAAACAAAGTACTTTCCTTTCATTGAGACTTTCATAGATTCAAATAGTCAAAACTTGATGGACTCGGAAGTTTCTGTTAGTTCAAGACAAGTTAACTTAAGTTTTGGGAAAAGACAAAAGGAAAAATAAAAAGACAAAAGTAAGATAGATTTTTTTTTTGTTGTTGTTGGAGTTTTCTGTTTTATTTAATAAATAATAATTGGATTATTTCTGCTCTCACTGTATAAAGCTGATATATTCGGTACTTCGGTTTTAGTAATAACCAGGAGATCCCATGAAACCTTTTCAAGCTTGACATATTGTATAAATTTTTTTAGCAAAAATGAAACTGACGACAAAATTTCTTTGATCAATGATTACACATGAATGAAGAAATGAACCTGAACAGATTTCTCTTGTCACAAAGTATGCAAACGACGTCAAAACAAAACCGGAATAATCAAAAGGAACATGTATGATCTGAGACAATGTGGTTTATTTTGGGAGAAAGAATCTGACCTCTTCTAACTTCACAAATAATATGAATATTGATTGATGGATGAATCATTGAATCCTAAAAGAAATCCCAAGAAAATTTCTTGTGTTGTGTATGTTGTTGCAGAGTTTCGGTTTCTCTACACTGCAGCTATACCGTAAGCATTATCAACTCTCTTAAGCTCGGGACACGGTTCAGGTATGACAGATTTTGACGATCCATAAACATTGGAGCATTGCCAAGAAACAGTAGAACACGACAAAGAGACATTTGATAAAGCCACCGAGCTAAAAGGAGACTCTTTGATCCCAAACAATTTCCCCGCAACTCCGATATCTACTCCAGAAATGTTGTTTAATCTAATGTGAGTCACTAGAGGAAGATCATTTGCGTCGTATTCATCATCTGGATGAGATCCAAAGCTACCATTAGCAACAATGGCAGTACCGATTCTCGACATATCAACATTTGAAATATCAATCTCTTTGATGTAACCGCCTCTTCCTTTTGTGGTTCTAAAGGCGATGCCGGTCAACGAGTTGTGTATAAGTGCATTTTCGAGCACGACATCAGATATTCCACCAGACATTTCACTACCAAAGGAAATAGAGGAACCAGAAGCTGCTCCAAGGCAAACGTTTCTTATATGAACATTTTCAGTGGGACGAGAATACGCAATTCCATATTCATCCCAACCGCTTTTGAGGGAAATCGCGTCATACCCCATGTTAATGGTTGAGTTTTGGATGCACACGTTATCAGAAGAATCTGTGCATGGGGAAACAAAAATAGATTCCATTATATATACAAAAAAAAAAAAAAAAAAAAGAGTTTGATTAGAAGTAGAAGCAGAGACAACTAAATTAACCTGGAACTATGCCGATTGTATAAGGAGAATGAGGAGAAGAGTGAGCCGATATCTTATGAATATATACATGGCTGCATATAAGGACAGTGATTATAGTCAAGAGTTCATTTCACCAAACTTTTTTTTTTTTAAAAACGCGGTTGACCTGTCTCTTACCTAGAGTAAATGGAATGGATTGAATAAGCCGGAGCATTCAAGAAGGTAAGATTTGAGACGATTACATTTTCGGAAGAAATAAACTCAACGAGGTGAGGACGGTTATATTTCAAGGAATGAGAAGTAAACCGATCCCACCAAACCAAGCCTTGACCATCTATAGTTCCATTATCACCTAAAAATGAATGGAGTAACCATATACGTAAAGTGTAAAACAACATACTGTATCTGTATGTATTTAAAATAAGCAAAAGTGACAATGAGATCAAAAGGACATATAAAAGAGAACAGCAAGCAATTAATGTTACCTGTTACAACAACATCATGTAGCATATGACCGTTTATCAAACTCTTGTATCGCTTCCCTGGCAAATCAATGCCTCGTCCATACGATGGTAACGGGTCAACAACTTCCCAATGCGATGGATCCTTTGGTAGTAACAACAAATACACACAAAAGAAAATAATAATCAAATGCTACAACACAATTTGTTTTACTTTTCCTACACATCAAATTAATTAAAGTTTTGGACAAAGAAGTATAAATAGTAGGTACGTACCTGAGAGGCAACTATAACGGCGCCGTTTTCTAGAAAGAGAGTGAGATGGCTGGTGAGACTGAAACTTCCGGTGAGCCATTTCCCAGGAGGGACATAGAGCTGGGCTCCACCTTTATCGGCGAATGACATTACATAGAAAACGGCGTTCTGAAACGCAATTGTGTTCAGCGTTTTGCCATCTCCAACAGCTCCAAACTCTAAAATCGAGACACTGTGTGGTCTTGTTGTACTCAATGATCTCCGGCCAAGTTCGACACATATTTTTCCGGCGCCTTGACTTTTAGCATAAACCGGAATCAGACTAGTTAATGCCAACACCAAGATTATTGCCACCTGTGGGAAAAGGAAATCAATCTTGACGCAGAGGCCTTACATTGAGATACTTAGAGTTATGATTTCAGATCCAGTTTTCAAGTTTGAGTGGTTGCGTCTACTAAAAAAAACAGAGGTTTTTATTTTTTATAAAAAGAAACGGTATTTTAGAATCGGATCTACTGAATTGAAGAACACAAAGAAACAGTAATGAACAGAGGGAATCGTTAAAGTAACGATGGAGAGTTTGGAGTAGTTCTGTTGAAATGGCATTAAGATCGACCAAGCCCAGAAGAAAGGGACAACCAAAGAAGTACATACATATATAATTAAGAGAAAAAAAAAAGTGAGAACGCACTTACTGACATCTTTTATTTGTAAATAAGCTGTCGGATAATAGAAGAGAAAGTTACAAAGGGAAGAACTTTTCGCGCCAAATGTAACCAGACCACTGAAAAATAAGGAGGATAGAAAGAAGGTGGAGAAGATTTTCTTCGTAAACACACCACACAAAACAGAGAAGCTTTTCGATGGACTGTGGGAAAAGAAAAATTCTACAAGGAAAGAGTGAAGAAAAATACTAAAAAGGAAGGAAAATAAAATACTGAATAGGTAATCATTAATGTATAATAAATTCTCACTATTTTGGCAATTAATATCGGTTTGTCATCAAATAGATCAATCAAGGGGATCTGGTCAAGTATTATCGCCGACAAATCTTCTCACCATATGTGAGAGAAGACGAGAATGAGCAAGAAAAAACCAATGAGAGATAAATGGCTGTTTTTTTAATCTGTGTCTTGCCAACAGAGTTGTAGTTTTGTTTAGGCTCTAGACAATGCATGTGTCTCATATTTTTGGTTTTTTTTTTCATGTTTTTGCTCTATTATTTTCTGGTTGAATATTTCGTTTTAATTTTTTTTCTGTTTATAATATTTTTCCTAAGAATGATATTTATATCCAGCATCATACATTAGCCCCACCCATCTCCCCCCTATTTAAAAAAATAATAATAATAATAGGCATACACCGTTCATACATTGCTATTACATTTAGTAAAAGCTTTGTACATATTTAAATCTATTTTCAAAGAAAATAAGACTCATATATCTATAATTAAATGTATTTTCCCTTTTCCTAAGTCGAACATACAATTGGGTGAATCTTTTGTTTTTCCATTCAGATAAAATGAATTTGAGTAGAAAAATAAAACATCTGACTCAAAAAAAATAACGAAAAGAAATTTTTTTTTTGTTTGTTTGTTTTGTTTTGACAATGAAGGAAGCACTAAATGTGGGAATGAGAAGGGAGACGGTGAAGCATGTGGAGTGACAGGGCGGAGGCAAAAATAGAATGGGTCCCACTCCAATCATACGTTAATTTGCCAGGCTGGCACTTTTGTATTTTTGGCAGCTGTTTGTATCCTCTTTAATACTTTTGTTCATCAATCAGAGTTAATAAATTGATATCATTCCAACCTCGATCCCTAGATTCGCGTTTTTGTTAGACAGTCAGCATTGTAATTTAATGCCTAAAGATTATAAAAGTTATTATAAATATATCAGTAGAGTAGCTAAATGGGCTTCCTTTCGGCCCATCGATTCACACACTCTGATGGGTTTTACACTTGAACAGACGGCTGCCTTGAATAGGACTCTAGGGCTTCAACTACTGTCTGCGCCATGAGAACACAGCGGCAAGACGACCCGGAGGATGTTGTCGCCGTCAGGGAACGCAACACGAGAACGAAGAACTCATCAGAACCGGTCCCATTTGATCTAACTTTCGAGATATTTTCGAGACTGCCCGCTAAATCTGTAGCGAGATTTCACTGCCTCTCGAAGAAATGGGCTTCCACTCTTCGCCTCACATATTTCACGGATTTGTTCTTCACCAGATCTTCGGCTCGGCCGCAGCTATTGTTCGCCTGCCACAAAGATCGTCACGTGTTCTTCTTCTCCTCATCTCAGCCTCACATTTTTCATCATGAGCAGCAGCACTCGTCTCTTTTAGCCGCCAAGTATCAGATGAAAATTTCGAATCCCTTCTTTTCATCTGAAGGATTTATTTCTACAAGAGGCCTTGTCTTTCTTAGAGATGTAAGAAACATAAGTTTTTTAAGGGGAACTAAGCATCAGGCACCTGTCATATGTAAACCCAGCACGGGTCAGTATTTGACCTTACCCAAAGTGAAAACGAGGAGGAGGATTGGAGTGAACAGCTATTTTGGTTATGATCCTGTTGAGAACCAATACAAGGTACTTTCCATGACCTGGTTGGTTTATGGACAGGTGGATTATTGTGGGGAGCATCAACTTCTGACATTTGGAACTACTGGTGAACCGTCATGGAAAAAGATCCAATGTCACTTGTTCTATTCTCTTCGTTCTTTATATAACCAGATATGCATCAATGGTGTTCTGTATTATCCAGCGATCAACAGGTCCTCCCAGGATTACATAATCGTTTGCTTTGATGTTAGGTCGGAGAAGTTCAGTTTTGTTAGAGAGAAAAGTGGCACTTTCGGTTCTGAACGTCTGATCAACTATAATGGTAAGTTAGGTTCACTTGAGTCTCAATGTTTCGGTGGAAGCTGTACAAGCATTAACTTGAAGGTTCTTGAAGATGCCGAAAAGCATGAATGGTCTGAGCATACATACGTATTGCCTGCTCTGTGGAAGAATTTAGTTGGTGACACAACTGCAAGATTTGTTGGAGTTACTCGGACAAATGAAATTGTCTTGTCCTCGTACTATCAATATCCACATGCGCCTTTCTACGTTTTCTACTACAATACCGAGAGGAACACAATCACAAGATTTGTAATCCAAGGTTTTGAAGCGTTTAAGGGTTGTTACTTTCACACCTTTCTAGACCATGTAGAGGATGTAAGACTTATGAAAGAGTTTTGATCCATGACTTTTTATAACTTTGAGAGTTTTGTAACGGAGCTTGTTAGTTCTCATACTGCTTATTGGATGATTAATTTTCATTTTCGTTATGTCCATTCCCTTGTTTTATTCTTTACAGCTAGTGAGCAAATTGTTTCAGTTTTAAATTCAAGTTTAAGTTGTGATGGAAAGATTTGCCAGTTTGAGTAATGAAAGAATTCATTTGAAGCTAGCTACTAAATTCAATAGTTATATTTCTTACTTATTTGAACTAAGAAAAAAAGAAAAACGAAATAAAAGCAAAATCATCACGATGAGTGAACACAAGTGGATCTGCTTCTCATCAACACCCTCCAATCCGACCAGTTGTTGTCCAACACTCGATTTCTCACATGTGGATAACCCCATAACCTGTAATCCGATGGATTAAAAACCGGCGACTCTTTATTAAACCGGTTTTTGTTTGGTACACCAAAAACCGGGGTTTTCCCGGTGGTTCGGTTCCCCGTGAAACTTGCACTGTTGTTGGTCTTTAGACATCTCTCTATCACCTTGTTCTCTTCTCTGAACTTATCCCTAATGTCTCTGAAGGTTTGACAGAACCGGTTCGGTTTAGTATCGGTTCGGATTTCTTTGGTTTTGTGTGAGACTCGGCTACATTTCAGACAGATGTTCCTTCGTCGGTCCGTGTTGAAACATCTTCTCTTTGTTTCGTCTGAAAGACATAAATAAGCCTACATGCGTCCAAAACAACAACATTACATAAGTAGTATAGCTCTAGAGTTGAATCATTGAACCGGGAAAATATAAAACGGATTTCTCAAGAAAACTTAATGAAATTCCCCAAACCGGGTTATAGGATCGTAGTACGTATTGTGATGGATGGGACAGTGAATGAGTTCATGGATAACACGCAGATGCTTTTATTAAAGCGTACGATTCATGTCCACACACCCACATTTTTTATATTATATATCGTCTCTCCTGAGACAACTGATAATAATAAATATTTTTTTTTTTAGATTGCTGTGATTTTCTCGTTTATAAAAATAAGGTGAAAATGGCTGACCTCGTGGATGAGCTTAAAAGCAATATCTGCTTTGGGGTGATTGTTTTTATCGGGATGAATCTTCAAAGCTGAAGAAAAAAGGATTTATCTTAAAGACGACAGACCACAACTATATATATAGACTCTATATTATAGAGTTTATAGTAGTTTATAATATAACGTTGACAAAGTAATTAGTCATAATTAAATTTTAAAACGATACTGAAATAAAACCGGACCTAATTTGTGATATCGTTTACGTATGAGCTTGACATCTGCATCTTCCTCGATCTGTTGCATCCAAATCATGAAATCAATCCAGTGGTCTCTTTTTCCTTTTTCCCTTTTTTTTTAGTTATTGTTTGAATAAAACGCAATAAAACATGGGATTCGTCCAATGTATTTTCGAAATTATATTAAGAAGAAGAAGAAGAAGTGACATAAAATAGATATATTGGGAAACAAAAAGAGAACATACACCGAGAATGAGATACCAGTCGATGAAACATGAACCGGAGTTACGATTGATATGAATGCAAGAGATTGGTGATCTGGACAGTGAACAAATCTCTGAGACCAATGCCGCTTTTGGATCCGGTCCGGGTCGGATCTTACCCATTGCAACAAAAGTTTCAAGAATTTTGCCAAGAATATGGAGGTGAAGGAAATAAATACAATTTCTGTGGAGAAAAAAAAATGGGAGGAGTGAGCAGAGACAAAGAGAGAGAAGAAGAATCAGAATACGTTAAGAGAAGGCAGGCAGACTTTGCGGAGAGACATTTTAAATTGGAAGAGAGCGAAAGATGGAGCATAAATTAATCCATTTTATGAATATTTGATTTTCTTGTTCAGATAATAATTAATGTGAAAAAGAGGTTTAACCCAATTTACTGAAAAATTCAAATTGAAGAACTGGTAAAAGTAACAGTAGATAATTCAGCCACGTTGTAAGTCGCTTTACTATGAAGATAGAGTTTTAAATAAATTTTTAAAGGAACGCAATCTGATCGATCATAGACGTTGTAATTAATCAAAACGGCTGTATTGTTAATTTCTACAGGCATAAATTGTTGATTACTTTTGTTTTCTTTGATGTCGTTAAGCACACTAACTACATAGGTCAATAGGTCATGGTTAGTAACCACTAACCACACTAAATGACGGAATACAATAGTTGTTTTAAGTTTTTCTGGTTGGTGGTAAATATGTGATCGATCATTCGCTACAAAAGAAAGAAAGAAAAAAAAGTAGAGGACGATTACCTTGATTTTTAATTATTCGGAATTATAGTTTTTAGACAATAATTTGGTAATTATCCAAACCAGATTATTTAAGTAGGTCTTTTTGTTGAAAGCTTTTAGATATAAACCACTTACGGATTAACGACCACTTTAGCTAATTTGAAAATCACTTTCTCCCACTTGAAAATTCTAAAGTTCAAGTGTTATATATGGCCCTGTTATAAGTTTAGAAATTAATGATTTAATTTACAGCATATTTAAATCAAGAACACACTCTTAAAATATACGACTACTATTTGCAAATTATGGATGCAAACTTTCAGATGATCAGTCTTGTTGCATGTTAAATCATATATTGTGGTCTATAGAGTGACTTTATCTTCTAAGAATATCAAAGGTTTCATAATGTGGTTTAGTACATTATCATGTATTATAAAAAGGCACTTCATAACTAATCTACAACGTTGAGCAGCTGTTCTATATATAGATAGACAATTTATAAGTTGAACATGAAACTTGTGATACATATACTAAAGGATGCCTTTATTTGAAATCAAATGGAATATGGGTGAAACAAAGAAACTAGGTGAAGAAAACAAGAAAATGAAGTCACTACCCAAACTTCTCTTTTCTATTTACCCTTTACATGAAATGTCGAAGCTGCGAGGATTTTTATATTGGTTTCATAGCACAAACTTTTATGGGTTGAATCAAAAACATTGGAAGTCTAATATGTCTATACATTATAAAAAAAAATGTAAACTGAAATTATAGTATTATAGATATTTATTTTGCTTTGAAAACTGGATTGAGATTGGATTTCGTGATTTGTTTTCTGGTGTTTGATGTTTGACTATAACTTGAGACAACAAAAATAGGACATGCAATGGCTTTGGACATAAGCTAAGTATGTACTGTACCTAATGTTACATGCACGTTGATTTATAAGCAAACAAAAAAACTACAAACACTTAGTATTTTATATCATTGAAATTAATAGTTAAACTATAGGTTTACCTGTGGTTGACTTATATACTGCAATGAAGCCAAACAAACTTTAATCAGTATTAAGTCAAACATAGCGGTTGTAATTGGTGACCCGAAAGTAAAACTCACATGGGGATGCTAACTTCTTGATTATCAATAATGTTTTCCTATCCTTCCAATAAGGTAAATATTGAAATTAGTACGTTTAATTAAACCGATTATTTTTATTTTTTTTATCTAAGAAGTTGATTTTTTTCTTTCGATTAAATTTTCATCGTACACAATAGCTGTTCAAAGCCAAAACGTGAGCTAATATACTACGAGTCTACGAGAAAGTTTTCGGAAAAGCATTATAATAAATTATGGCTAATCCATGTTTGATGAAGTTTAACAGATGGGAAAAAAAAACGATTTGAATGATTTGGAAGACTTAGACAGGCATAGTAGAGACCGAAAAAGTGTCAGTGAGCACGTGAGATTGTAGTAAAATTGTCAATGATCAATCTGCAGAAACGATTTTTTTATCCATTATGCTATAAAATCTCACTTCAATTTCTCTGTGTGTTTTTAGACAAGGCACAACCAACGAGTTTATAAGAAAAATAAAACATGTGAAATACCATCGGAAAATGGTGAAGAAAGTCACATGTGTTAACTATTTATTACTCATGATTCGATCACATTTCCTTGAGAAATAGATCAAGAACACCTTCTGTGCCATCATAATATTGGGCTATATATGGGCCGATCTTGAGTTCTATATAGCTAACATTATCGGGGTTTTACATTTTAGAGCTAAATTGTGGGACCTTTCTTGAGTGTTACTCACGTTTGGTTATAAGACACGTGGCGTATCTGTTCAACGCGCAAACCAGTTACGTGTCCAATCTATCCGCCTCCATCGGATCCGAATCAGGTTCTCGATAATATCTTCGTCATTACCCGAATTTACCGGCAAGTTGTAAAATCCCCAATCCAAACTATTTTGGTGGATTTGGGGAAAAAAATCGAACAAGGTCGTTGTCGGATTTCTGGATCATGGAATTCTCTCTAATCGCCGATACAGTCGCAGTTTGCACGGCGAAGCAAGGCATAGCGTTTGGGAAATCTCTCCTCAATCGGTTGGATTTGGCCAATCACATTTCATTTGCCGATTCTACCGTTGATCACTCTCCGGGTGGAATCGTTCAAGCATCGGCTGTTATCTTCCCCGTTGATGCAATCGCCCCTCCACCGGTTAGATCCAGCTCTTACAAGACAATCCGCCGGATCCGCAAAAAGCGGCGTACGAAACGCGTTTTATTTGGCGGTGACTCGGAAGACGGAGGAGATTTTGGTCGTTTTCTACTAGAAGGCGATTTCGGTGGTAACGACGGTCCATTTGGATTTGGTGGAGGAGGCGATGGCGGCGGAAAAGGATGGAACTACGGTGGTGGTGGTGGTGGTGGTTTCGGAAGTGGGAATTGGGATGAGTCTTCGTCTTCGTCGTGGTCGGATCCAGCAATGGAATTCGTGTACGAAGTGATCTGCTGGATCGCGTTATCGAATTGCGTGCACTTCGCGTTCAAGAGGATAGTGAGGATCGTGACGGACGGTGATAGGGAGAAGTTGAACCTGACATTGTCTCCGGTGTGCTGACAAATACCGTTGCAGTAATATATGTTGAAAAATCTTATTCTCAGGTCCAGAAATTCCATCAAATTATCTCTCCTGTCGTGTGTATATATACCTTTTATATCATTGTACATATATAATTAATTTCGATTGCAATTTCTCTTAGATTAATCTAACCATTGCCTGTTTAGATGAGTTATAGTCGACATGATGAGAGATCTAAGGCGGGCATGTAATAACTCATAAGCCTAAAAAAACTCCATTACACTTGTTCATGTAAATAAATTAACTAGAGAAGGGTTTATAACATTATTAACCACCGCCCTTGTTTAACTCTCCGGGATTAGTGGCTGGAGCTTGACTACCCATGGATGGTGGTGGTTGATTTTGATTCCAGTTCTGTGTCGGTTCTCTTCTCTCCACCTGCATAGTCTCGCGGCGCTTATCGTACCTAGGCCTAGACCGATTTCTGGTTTGGCGCTGTTCAGTGAACCTATACTGTGGTCTGGGTATGACCTTTCCTTCAATGTACAAGTCACCTGAACATCAGCCAAACAAAAATTGGTTAAGATGATAAGTTCACCTCAAGATTCTCTCGTAATATCCCAAATCATTCAGAAGAAATCCAAAAACATAACAAACCTCCATAGTCTTTGTTGGGTACATCAAGATAGGAATCTGGAAGGACCCAGAGAACACCAGGCAATCCTGAAGAATCACAACTCTGGATTAGGATATCTTATATGCAAAGGTTTATAAGTTCCAAACCTAGAGACCGATATGTTCTTTCTCGTATATTCTTACAGCCAATAATTCAGATATAAGCAATTCAAGTGAAGGGAATTATTGATTGAGCCATTCAACAGAGCAAAACCAAAATGTAGAAGAACACCATTACAGTCTCAGAGCAAAGAAGAATTAAATAGTAATTTGAGTAAAAGGAAAAGTTGATACCTTTGACTTTGCAAGAAAGCTCTTCAGAGATCAAAGCACCAAAGCCAGTGTAGGTCGAAGTGCAAACCGAGTAAATCTTCTTCTTTGCCTCCTCCTCGCTACAAAACCACGGAACTCCATCAGTTTCCAAACGCACAAACGAAATGAGAAACAAAATCAGATGAAATGGGATTTTGCCTGCCGACGACGGATGTTAAGGTTTTGACATAAGCATTGATCATCTCATCTTCGGTGGGTTTAGGATCAGTGAACTCCATGACGATGAGCCAGTGCTCGTAATCGCACCCATCAAGAAGAATCGTCTCCTTCGGCGGACGGTTGCTCCAATTCGGCGAAGGATCGTTCAGCGGAGAGTATCCTGACCCGGATGTCTTGGGTCGGGTCGCTGTGTAACACGGTCCCAGTACGGTTCGGGTCGAGGAAACTTTGTCAACTAAAGGCACGGCGAATCGAGAACGAGAAGAGAGCGTTGAAAACGACGAAGAATGAGAAGAAGAAGTAGACGAAGAGAGGTTTTTGCTTAGTTGTGTCGCTAATTTGCGCCGCGCGGTGAAAAGAGCCATTGCCGGTGAGGGTTTCGGCTTCCGCTGCGCTTAGGCGTATCTCCTTCACATCGGTCTTTAAGATCCTTCGAGAATTTAGTATGGGCTAAGTGGGCCTTTAGTTTTTATATGGGCCATTAAACTTGATTAATAAACTGTTCAAGCCCCCTTTAAGTTTCGATTAGCTTTATTTAATTTTTTGTCGTCTGTTCCAAACATCCTTGTCCAATTGATGAAAAGCTTTTTATCAGTAAGAAAATTCGGTTTTCTAGGTAAAACATAAGATTAACATCTATGTCGTCCCGAGTCAAAACATCTGGTCAAATATGACTGTATCTGTTGATGTATTAAAATGTTTTATGGTCACGGAAGTATGACTTTTTTTTGTTGCCAATATAAATTACGATGATGATGGTGATATTAATGGTTAGAGCTTAAATGTAGACGATGATTAAACGTAGAAGTCAAAAAGTCTAATCGAAATGGTTGGATTTATTTACTATTGTATTTTTTTTACGGTCCGCAACTCCGCATGGTCACTGAATAAATCCATTTGAAAAGATAGCTAAATATAAATAAAATTATCCAAAGGGAAGGTTTGCGACGGACTTTCCAAAAAAAGTATTGTTTGTATTAGTGCGTGTATTTACGATCTTTGAGCAAAGCTCTTCTTGTTCATGAAATCTCTTCGATTTGTTGCAACTTGAGGAGCAGAGAGACAACTAGAACATGGGGAGCAGGACGGGCGATCTGGTGACACGTGTCCAATCAGCTCATCGCTTCGATCACGATGCCTTGTTTCGTTTCGCCGCCGACAACGTCTCCGGTTTTCCGACCAACCCATCCCAGTTCACTGTCTCACAGGTATTCCTTTGTCCAATCGCCGGCGTCTTGATGGTTTCTCTGCCAAGAAATAAACTTTATCAGATTTATTTGTTTTTTGTTTTTACAGTTCGGACATGGGCAGTCGAATCCCACGTTTCTGATCGAGGTTGGCTCAGGGAGTTCCTTGAAACGATACGTTTTGAGGAAGAAGCCTCCTGGGAAGCTCCTGGAATCTGCTCATGCTGTTGATAGGGAGTTTCAGGTATCAATCTTCAACTCTCCAAAATCCCCACTCTACTACTCAATTTCGAATTTTGAGTGGTGAAGATGATGATACTAGTTTACCTTGATCCCTTCGATTTTTTAGGAAGATGAAATGTTTTTCTTTGTAATACCATTTGAACTGTTTTCTGGTCACTTTGTGATGTTGCCTAAAGCTTCTGATGATGGTTATGTAGGTGCTTAAGGCTCTGGGTGAGCATACACAAGTTCCTGTTCCTAAAGTCTTCTGCTTATGCACTGACCCTACCGTGATTGGGACTGCTTTTTACATTATGGAGTTTATGCAAGGAAGAATTTTTATAGACCCCAAGTTGCCGGTAAGACATTCTGTTATCCGAACATCCGCTTTTCTCGCTTGAGATGTGGACCTAAAGGCGTAAATTGTGTGTGTTTCATTGGTTTTTGAATTAGAATGTAGCACCCGGAAGAAGGAGTGCGATCTATCGTGCAACAGCCAAAGCCTTAGCTTCTCTTCATTCTGCCGATGTGGATGCTATTGGTCTTGAGAAATATGGCCGGCGCGCCAATTACTGCAAAAGACAGGTTAGTCAGTTAATTAAGGCTGGTGAATCTTGACATCACTAGCTTGTTGTTCTGCTATTGCTTATGTGCTCTTGCGCTGAAGATCTTTTGAATTGATTGAATATCCTAAATTTCAGATAGACAGATGGTTCAAACAATATTTGGCTTCAACAAGTGAAGGCAAACCCGAAAGGAATCCAAAGATGTTTGAGCTTGTTGATTGGTTACGCAAAAGCATACCCGCGGAAGATTCAACAGGAGCAACATCAGGCCTTGTCCACGGTGACTTCCGCATTGACAATCTCGTGTTTCATCCTTCTGAGGTCTGAAGGCTTTCAAGCTCTTTTTTTTTTTTTTGTTGGATCCTTGGATAGTCTCGGAGACCTTTCTGAAATCACCTTAAGTAGCAGGATCGAGTCATTGGAATAATTGATTGGGAATTGTCCACGCTTGGGAACCAAATGTGTGATGTCGCATACAGCTGTATGGTAATAAGCTATTCTCGTTGTTACGTTGTATTCACAAATCGGTTTTCTTTGCTTCGTGCTCTGATATACAGTTCATGGTATTGGCAGCATTACATTGTGAATGTTCAGCTCGATCAGGAGCACGTGAGTGAAGGTCTCGAAACTACTGGACTTCCGGAAGGAATGCTTTCGATGCCAGAATTTCTCTTAGAATACTGTTCTGCATCGGTAAGTCCTGCAATAACATGTAATGTTAAATTTTGTTTTTTCTATATAAAACGCTTTCTTGCAAGATGAACCGAGTCAGATTTCTTCATAACTTGCCTATATTTTCTCAAATTTCGATTGTTGTGACATATTGGCAAATGAACTTTAGGGAAAACCATGGCCTGCTGCAAACTGGAAGTTCTACGTAGCCTTCTCTATGTTTCGAGCTGCTTCAATCTACACGGGAGTGTACAACAGATGGTTAATGGTATTGGCGGGAATTTTCCTTTACTTTAAGATCCTTTGTTATGCAGTTGTAGAGCCGTTGACATTGTACTGGTTATGTAGGGGAATGCTTCTGCTGGTGAACGAGCCCGGAATACAGGGGCTCAAGCCAATGAGCTTGTAGAGTCTGCCTTGAGTTATATTGCGCGCCAAAATGTTCTCCCTCAGCACCCTCCATCTGGTAATCGGTCTCTTCGAGATTCAAGTTTTGCTATGGAAAACTGTTTAGTTAACATTTCGTAAACAATAATTTGACCGGTCCTTTGCGTTTCTCATCTGGGATCCAGTTAAAAGGAACATGAGCCCATCCTATGAAAGCCTTGTGGATGGAAGCGGGAGATTGGTTCCCAACAGAAAGGTATTGGAGTTAAGGCAGAAGTTGATCAGATTTATGGAAACTCACATCTACCCGATGGAAAAAGAGTTTTCCAAACTTGCTCAATCAGATTTGCGATGGACTGTTCACCCCGAGGAAGAAAGGTTAAAGGAGTTGGCAAAGAGAGAAGGCCTATGGAACTTATTTGTTCCTGTATGTATATATTACTCTACAAGTCTTTTACTGTTTTTACCTTGAATGAGAGTGTACTTATGGATTCTTGGTTCTTGCAGGTAGATAGTGCTGCTAGAGCTAAAAGAGAACTGGCAGCTTTCGAGAATAAACATGATTTCTCGACCAGGTCTTTTGACCAATTGTTTGGTGAGGGCCTCACGAACCTGGAGTATGGTTACCTTTGTGAGATCATGGGTCGTTCCGTTTGGGCTCCACAGGTGTTTAACTGTGGTGCACCTGATACTGGAAACATGGAGGTAGGAAAAGCCTGTTTCTGTTTACGGGTCCAGAAGTCATCTCATTTCTTATTACGTGTATTTATATAATCTGTATTATCTTGTAGGTGATACTGCGGTATGGAAACAAAGAACAAATTTCTGAATGGCTTATTCCGTTGCTTGAGGGAAAAATTCGTTCTGGATTCGCTATGACTGAGCCACAAGTTGCATCTTCTGATGCAACCAATATTGAGTGCTCTATTAGAAGGTAAAATAATTTTTGATTCTCTAGTATGTTGGAAATTACTTTCATTCGAGTTCTCAACTAAAAAAAACAAAAGCATATCAAATGCTATATATCATCTTGGTAATTCCTGAAAACTGAGGCTGAGTCCGCATTACTCCCTATAGCTAACTCTGTTGGTTATACAGACAAGGTGATTCATACGTCATTAATGGCACAAAATGGTGGACAAGTGGGGCCATGGATCCCAGGTGCAGAGTACTTATTCTCATGGTTAGTTCTCTGTTCTTGCACTCTTTTCTATCTAAAAAAGTAAATCCAGTTCTTAAATGTTATCCGTGTTGTACAGGGAAAAACTGATTTCAACGCCCCAAAACATAAGCAACAGTCTATGATATTAGTGGACATGCAGACTCCAGGTATACATGTGAAGAGGCCTCTCACAGTGTTTGGTTTTGATGACGCGCCTCATGGACATGCTGAAATATCTTTTGAAAATGTGATTGTCCCGGCGAAGAATATTCTCCTAGGAGAAGGCCGAGGATTCGAGATTGCTCAGGTAATACTACTAAAGATAGATACAGATTCAGGGCTTGTAGTAACAGAGATTGTATTTATCGGTCTGTTTGTGATATCAGGGTAGATTAGGCCCTGGAAGATTGCACCATTGCATGAGACTGATAGGTGCAGCAGAGCGTGGAATGGAGCTAATGGCTCAAAGAGCTCTTAGTAGGAAAACTTTTGGGAAATTCATAGCGGAGCAAGGTTCTTTTGTCTCTGATCTTGCAAAGGTAAACGACACTGTGTGCTATAATGACCCAAAAATGCTTCTTATGAGTTCGTCTTATATGAGTGGTTGTATGATACAGCTGCGGGTAGAACTGGAAGGAACTCGGTTGTTGGTTCTGGAAGCTGCTGATCATCTCGATAAGTTTGGAAACAAAAAAGCTCGAGGAATTCTCGCAATGGCCAAGGTACAAAGTTATATATTTGTAAATTCTGTTCCCATCAGAAATCGATACGAGGGTAGATCTTGAAAAGACAAAATCATTTTGGGTACACAGGTTGCAGCACCAAACATGGCGTTGAAGGTACTTGACACGGCAATGCAAGTCCATGGAGCAGCCGGTGTATCCTCGGACACAGTCTTAGCGCATCTGTGGGCCACGGCTAGAACTCTCAGGATTGCTGATGGACCTGACGAGGTTCATCTTGGGACCATTGGCAAGTTAGAATTACAAAGAGCTTCAAAGCTTTAAAATCTTTTTCAGATCTGTGAGTCTTGTCCTCCTCAGGAAAAAAATATATATCAGATGTTTCTTGTTTTATTTACATCAAAATAAAGCTGTTCTTGGGTCTTTTACTGAAAAGCAGTACAGTAAATCTGAAGTATATACAGGATCTTCTCATGTGTTTCATACTTGTTAATAAATTTGCATCGTGACATTCAACAGACAAAACGAACGAACCCATTTAAGTTTCTTCTCAAGCCTCGTCGTAGCTGCTTTTACTCTATCTCTAAAACAATTTTCTAGTTCAGTAAGAATCACGGAATTTCTTTAGAAAATCATCAAGATTACATTTAACGTAGTTTCACTCCGTCCCACAAATACATGCCTCTCTAAAGCCATACTATTCATAGGTTTATCATAAAAGCGGGAAACCAAACATTTTTAGATGGAGAAAGAAACCTCACAAACTAGTTTGAAAAAGTTGCTAAAGACAGAAAATGTAACATAGCCTCATGTTCTTTCCTTAAACCCTAAAAATAGCATTGAAACTCATCTTCGATTTTCTTTATTAGCCCCATCGAGATCTTTCTATCCATTTGTTCTAAGCTTTGTAAATACCAAACACCAAAAACCCCTCCCCCAATAAAAAAGACAAAAAAAATCAGAGCTAGAAGGGGGCTTATAGCCACAGTTACAGGCCCCGTCTGCTCCATTTCTAACATGTTATAGACACATTAGAAAGTAGAAGAAAAAAAAAAACTTGAAAACTCTCTCTTTCGCCCTTTTGAACTTTGTGAACAAAGAAAACCACAAAAAAACCAAAAAAAAAAAATGGCGTTTGATGATGACAAGAAAAAGAAATGCATCATCGCCGGTAGTGTCTCGAGTTTGCTAGTCATCATGGTTGTCTCTGTAGCTGTCGTAACATCTAAAAATTCGCCCAATGAAAATGAGATCCGGAAAAACACCAAAGCGGTTAAAGCAGTTTGTGCACCCACTGACTTCAAAGAGACCTGCGTCAACAGCTTAATGAACGCCTCTCCCAAATCCACTGAGCCTCTCGACCTCATCAAACTCGGCTTCAACGTCACTATCAAATCCATCAACGAAGCACTCCAAAAAGCCTCTCGAGATGTCAAAGCCAAGGCTGACAAAGCCCCAGAAGCAAAGGGTGCTTTCGAGCTGTGTGAGAAGCTGATGACTGACGCTATTGATGATCTGCAAAAGTGTGTTGATCACGGGTTCTCAGTTGCAAAGATTGACGGCTTTGTTGAGGATCTTCGGGTTTGGCTAAGTGGCTCCATCGCATTCCAGGAAACCTGTATGGATTCCTTTGAGGAAATTAAGTCGAATCTTTTGCAAGACATGCTTAAAATCTTCAAAACATCAAGAGAGCTTAGCAGCAATAGCCTTGCCATGGTTACTGACCTCTCCACCATTCTCCCTAACTCCAACATCACAGGTAGATATCTCCAACATATCCATTGCCAATCAATCTGAACAAATGGGAAAAAAAAAAGATCGTAATTTGCGTCTTGGTAACAGGACTAACCGGAACTCTTGCAAACTACGCCAGAAAGCTCTTGTCTACAAAAGATGGTATCCCAACATGGGTTGGACCAGAGGCACGACGGCTAATGGCAGCACCACAAGGAGGAGGACCACCAGTCAAGGCTAATGCCGTGGTGGCTCAAGACGGAAGTGGCCAGTTCAAGACCATCGCCGATGCTCTAAATGCTGTGCCTAAAGACAATAGACTACCATTCGTCATCCACATCAAACAAGGTATCTACAAGGAGAAAGTAATAGTAACCAAGAAAATGCCTTACGTCACTTTCATCGGTGATGGACCAACCAAGACCAAAATCACCGGCAGCCTCAATTTCGGTCTCGGAAAAGTCAAAACTTTCCTAACAGCCACCGTCAGTGAGTTTCGATTTTCCACTCCACCAAAGAGAGATGCTTGAAATTACAAATTAACCTTTTCCAAATTCTGTGTGTTTGCAGCAATCGATGGCGAACATTTCACAGCTAAGAACATCTGGATTGAGAACACGGCTGGACCAGAGGGAGGACAGGCGGTGGCGTTGAGAGTATCGGCGGATTACGCCGTCTTCTACAGCTGTCAAATCGACGGTTATCAAGACACCTTATACGTTCACTCTCAACGGCAATTCTACCGTGATTGCACAGTCTCCGGCACCGTAGATTTCATCTTCGGCGACGCGAAATGTATTCTTCAGAACTGTAAAATCGTCGTACGGAAACCTAAGGGAGGTCAATCGTGTATGGTCACCGCTCAGGGACGCACCGACGTCCGCGAATCGACCGGATTGGTGCTCCACAACTGCCATATAGTGGGAGAACCGGCGTATATTCCGGTGAAATCTGTGAACAAAGCATATCTAGGAAGGCCGTGGAAAAAGTTCTCGAGGACGATTATTATGAAGACGACGATCGATGACGTCATCGATCCAGCGGGATGGCTTCCTTGGCGGGGAGACTTTGCGCTGGAAACGCTATACTACGCCGAGCATCTGAATATTGGGCCTGGATCGAATCAGGCCCAAAGAGTTAATTGGCCCGGAATCAAGAAACTATCGCCCGAGGAGGCTCTTTTATACACTGGCGGGAGATTCTTACATGGCGATACGTGGATCCCACAAACCCAAGTTCCGTACATCGCGAATATGTAGGAGATTCCAATTTGTAAATGGTTTTTGTTTTCCGGGTTTTAAGCCTTTTGCTTTTAGTGTGTTCTTCTGAAATTGTTTGAAGAAAGATTATTCATAGCCCATTTCATCGGTGGTTTATTTCAATAGACTAGGGTGATTTGATCTTGGTTCGGTCTAGGATCTAGGGACTGTGGTGAAAGGGACAAAGAGATCATAGACAATATAAAGGTAGTATTAAAATGCAAAGTATCTTTTACAAATGGTATGCTTTTTGGATTGGATGAGACTTGAGAGGATAATATTGAATATATGATGATGAGAAAGTCGAGGAGTTTGCATGCGTTATGGAGATCACGTGATGCTCATGCACATGTATCGTCCTTCGAGAGTCCCTGCATCAGATATTGTTCTTTGAACGGTGAAATCAATAACATTCCTCGCTTCGGGAAATTAAAAATAAATATTTTAGCATAGTAATTGTATAATTGCATAGTTAGATTGAATCATAGTGTTTCCCGTTTCATTTTGGTTGAACTATTTATTTTGCAAATTGGGAGATTGAGGGTAGATTTTTATACGATATCTATGGTTGACTGCTATAAATACCAAAAATATTTACACTATTCAACTTTTTTTTTTTTTGGTACTAGAAAATGATATACAGTAAGTTGTTTGCGCTATAAAATGATGCTTAGAATTATTCTAATTATTTGTAAGAAGTGTTTTAAAAAATAATTATGAAATGTAGGGAATATAATATCAGGACAACGAAGAGCTAATATATTGCCTTTTTTTACAAAGTAATAAAAATGGAGATACGTATAAAAAAAAGAAAGAAATGAGGGATGTTGAAATTGACATAATAGACGAGTCGTTGCATTGAATTGAGTGAACCCCACACTCTCCCAACGGCCATCCCCAACCTCTTTGATCCCTTCACAATCCCATTTTTCCGCCATTAAAACACTCACCTTTAACACTCCACAACTCAAACGATAAACGACCCAAATCGAAGAAGAATGTCCAACAATTCCCCCATTTTCCCCATCCCCGATTCTCAACATTTCAGCGACTATGGCTTCGATCCCCAAATCGACTACTTTCAGGTTTTTTTTTTTAATTAACGTTTTGCCATGGTTTCTGAGGTTTTCTCTTCAATGTTTGTTTCGTTTCGAATTAACAAAATCAAATCGAGTAGATTTTTGCTCTACATTTCGCATTTGGCTCTGTTTTGGGTGAATTTGGTCCGTTAGTGATTTTATTTTTGATGTTTATGGTTTTCCGTGAAAGGTTATGGAGGAAGCAAGGAAGCATAAGAGATCAGAGACGTCGGCAAAATCCTCAATTAACGGGCTTCACTTCAAGCTCCAAAAACCCATATCAAAAGATGACCCGACCCGATCCACAATGCACAACAAGAGGAAGAAACGGTGGTGGTGGAAGAAAGCTTTCCCTTTTTTCAAGTGGCGGAAATGGCCAATCTCCACCGTCTGCTTGAACGAGGACCGGCGGTCTAGGAATTATCGCGCCGTAACCGGGTCAATGTCGATGTCCGGTCCGATTTACGCAACTGAGAGCCGGAGCGGGTCGAGTACACCGTACCGTATGACGACGTTGAGTAGATCTTCGTCGGGACCAATAGCGGGAACACTGACGCCGGCGAGGAAGGGTGACGTGGCAATCCCGTATCTTAGCTTACGAGAGCTTACCATGGAGCCGCAGCAACAGAGGATTTCTACCTCTTCTTCTCCCATTTACTTGGTCACGTAAAAAAAAGAAAAGGATATTTAGTAAAACAAAACTTTTCTTTTTGGTTGGGGAAAATGCAATAGGAAAATGTGATCTCGCGTTTTTTAAAATCTTTTTGCAATTGCTGAAAGCTGTAAAGAGTTTCCATCTATCCCCACGTGAACAATATATAGTTGCTTTTTTTTGTCGGCTTTGTATGATTTTAGACTTTTAGTTAACATTTTCAGAAGTATAATTATTAATTTGAATATTTCAGAGCGTGATCGTTGAAACTTTAAAATTGAATGGAACCGGTAGGAATATGTTTTTCTTACATAAGGACCGTTAGTACATAAACTCGAACTTTGATCCTTAATTTTAAGAAATTAATGCGTTTCATTCGATACACAAAATGTTTAACAAATGTTCCATGTAGAGTCACTCTAACATAGGTTTCATTATGTATGAGGTTAGCTAGTCTTTCATTTTGGAAAAAAAATAACCAAAAAGGCTTGTCTTTCATATGTTGCAGTTTTATGTTGATCGTCTTTGAGGTATTTTGGTGTACTTTTGTAGCAGGTTCTTTCTTTTAGTAATCTCAGAAGGAAATAGCTGTTCATGGACCTAAATGATAGAACATTACGCAACTTAGACGCTATGCTAGGTGCCTAGGTCTTACTCGAACATAAAGATTCATACAATTTGCGTTTAATGTTCATTATTTTTTATTCCAAGTTTTTTATTAGTACAAAGGCTTCCAAAACTAGAAGACTTTAAAGGGAGATTTACAAAGAAACATGAAAACATTTTCTGTTTCTTGTTGTTTTATCTCATTTGAAGCATTAGCAACTCTGGTTTCTCAATATACTCTTTCCACTGGCAGCAAAACCGAGCTACCGTTGCTCCATCTAGAACTCTGTGATCCGCAGCGATATTAACCTGAATCAAAAAACCGAATTCATATTCCGGGCTTTGGTACCAAAAAAATATATAGAACCAATTAAGAAATGATGAGCATGACTAAGCTTTACCATCATTATCGATGCAGGATAAACAGTTCCGTCTTTTGAGAATTTTGGAACTTTCTCGATTCTTCCAAGAGCAATGATGGCAACTTCAGGTAAGTTTAGAAGCGGGGACCCGAATTTCCCACCGATTGCTCCAATGTTACTCAGAGTTATGGTTCCACCAGTTACATCCTCGGGGCTAAGTTTGTTGTTTGTTGCCAAATGTTGTAACCGAGACAGCTCTTTGGTTATCTCTAGTAGAGATAACGACTGGACATTCTTTATATTAGGTACGACAAGGCCATGCTCAGTAGCCATTGCAACTCCAATGTTATGTGAACCTGCAATAAACCAAGAATTGATAACTTTAATCCAAAGATAATAAGCAAAAAATCAAAATAACAATAGAATTTTCTGAGAGAAAAAAACCTTTGAGGACGATCTCGAGAGACTCCTCGTTGAAGCAACTATTCACAAAGGGATATTTGCTTAGAGCCATTGACAGCGACTTGATTAAGGTAGGAAGGAAAGTGTGCTTGACCGTGGAATCTGTATTGTTCTCTTTGAAGAATTGCTTGAGCTCCACAAGTGCATCGCAGTTTATCTCCTCAACGAAATGAAAATGTGGTACCTTTGTAGCCATAGTCATTGTCTTGACCATTGCTCGGTTGAATCCCCTGAGAATAAGGAAAACTCTCGGCATCGATTCATATACAAGATGGGTTCATTTACCATTATAAACCAGCCACATATTGACAACAATATGCGTACCTTAGAGGAATTGTTCTATCTTCAATGTTACTCGTTATAGAGGAAATGGAGTTTCCTCCTTTAACATGACTCTCAGAAGAAACTGAATCAATTACATTACCATCCTGGCCACCAATTTTAAGAACATCCTCTTTCAAGACTCTACCATCTTTACCACTTCCAATAACGACATTGATGTCAATGCCAAGGTCTTTTGCAAGGTTACGAACAGCAGGCGTTGAAAGAGCTCCAACAAGATTGTCTGTGTTTTGCTTCGAACCGCTCGGATTTACATTTCCTGGACTTTCAGAGGTTACTAGAAGAGCGTCCTGAGCGTCTTCAACCGATAGCGTAACCAGAGTCTCTCCAACCTTTGAATCAATAGATTTTAGCTTCATATAAGTACTTGTAAAAGTGATGCAACTGATACCTGATCTATCAGACGCTTTAAACATAATATATATAAAGAGTAACATGCTCAAAATCGCTTAAACACAGTTATCAAATTGTCCACACTCCAGAAAGAAAAAAAAGAGAGTATCTAATAATTTAATTTGTACGCTCTAACCTTAATAATGTCACCTGGAGCATGAGAAATCAGAGCCACTTTCCCCTTAAAACGGCTCGTTATCTCTATTGTTGCTTTATCGCTCTGAACTTCACAGAGTGGCTGAAACTCTTCAACAGGATCGCCCTGCAAAAAAAATTAAAAAAAGTAGCAAACAGCAAACTGATTCAAAATTAAACCCAAAAGAACAATCGAAAAAGATTGAATCTTTAAGCAGGGAAAAAAAAACAGACCTCTTTCACAAACCACTTGAGTAGCTCACATTCAGCAATACCTTCCCCAGTTTGTGCCAGTGGCACATCAATCAACCCTGCATTTGAATCTATGGCCATGGCTTCGTTCGAAAACCAGCTTCTTCTTCTTCCTCCACACCATTTCATCAACTGCCAAATTACGAATAAACTTGTTCGATCTTAAAATTAACCTGAAAAATTAAATATTTCCCACTTTGACAGCCTTAGCAAACGAGTTTCCCCCCCCCCCCCATTTCTCAACTTAAGTCCCCTAAAAAGTTTATTTTCTTCTAAATTTAAGAGTTTAAGGTTTGTTTTCCACTCGAAGAAGTTTTTAAAAGAGCTCAACAAAATTAGAAAAAAAAAAAATTAGAAAATATGGTCTGAAGAAACTTACAGAGAGAGAGTTAACAAGGAATGGGCGCGACGTCGGAGAGGTGAACGAGTGAGAATGATACTCCGGTACCCGAAACGGCGGAGCGCAAACAGAAGATGAGCTGAATAGGCGGAGAAACCGATGGTTCCTCAAGATCCGCCGCGAGATCATCGTTTTTCACGGTTGCTCTTGGTAAATTAAATCAGTGTATGGAGAAACAGAAAGAAGAAAAAAAAAACAGATGAATTTGGGATTTCTTTCTAACAACAACTGGAAAGATAAAAATCTGCCTTACTGTATAAGTCGTGTTTCAGTTTCGGATTACGTGCTGAATTCCACGTCAGCGGAATCTGAATATGAAAGTTTAGGAAGAGGATCAAAGGTCCACGTGTATCCTGACCAAAGTGAGCAGTAATAATCGTAATAAAACTCATTTAAAAGCCCAACAGGTAGGTGCTATGACAGATAAAGAGGCGCAATTAGTTTTGGTTATGTTTAGGGCAAAACATATCCATGTACCTCATCAAAACCCTGCCAATAAAACTCTTTATTTATATGACAAAAAATTTAAAAACATTCTTTAGAAATTAATATCATGCATAGAATTGGTCTCCATATTTTGAATATTTTCCAAATTGTAGGAGAGAAAGACGAAAGTTGGGGGGGGGGGGGGGAAATGGGAATGATAAAAGTGGACAAACAATGAAAAAAATAAAATGATAAAAAGTTAAAAACCGATCAAACAAATTAGAGAGATTTGAATGGAAGGCTGCTTCCTAGATAATAGATTTCGTGAATAAATGCCCAACATAATCTTTCAAACTTGAGGTAGCAACAACCTAATCCAAATTACATCTAACATGCACCTATTGATCCTTTTCTCTTCTGATCAGTGTTGTGCCAACCCTAAACAATTGTTTTAGACCATGGCCATTTATGTTGAACCAAATCCATCTTGGCGGTGAAAGATATTTCAGAGAGAGAAGTAACTTTTGGGTGATGAAAACAACGGATGCTTAGTACGTCTCTCACGTAAGCATTCCTTGCACGATTAAAAATCATAAGCACCTACGTTGTAGAGGAGATAGCGAAAAATGGCATGAAGTATTAAAAATCATAAGCACCTACGTTATAGAGGAGATAACGAAAAATGGCATAAAGTATTAACAGAAGTGGTCTATTGTCTATATAATATAATATAAGTTTCAAAATTCTATTTCCTAGAAGGCTTCCTCTCTTATAAGTTATGAAAATGATTTGAATACTTGTCTAAGCATATGAATTTTCATTTACATTTTCTTTTGCTATTGTATAAGAAACGGAGAATGGATTCAGGATCAGCCAAGTTTGGTACCCGTACGACTAAGACCACCAGCCAAACACACATTTCAAGTAAAAATCCGAGAGTTCAACAGCAAAATATATCTTTCTTGATCCGTAATAATTCCTTTTTTATACAAAAGAAAAATACAGTCATGATTTTATCGAGAAAAAGATAGATCCCAAAAACCAAAAAAAACTACCGTATAAGGGAGAAAAAAATACAACAATTTATCGAAAACATTATCAAAGTGTCGTTGCGTTGAGGAGTGTGCCACTGTACCATTATTATTAGACGTCATCTAATCTGTTTATATTTCACGTCTCTCTCTTTTTAGTTTCTTAATTCCGAGTTTTGACTCGCAATCTCAACGAAGATCGATCGAAAATGGCTTCACGAACCAAGGGGAAGACGATGATGGAAGTTGGCGGCGATGGCGTTGCCGTCATAACACTCATCAACCCTCCCGTCAATTCCCTATCATTTGACGGTACTATTCTCTTCTACTTTCTCAGATTTGTTTAATTTTTTATAATCTGGAATTTCTTCGATTTACCTCTTCAGATTCTGGGTCAATTTCGGTGTTTTATTCTCGCCCAATTCTTTTCTGGCTCTGTGTGTGTTTTTAGTTCCCCAAATCGAATTTATGATCTTAGTATGTGAAATTCGGACTGCTTAGCTTGATCTACATGCTCTTTTAGTTTAGTCAATAACTTACGATGATGATCTCGAGAAACCTCGTTTTTGGCATCCGACTTGTATCGATTTTATTACGACGAAGCGCGAATCATGTGTCTGCTACTCTGTTTTGTTCTGTACAGTGCTAGATAACCTCAAGAGTAATTACGAGGAGGCCTTGAGCAGGAATGATGTTAAAGCTATTGTTATTACGGGTATGTCTGGAGATCATTCTCTTCCATGCTCAACACATTTTTTGCAAACTTTTAGTGATGATCTGTTAATCGCTTTTTTTTTTTTAAAACTACAGGTGCTAAAGGGAAGTTCTCTGGTGGCTTTGATATATCTGGATTTGGTGAAATTCAGAAAGGGAAAAGTATGTTTCTGTGTCTTGGTATTTTTGGTGATTGTCTTGGCGTTATGTATAGGTAACAATGTAATCTGGTGTTATACTGATTTTCTCAGGGAAAGAGCCAAAGGTTGGATACATATCAATTGACATCATAACCGATTTGCTTGAAGGTTATCTTTCTACGTACCGGCTTAAATTGATTTATGCAATGGTTCTGATGATGTGTTTCTGAGGGATCGATTTATTTCTTTGGATGCAGCTGCAAGGAAACCGTCTGTTGCTGCCATTGATGGGCTTGCCTTGGGAGGCGGGTTAGAGCTTGCCATGGTAGAGTTTCTATGCTATCCACTGCCTTCCCGAAAATTCCTCTGGTGAGCTTTTTCTTATTTGATGGATGGTGACACAGTTGTATGATTTTTTTTTTCAGGCTTGCCATGCAAGAATATCAGCTCATGGTGCACAGTTAGGTCTGCCCGAGCTACAACTCGGTGTTATTCCTGGGTTTGGAGGTACATACTCAACTTTTTTTTATTGTCAAGTCCGTCATGGGGGCCTTTAGTCTTTTGATTAGAGTAGGGGTTGCGATGTTCCTCTATAGGTCTATCTTTTACTTCTAATACGATTTGCCCGTGAGCGGTGTACGAGTTTGATCATATAGGAGGCAGAATCGTTGACTCCCATGGACCATCATATGCGGATATGTCAATCATGTTTGTGTTGAATGTCAAGTCACTTTCGTTTTTCTTTTCCTTATTATGCTCCTTTGGATTGATGCAGGAACACAGCGTCTTCCACGTCTTGTTGGTCTTACAAAAGCCCTTGAAATGATTTTGGTACGTCAGTGCCTTGTACTTATGATAGCGTTACTCTGCTTGGTTGAAATGTAAAAACATTTACTTTTGTTGAAACATATAGACATCTAAACCAGTTAAAGCTGAGGAAGGTCATTCGTTGGGTCTTGTTGATGCTGTCGTGCCACCTGCTGAGTTACTGAACGCTGCTCGTCGCTGGGCCCTTGACATAGTCGAGAGGAGAAAACCATGGGTCTCTAGTGTTTTAAAGACTGATAAGTTACCTCCCCTTGGAGAGGCAAGGGAGATACTGAAGTTTGCCAGGGAACAGACACGCAAGCAAGCCCCCAACCTGAAACACCCCTTGATGTGCCTTGAGGCTGTTGAAGTGGGTATTGTTTCTGGTCCTAGGGCTGGTCTAGAAAAGGTACATTACTATCTTGTTGTCGCTTCGTGATATGTTCTTTAGCGTTTCCTCCCAGGCTAGTGACCCGTACGAATTTCTACCACATTGTCACTTACAGGAGGCTGAAGTCGGCTCACAAGTGGTAAACCTGGATACCACCAAAAGCTTGATCCATCTCTTCTTTTCTCAGCGAGGAACTACAAAGGTCTGTGAGTTTATATGCAGTCATGTTGTTTAACTTATGTACCACTAAACCTTTTTTTTTTGGTTTTTGTTTTTAGTAAGATGTTAACTATTAGTGAAAACTTTCCCTCTTTTTTTGTTTTGATTTTATTCCTTTCAATTTACCGTATGGACAGGTTCCTGGAGTTACTGATCGTGGGTTGGTACCTAGGAAGATAAAAAAGGTAGCCATAATTGGGGGCGGGTTAATGGGATCTGGAATAGCAACTGCATTGATCCTCAGTAACTATCCAGTGGTTCTGAAGGAGGTAAATGAGAAGTTCCTTGAGGCAGGAATTGGCAGAGTCAAAGGTGGGGATGAATTTCTGTACATTGCTTACTAACGATTTGCAAATGCTTGATCTGACTAATTTCATAATTTGATCAGCTAATCTTCAGAGTCGTCTAAGGAAAGGAAGCATGTCTCAGGAAAAGTTTGAGAAAACCATGTCTCTCCTTAAGGGTTCTCTTGACTATGAAAGCTTTAGGGATGTGGACATGGTCATCGAGGTAATAACGAGCATAATTGATTTGAAGTTGTTTTTTTTTATATGGCAAGGTAAGTGAATTGACTTTGTACGATGTCTTTTTGGTGGCTTGAAACAGGCTGTCATTGAGAATTTATCTTTGAAGCAGCAAATTTTTGCTGATCTGGAAAAGTACTGTCCTCAACATTGTATCCTTGCTAGCAACACATCTACCATTGATTTGAACAAAATAGGGGAGCGGACCAAGTCCCAGGATCGGATTATCGGAGCACATTTTTTCAGGTGATTACTTATCCTTCGGAGTTAGGATGAATTTCAGTGAAAATCTTATGCATAGAGTGGTTTTGCTCGCTCTGAACCCATCATGTCTATTCATTTTTCTGATGCAGTCCAGCACATGTCATGCCACTACTTGAAATTGTTCGGACCAATCATACATCTGCCCAAGTAATTGTTGACCTCTTAGATGTTGGAAAGAAGATTAAGAAAACACCAGTCGTGGTGGGAAACTGCACAGGGTTTGCAGTGAATAGAATGTTCTTCCCATACACACAGGCAGCTATGTTCCTTGTTGAGCGTGGAACAGATCCATATCTAATCGACAGAGCAATCAGCAAGTTTGGAATGCCAATGGGTCCCTTCAGGTATATCGCATTGTAAAGATCCATATCATTCTCATACTTTTTTATTAACTGTACTTCTGTTACCTATATGAACGAGTAGATTGTGTGACCTGGTTGGATTTGGTGTGGCGATTGCAACCGCAACGCAGTTCATTGAGAACTTTCCAGAACGGACAAACAAATCAATGATTATCCCACTCATGCAAGAGGACAAGAGAGCTGGTATGTCAGAAACAAGAGCTTGCCAATGTTTATTAATTTAAGATTTTATCTAAATCTTGTGGGCTTTCCTGTTGATTTCAGGTGAAGCCACTCGTAAAGGTTTCTATCTGTATGACGACAAGCGCAAGGCTAAACCTGATCCCGAATTAAAGAAATATATTGAGAAGGCAAGGAGCATATCTGGAGTAAACATTGACCCTAAGGTATCTGTCTGTCTAAAAATCGAGTAAAGATCTTTATTTGCATTTGAGAAGAACTCAGTGTTCTATTCTCACTCTGACTGGTTGTCTTGTCTTGCAGCTGGCGAAACTGTCGGAAAAGGAAATTATTGAAATGACGTTTTTTCCAGTAGTGAACGAGGCGTGTAGAGTTTTTGCTGAAGGTATTGCTGTCAAAGCAGCAGACCTTGACATCGCTGGCATAATGGGAATGGGGTTTCCACCTTACAGGTCAGTGTTGCCATCAAATAAATGCTGTTACTCCGAGATCCTTATCAAATTCTCTTTTCTCATTGTGGTTTTAATATAAATCTCTTGTAAACAGAGGAGGGATCATGTTCTGGGCTGATTCCATAGGATCGAAATACATTCACTCGAAGCTAGATGAGTGGTCGAAGACTTATGGTGATTTCTTCAAGCCTTGTGCTTTCTTGGCTGAAAGGGCATCTAAAGGAGCTCCTCTGGTGATTATTTCTCTCTCTCTCTTCTTCCTCTTCTTCCTCTTCTTTTTGGAATGTACCTTTCAGTTTTGTGAGCAGGTTTTAATTTTTTTGCTTAAGGATTGCTATTAACATAATCTATTTGAGCTTGGCTTTTCTTTGTTAATTAAATCAAAATACTAGCATGAGTATTTATTTAATCATATCCAGTTTAGCCTCTTACAGTTGCTGGATTGTAACTCAGATTATTGATTACTCCTCCATTTTTCTTGCAGAGCGCTCCCCTGGAACAAGTCAGATCTCGGTTGTAAGATCAGCGTTTCAACGTAAACATGTCTTCGTTGGTGCATCTTCTGTGTTTTCTTTATGTCCACCTTTTTTACATGCCGAAAAGTTTGGATCGCTGGCCTCAAGAAGCTTTTAAAATAAAGTCTCATCTCAGACATCAGACAGATGAATCTGGGAGAAAGTAGAGAGTAAGTTCGAGTAGCAATAAGATATGTTCCTATTTTATATGATACTTTGTTATACAAAGTCGTCAGATACATTTGTTATAAAGCTCTATGGAGTGATATGATTTATTGATATTTGATAATGGCATTGTCACTTAATTTTCATTACTTCTACTACAGAAGGTTAAACAAAAAAAAATTAATTCCTTCGATCTGCTGGATATATACTTATATAGATTAGTGAGTGTGGTACACACAGGCGATATGTTGGTGAATCAATATGGAACCATGGATGGCAATTTTGATATAATGGTGTCAAATTTGGAAATGTAAGGGCTAAAATGGAATTTATGTGTATAAAAATAGAAATATTACGTAATAACTAAACATGACAGAAATAGAAGGGGACCATAAATAGAAGAATTGGAGAAAGAAAAGATAAGACAAAGAGATGCGTAATAAGTATAGAAAAGAGATAAGACACGATTTATCAATTCCTGGACCACCTTTTGTTTTTCTCTACGTCTCTACTTTACGATATATGTACAGATTACACCTTAATACCTTATAACTCATCTTCGTGTCAATTGTAAACCAATTAAAATTTGGATCTACTGGATACATAGTAAGATGCCGTGGAAAATAAGATTCGATTGAATGTATGTTTGGTTCATCGTTTTGGTTATGCCTGTTGGTTGAAACTCGGATCCTCAACCATCCCGCTTCCACGGATTGGTTAATTACGAGTTTAATAGCAAACATATATAAAACTACGCATACTCATGGACGTTAGTCTACGTGAATATATAAGTTACGAGATCTTCGATCCAATTTACCTTAGATTTTGGATGGTATTATGATAGTCTGAATCCGACTTCCGTCGTAACATGGATGATAAAATGCTCTCACATCAAATAGCCAGCCTCACTTTAAGGGCTGGACTACGATTTAACATTTTGTTATTTTACAAATTTATAAGTTAAATATAAAGGAGAGAGAGGTCGACAATAATGTATATGATTTTTGTTCGCTTGAGTGGCCATAGAAAAAGGAAGCCGGTGAATTTCCTAATCAACAAAACTAAAGGATAAGTGATATTTAATACACTAACATGGGTCCGGATTATATTAAAAAGGACTAACATGGGAAACAACTAGGGTATTTGCATAGTAAATGTATTTTTCGTTGTTGTCAACCATAATGTTTATTGATGGCTTGGAAATTCATTAGTGATCATAAAACTTCGGTGATGAGGAAAGGATGACCCACATGATATAATTCTCAGTTTTTTGTCAAACTGATTTAATAAGAAAACCCTTTAGTGATATCAAACCATGGATCTAAGAAAATGGTTTTAGTCCCAGGAGAAAAAAACTAGAGTCGCAGTCGTGTGTAGCATTAGTGAGGTATTAGGGGTGATCTTCCACAGGAAACGTGACTCACAAGGTCACGACTTCCAGTTCGATTATTGAAAAAGATCTAAAAAACATTCTTTGGTTTTTAGCACCAAGAACTTCTTGACTCGAACCAAAAGTCCATAAGTTTTTTCTAAAACCCTATGATCTTGACAGATCAAATGTTTTGTTTATTCATCAAATATTTTTGTTGGATCAGATTAGAACGGTAATTTTTGGTAACGTAAACGGTGGTCACTTAGAGATTAGAAAAGTTAATTAGTTAGTGTTTTCAATTCATATAAGCTAAGTAAGAATAGATAGAAAAACACGTGGAATAATGGACCCCTCCAAGAAAAAGAGATTAGAAAAGAGAGAGAGAGAGATTTCGAGACGGTACAAGTCAGAACTCCCACGTGCATTTGGGGAACTCGACGCCCTTTCTTTTTCTCTACAAACTCACTCTGGACACTTCTCTCTCTCTCTCTGCTCCCTCGATCCTCCATCTCACTCAACAACAATTAATCTCTCTCTTTTTTTTTTTTTTTTTTTTATCAGAATAAAGCTAAAAGCTGAATTTCTCCTTCATTACACACAGAAACAGAGGAACAAGAGAGGAGACGTCGACAATTTTTGTTTTTTTTTGTTTTTCATCATCGTCTTCTTTCCTGCTTGTTGTAATGGTGGAGGTCAAAGATCAAGACATGGGAGAAGGGATGCAATGCATAACACATCCTTACACAAAGAACCCAGGTGGGATCTGTGCATTATGTCTCCAGGAGAAGCTCGGTAAGCTCGTCACTTCTTCTTTCCCTCTCCCTAAACCCAACCTCCTCTCTTCTTCCTCTCCTCCTAAATCCTTCGCTCCTTCTTCCACCTCTTCTCTCGCTCTCTCTCTCTCATCCGGAAGCAACGCAAGGGACAACAATCTCCCTTTTCTGCTCGCTAAGAAGAAGAAGAATATGCTCGCAGCTTCTTCTTCCTCTTCTTCTTCCACCTCTTCCTCTTCTTCTTCTTCTGCTAATCTTATCTACAAGAGAAGCAAATCGACGGCTGCTTCTTACGGCGAGAGTTTCGGCCAGAGGAAACGAGCTGGCTTCTGGTCTTTTCTTCATCTCTACTCTTCCAAACGCCAAATCGCTACCACCACCAAAAAAGTCGACAACTTTAGCCATTCCTCGAGGCCAAGAAACCAGATCGAAACAGAGACAACAGAGGCATCGAAGAGAGTCGGTGGTGGAGGCATTGATGTGATTGTGGAGGAAGAAGATGAGAGTCCTGATAACAAAGTTGTCGCGGAAACGCCAACAAACGGTGTTGGTAGTGGTGGTGGTTCGTCTTTTGGGAGGAGAGTGTTGAGATCTAGATCTGTTGGTTGTGGAAGCAGAAGCTTCTCCGGCGATTTCTTCGAGAGGATCTCTAATGGGTTTGGAGATTGTGCCTTGAGAAGGATTGAGTCACAGAGAGAATCCACAAAGGTCATTAGTAATGGTGGTGGTGAAGCAGCTGCGATGAGTGAAATGGTGAAATGTGGTGGCATCTTTGGTGGGTTTATGATTATGACATCATCATCATCATCATCAACAACATCTTCATCATCAACGGTTGATCATCATCATCATCATCAACATCATAAGATGGGGAATAGAAGTTGGGGATGGGCTTTTGCAAGTCCAATGAGAGCCAAGACTACTCATAGAGGTCGTACTATTACAGAGTCTACAACAACTGAAAAGAACACATCTCCAAATTTGGACTCAATTCCTTCGTTGGTTGCTTTGAGAAGCTAAAGAGATGTTGTTAATCTCTAGATCACATTTCATTCATGTGTTTAGTTAGGCTGTTCTTTTGTTTGTTTGAACATTGGTTTGATCTTTTGATTTCAACTACCATTGTAATGTTACACTATCTGCTTTTTCATTTCTATGTTTGTTCATCATCATCATAAAAGCTTGAAACCTATAGGAGAATGAGCTTAGGATACTTGCTGCTTTGTCTTAGTCTTCTATGATTATGTTCTTATCAATGGTTTATTATTATTATTTAATATACATTGGCTAATTCTCCCAATCTTATTTTGTCTTGTGGTGGTAAACCAGAGGTGTTACAAAACCCACTTGAAAAAAGCAGTCAACAGGTTTTAGGGTTTTAAGTATTAAATGAGTGGAATCAAAAGGCACATGCCTTTGCACATGCATTATGATTCCAACACTAGATAGTAGTATTATCTTCTTTTTTTGGAGCCCCACAAATTTTAAGTAAGACATGCAACAACAAGAAGTCAACAACATCAACAAAACTATCATCATCATTATCATCAATGCATCATCACCAACCAGCTAATCAATATGTATATATAAAATTACATTTAATGCAAGCCAAAATATTGAGTTTGTAGTCCCACAAAACCACAAGTTTGTAGCAGAAAAAGACATCGAAATGTCAAGTCGATCAAGACATCAAAAAACTGTAAAGAATCAAAACAAAAAGAATTCTGCTGCGATTTTATGATTACATTGATAAATTCATATTTGATAATCACATGATCTGTCATGATATATTCAGAGACATAACAGAAGTGTTATGATATACTAATAAATTCAGATTGATAATCAGATGATATAATAATATGTGGAAGAGATGGTCGGGACAAGGACATCAAAAGGGGTCCATGAGAGGAAAATAAAGACGAACACTTCTGCAAAGAGACAGAAGGGCGAAAAAGGCTGCCTTCTGACTTAACCTTATTCATATAAATCATTTTTGATATACTGTATGTTGTATGAATTTATTTTCTTTGTGGGGACCCAAATTTGGACTTGTCATACATATTCCAAAAATCTGCATATATAGATACTTCAGACGTGACCATGTGAATACGATCAATTTTCCGTTGTGAAATATTTATGAATCATCTTTCACATCAAAATGTAGGACCCATTAAGAACTTAAACAAACTATCATTACTCAGCATTTTCACAATAATTGTTGTTATCTTAGAGTTGTATTTGTTTTGTTACTGAAAAGTAAAAATGTCATTGCACTCTGTTGAATCATGAACTCAGTGTTTAGGGGCCATTGGCTTTTTTTCTTTTTTTTTATCTACAACGTTCTTTGAGTCATATATATATAGCAAGGTACTCATAAATACTTAGTATATCTACACACAGGTGAAATGGACGACTCAACAATATCTTAAATGTATTGGCGCTCTGTAACACATGTACAAGTATTACATAAGCAGATTCACTTCACTCTAGTTTAAGCTGTGTATTTACTTCTTCATGTTGATTTGAAAAATGAGTCTGACGATTGTTAAAAATGTCATGTTTACCTCATATCCTTGTCCCTTGTAGCTATAACGGAATCCATCCCTGTTTTTTCGTCAGAAATTAGTGGTGGTCTAATGGTTCTGTTAATATATATAGCTTGTTTAATTTGTGTATTAGTCACCTTAATGACTCCGGCTTCTGTACCACAAAAAACAATATCATTAGCAGTAAGGAGACTTGTTATCTTGCTTCCTGCTGATAACCTTCCCACTTTCTGTTGTGTCCTTCTCAACCAAACCTTATTTTCACAAACCATATGGCCTTATTTCACTAGCAGATATATACAGTTGTGATGATAAAAAAAAGATTAGAGCAATTAATGATATAACTTATGATCATCCTACATCTCATTACGGCCTTGGGAAGCTAGTCAAGGGTAATTTCATTTGGTTTTGGTCTCGGAAGTATTTTTCACTTTGAAGAAAAAGAAAGAAAAAAATTACCTGAAGAGTGTTTGCAGATGAACTTCGATTCAGGTAGATGAAGTCTTCAACGACACCCATCGCTACAATATGGGACCCCTTTTCCGCTGTTATTGACATTTGGGGATCATAACTCCTTCTCAAATCCTGTAAGACATTTATGTAACTCACTCTCTTTATAGTTTATCACATTTTGGCACTCTGTTTATGTAGTTTTTTTTTTACCTTTATATTAGACATTTCAACATGGGTGCTTGTGCTATATAACATCTCTTTGTACACAACCACTGAATTGATGGGCTTGTTTTGAATTCTCCAGCTCCTCGCTGGTGCTCTGATCTCTTTCTCCCGTTTATTCGTGACGATTAATTCCTGAAAACAGCTATGTTACTTTTGTCGTCTTATAAATTCAGTATCGTTTGGATGAAAGGGGAGAGATACATGGCCATATATATACCTGTATGCTTGAGTCTATGCATCCTATATAAACCTTTCCTTGTGCTGCTACCATACTCTTCACACCTTTACCTTTGAAGATACTTTGAGATATTCTTGATGAATCAAGCACCTGTAGATAGAAGATTATTAGCTGCCTCTGAGTGGGAGATTATTACATATGATATTGTTTTATGTAATAGTCTCTGCCCTATTGTGGCGTTATGAAAGATATCTACCTTCATCTTGTGCCCCTTGGTTATGACAAAGATCATATTTCCGATTGCTTCCAGTTTCCTTATTGATTCTTTTGTTTTTATGACTTCAGTACATTCCAGTTTTCCTTTGACTATCTGCCACATCTATATAAGAGAAGGTCAAACATACATTTCACAGATCATTTTTCGCCTTATATACAGACGTGATGTTTCCTGGAAACAATGAGCTGAATCATTTTCATACCCTAATAGTTTTATCTGCAGATCCACTGAAGACACTCTCTCCTGTTTCAGAGATTGAAAAGCATGTGACGGTGCTTTTGTGCTCCTTGATGTTCCATATAATCGTGGCTAATTTCTCATTCACATTCCACACCTGATAATATTGCATTCTCAAGGTAAGGTTTCTTTCAAACATTTGTCTTCCTATTCAATTTGTTTTTTTTCTTAAGTAATAACTAAAGTATGACACATATATACGTACCTTGATTGAACCATCTGAGTATCCACTGAAGAGCAAGCCTTTATGGTAGATGAGAGCTGTTACAGCTCCACTCCCAGATTGATGCATCTCTATGGTTTGTGTATGAACACAAGATATGCGCTGGTCCTATCGATTTTTAAAATGGTCAGAAATAAGAGTCACTAAAATCTAAGACTTGACTATGATTCTATTACATGGTTGCGATAACTTGTGGTTTTGATGATGGTAGAGATTTTAATAATTTGAAAAAAACTTACTGATTTGCTGAATAGATAATATGTTGCTTTATGCAATTCGTCTGCCATCCAAGTCACATTTGAAAGACGTCTTAAAGACTCCCTAATTCCTTCCGAGAAATTGATTAGCTTGTGGATTCCTGAGTGAACAACTACACTTTAGTATAAAGCTTACAGACACATGCTTAAGTTAGCAAATTATCAAATGCATATTTTGTCTTGAACCATTATTTAGGAAATTCACCTTTGCCAGAGCTAAAATTGTAGATGCATATACAAGCAAGGAGCCTCACTTCAAGCTCCAAACCAGGGTGTAGAAATTGTGCTATGTCATCAAGTAGGACTTCACATGCTGAATATTTTAAACTATTTGGACCTTTTGAAATCTCTATACTGAGCCACGCAATGGCTATAAGACATTCCTTTGCAATATTCTTGTTTTTACTCTTCAGACCTTCTTGTAAACCGCAAAACGTGGCTTTTCCTGTCTCAATAATTCTTCTTGCTATCTTACAACACCATCCATCTATTCCTGTATCCTGCAAAAATTTATGAAGTTTTCCATAATTCTCTCTTTTTGGCTTTGGCTTGGCTTGTTAGTTGTTATTAGAATGTTTTAAGTTTTTTAAAAAATACCTGTAAACATTCATCTGACCAGTTGATGTCTCTTATCATATTCATGTGTGACATAGAAGTTAGACCTCCTCTTTTCATTAGCCAAGCAGCAGTGTATGGTTCTCCTTTCCATGAATAAGTTCCACCGATATTCGAAAGAATGAATGTTGATAAAAGCTGCATATTTGAACCTTTACTATATGTAACTGCATCAATGAGAGCTCTGGTGGCCTCATTTCTGAACTTTTTGCTCTCAGGAGTAGAATCCTGTTGAAAATTTCGATATGAAAATGTTTCTTTAGGAATAGAATCAATAAGACATGTCTTTTCTTAATGTTTAGAACTAACCAGCGCAGTCAGCTGAAGCAATATATCTGCTGCAAAGAGCTTGTGATCGCCCTGAAACTGTTTAATACACTGTATTAATGTATCCTTAATGTCAAAACTTCCTTCTTTCTTTATCTGCTGCAGAATTTTAATCGCTGACGACCTGAAATTACAAGTAAGTTATCATATGAAATATTTCACCGGTAGTCAAAAAAGAGATTTTTTTTTTTATATATTGTTGGATATCATGTATACCTTGGTATTTTCAGGATCTCATGAAGAAATTGAAGAGCAATGAAAGTTTCTTCTCTGTCTTTGCTCTGCAGGAGATGCGCAAAAGGAGCCACTCGAGTATGCTGATATATGTACTTCCTGTTAAGTCCATCGAATTGCATGCATTTTACTAGAATACTGGCCAAGGAGATGAATTCCCCTGAGTTTCCACTTTTTGCAACATCAAGAAGTCCACAGAGGACAGAAGGAGAGCTAATTGCAGCCAAGTGCGTTGTGTTTGTAGCATGATCAAAAGAAGTAATAAGCACTTCAATTATCATCAATGATGCTGCAGGCGGCGTCAAAATAGGAGGTGAAGGTTTCAATGTGTAAGAAGTAGAAGAAGAAGTGGATGCAACAACATCCACAAGAGCTGGCAAAAGCTCAAGACTCTTTATTTCTGTTGGAGATGGCTTTATCAGGTAGATGAGAATAGCTGCTTCTTGCACATTTTTTTTCAGGGCATTTGCTAAATGGCTTAAATTTAAACCCTTCCTCTTGACCTCCTCAAGAGCTGTTCTATTGACTGATATGATCTTGGTAAGTGCGGTCATCGATGCTTTTATCACAGTTTTCTCCTCGGAGCTAGAAATAGCCGTAAGCAGCTGATCTAGAATGACATCTTTGAGAATGCTATATTTGACTCCTTGTTTTCTGTTTAGCATTTGATAGATCATTGTAACCTCTGAGACATACTTCTCATCCTCATTCCCTAGCACTTCCGTTATAAAGTTCTGAAGGTTCTCCCATAAACTCATTCTCTGAGCTCTTCTTGAATGCCTCTGATGAACTCCACTTCCTCGCGTTTTGGTATGCAAATTTCTCCTCATTCCTTCAAAAGTGATGGACCCTTTATGTCCAAAGGCTGAAATTTCTTCCAGCTCTAGTTGCCTCAAAGAAGGGGCATCTTCTATGTTGGTATTCCAAGTTTCATTTGATTGCTGAGCCTGAATGTCAAAGATGGAACGGTTAAAATTACCGGTGAAACTGTGGGATCTGTTAGCTAATGTGTCTTCATTATATGATTTGGTTGATTCCTTGTGAGCTTGTTGTTGAGGAACACAGAAGAACTTGGCTAATGAGTCCTGATTTCACAATACAGTTTGTGGAAGATGTTATTTTTTCATTTCTCTGAACTTTTAAGCAATATGAGAGTATCCGGTTAGAAAAATTACCGTGCCAATGTCTTCTCTAGTATTATGGCATATGGAGCTTGAAGTATCTGGCTGAGACTCGTTCAAGAATTCATTGAGGCACTTGACTCTTGTACTTTTTCCAAGCTCTGAATTGTAATCTTCCTGCAGGTTCCAATCCAAACATGGAGAATCTTCAAAGCTGTTCGCAGATTTTCCAATTTTCCTTGATTCTTTGATTTTGTTAAAGATTTCATTAAGCTCTTCCTCTTGCAAATCAACACTCTGGAGGTTCTGGTACTGCAATAACTTCTTCAACATGAAGACCAAGAATTTAAAAATGCTATATATTACATTGTGCCCAAATTCGATGATTAAGAAAAGAATGAGCATTTCCAAAAACATGTCATGGTCATTAATAAACCTACCTCACAGGTTTCCGACAACTCTAGCTTCTGTGTAACTGAATGTGCATTAGACGCAGATATCTCCTGCCTGTTCATGTCTAGAGGATTTAGGAACAAGAGATTTGTATGGAGTCGTCAACTTTTGCTGATAATGAAATGCTTAAAAAAGTTGATATAATTATTGGATTTTACTAATTACTATTTGTGTTTTTATTTTCAGTTTCAGGAAGCAAAGATGAACAGAATCAGAGCCATACCCATATTTCTTGAGCCTCCTCCGAAGCGGTTTCTCTGTAAATTCAGTCGGCGGCTGATGAATCTCTCCGTACGACATAACCTGGTAATAAGTTGCTCTGTATTTATACATCTTTGCAATCTCTCTGAGCTCTTCATCTGACCTGCACACACCAGGAGTGAAGAAAATGCTCTTGCAGAGTTGAGGGGCAATGTTGTTTCTTACAATCTCTGGGGAGACCAAAACCGACTGGAGAAAATGCAGTGTGGTCTGCAAGGAATCACCTTGGAGATAGCTCACAATGGAGAGGTAAAAGTAAGAGAAAGCAACCAAGATTATGTTTGGAACACCTGAAGTGGTGGTCCCTTGTTCGTCAAGCAACGCAGGCATTTGAAGCATCCTCTCTGAGTTTCTCAGACGAGATATCTTCTCTTCCGAGCATCCGGGTTGTATAGAAGCTTCGATGCTCTCGATTCCCCAGTAGAGATTTGAGAGAGCAGATTGTTCAGAGGAGAATTCAAACAGAGTAATCTCTTCTTCAATGCGCAACATAGTGATGCATTTCTGCTTAAGCAGAATCCATGCTTCCGTTTCTGATATTAAGCCGAGAATGTAGTCGTTGATCGAAACTACAATCGAATCAAGAAATGAATTCTCATTGCAGGAGGAAAAATTCGGAAGAGAAGGTGAAAGGTAAGCCATTTGCTCATACTTTGTTGCATTACAACTTTTGATGGTTTTATGGGATAAGATGAGAGAAGTGAAGTGAGAGATTATAGAGAGAGAGAGAGAGAGAGAGAGAGAGAGAGAGAGAGAGAGAGAGAGAGAGAGAGAGGTGAAAGAACAATGTAATCTCGTGAAGGAACCAGCCAAACTCAAGAAAAAATATAAATAGAAATGATTGGTCCTATTTTGTAATCTTTTGCTGTAAAAAAGGACACAGAGAAGACAAAAGTCAAAAGTGTTGCGTGTGTGAGAGGGAAACAAAGAGAAGGATTATAGCCCATTCACTGTCATTTCCCAACCCTCGTCTCATATTGACTTTCTCAATTAATTATTATGCTTGCGTTCCAAAACAAGGTTTCCATAGTTCTTCCTTTCTATAAGAGATGTTTATCATTTTTTATACATATATTAAGAATTTTATGTTTTAAGAAAATTAAAACAGCATTTATCATCTATCTAAACATAATTTCATTAATATCAAAACAAATTGCAGGATACAAATGATCCAAAATAAGAAAAAAGAAATTTAATTTACATTTGAAAACATCACTAAATTTAAAAGAAAAAATTTCGTCTCAAGCATCACTTACAATGAAACAGAGTAGGGATGATAATTAACTGGTATACTAGACTTATATAAAGGAGGCTATGATATGTTTAATTTAAGTAGTGGAAGAGGACGGTTGGTGGTGTTAACTTTAGAAGTCTTAATTCAACCACACTAGGAATATCAAAAATTTTTGGTTCCCAATTTTTGGTGTTAAGTTTAGAAGTCTTAATCGTGATGATATTCATAATGTGGACTACACTGTTCCTAGTTTGGAACTTGTATGTCACGGGGAACCAAAAATTGAGGAAAGGATTTGTATTTTATCATTTGTCTTTTTTTTTTGTTCTAAAAACAAATTATTCTATCATTTGTATTTCTGGTTGCAAAGAGATCCTCCTTTTTCGTGTAATGTTCATTCAACCTTAAAGTTAGCTGGGCTTGTCTAATGATATTATCATTTTGGGCCGTTGTTGTGGCCTAATCGATGCACTCCCAAAAAAAAAAAACAAACCAGTTTACATTCTTGGGAAATCAGGAATTCAAAAGATAAAGAATACCATAAACTACCATATTTTAAAAATATTTGGTTCCGAACATAATATTACGATTATTTGCAGGTGTTAGTCCAATAATAAGTTAAATAAAATTGTGCTATTCCGAGTAATTTTTCTGAACTTTTCATTGTAAATGACGTAGGAAGTAAATCTCCCTCGATTTTCGAAGAAATTTTGAAAATCATTACAACTTAAGAAAAAAAAAAAAAAAAGACAAACGCGTCCCTCGTTTCCCTATAATTTAAAAACGCCACAAACCAAAATATTCTCAAATCCCACTTTAACTGTAACAGAAAGAAAAAGGAGAAGAGAAAAGTAGTCTCTGCGATTCACACTGAGTAATGTATCAGGATCGCCAAGGCGTTGTAGGCGGAGGAGGCGGATCTGCGCCACACGGGATCATACTCGCCGTCGTAGTTGCGTTGGTAGTGCTCGTTCCCTTCTTCATCGGAGACGGCGGCGAAGCCATCACAGATGCGATCGCAGAGCTTCTAAGCCCAGTGGGACTTCTATTACTCCCCATCGTCCTCCTCCTTACTATCCAGTTCCTCTCTTCCGAACGCGGTTCCTTCGTATCCGCCATTTTCTCCACCGGAGAACCCGAATCGATTCACCGGGTTAGCGGATCTCCCGTCGGCGTCGCTCTGCTTCTAGTCATGATATTGTTCTTACTTTACAACCGGTTCTCCATCTTCGGCGGAGGTGATGATTCTGACGACTGATCCGGCGTCGTTTTCCAGATCTAGTTTTCTCTTTTTTTTTCCCTTTTTGGGCTTTGGAAAACAAATAAATTCATTTTTTTTTTATTTTTTTTTTGCTTTCTTATTTGACAGTTGAAGTCAACTATACAGCAGTTTGATGTATGTATCGGAGTCACGTGACATGTGATTAATTAATGACGAGGTTTCATTAATATCCTTAATATACACGTAATCCTATTTTATAGGATTATTCATTCTAAATGCGTAAGTTTATGTAACCAAATTTATATAGCGAAATTGATTCTTAAGAAAAACCATGATTTTTACGGGAATATACATACAAGGAGTATATTTTTGATGGGGGACACATTGGAGTTTCGGACTCGTCCTCACATGACCACGTGAGAAACTGAGAGACCGTTTTCTGGTATCTCATTTGCAATCGTATAAAATAATAGTTTCCTCTCTCTTTTATTTTGGGTACAGTACAGGTCATGTTACTACTTACATGGGGGAAAATTCTCCAAGACAAAATTCTTTAGTCTTTTTCAAGAAATGATGCTTAAAAAAAACATTAATTATGAAGTATCAATGGAGAAAATAATATTTCAAAACAATAATTCAGTTTTTACTAATAATCCTCATCAGTAACAACCACATTGTTATCCCCCTTTTGTATGTACATCAAAACATCAAACATCTAAGCGCATCTAACTTCCTCTTAACACATTATCTACATGAAGACTTTTTAAAAATAATAATATTCTTCAAGAGTTCTCTTGTTTTGCTGAAAACACATCACTCAGCTTTCAGTTGCAGAATCTCCTTTGCTGTCCTAACCCGAAAATACGGCATATGTTCCTGTGGAAAATCATACAACAGTTTCTGTTTTAAGCAGTCTCAATCTCTCACAATGACTAATGATGACCCACGAAATGTAGTCGCAGTTTTTTAGTCTAGTTTCCTGCGATTTTACCTGAGTGAAACAAAGATCGAGACCTCTGCTGTAGAAGTCCATGTATTTCAGCATAAACATTCCACAATCGAATCTACAAATTGCAGAGCCCAAGTTAACATAGTTATTATGGGTGTACCTGTAATGTATGAACTAGTAGCTGAGATCTTATTAGGAAAAAAGATACCCATTTCTCTGCTCAGGAAGGTCCTGCACAAATTCTCGTCTCCATTGACTTACATCAACGTCTACTTCACTCTTGTCCATAACTTCATCAACAAAGTATCTAGCCTGACAAATGAAAAAAACTACATAATCAGACTACATCTTATGACGGTAAAATTTGTTTCACTTGCTAACACTACCAGTGCATCGAGGATTCTAGGCTCTCTTCCTTTGAATGAGTCGAGATACTGGAATTTCCGGTCCTTTATATTAATAACAGCCAAAGTCCAGTGGATGCTCATATGTATAGGGATAAATATCTGACAACCAAAAAGGTCTCTTAGACAGATTGTAAAATAAAAAATGGAGTTGAATATGTCAAAAAAGAAGTGTAAGATAGACAATGATAACAGAAGGATCACACATCAAGTTTACCTTGTCACAGTCTATGAGATGGTAGCCCAATTTCTTCATCGAAGTCCATCTTCTGACTGCACCGTAGTTGTATCCAGTCCCAGAATTAACTAGCTGAGGTGTGATTTAAGGTTATGCCTTCTTGTTAAAATTTATGAACATATATATATACCTAACATTCATAAGCCATAGGAATGTGTATAACCTTAGTGAAGAAAAATGTATTGAAAAAATGACATTTTAGAAACTTCTTTGGTTCTCTAGCTTCCCTTTCTTTCAGCAATACCAGAAAAAGATTAATGACCTACATAGAACAAAGTCCAAGCTTTTAGAGGGTCTAGCAAGACAAGATATTAGATTCAGTCTCAAAAAGGAATCAGGTGAGATTTAAACACCGTGACTAACCTCATCGTTCAACCATTGACCTGGTTTAAGGCACCTCAGGTTCTCCCCTGTAATGTCAATATTTGAATTCTTATGTGTAACCAACATGTTCCTGCAGCGAAAGACATTCATAGAATTACATAAACATATCTGAATTATTCGAGCAAGGGAACAGGAGACCCAATAATCAAAATCATACTGAATATTAGCTGAGAATGCATGCTTGACTGCTGTCTCATCTTCCTTGGAAAGAGGTAGAAATGGTTCACGTCGTACATCCTAATAATCAGTTAATGAGTCACCCAAATTCAAAAAATCAAAATGAATGATGTCACCAACCAAAGACACTTCAACTTTAGCCACGACTATAAAAGATCAAGAAAAATAGCCAAACCTCTATTGGTTCCTCATCTTGAAGCCAAAAGGAACGCAAGCTTCGCAGTAAAGCGCGACACCTTTCTTTCACAGCATTACCAAAGCCTCTGTCTTTCAGCTTAGAAGTCCGGTTCTCAGCACTCTCGAGCGCCTTTCTATATGCTTCGAAACCACAGACATCGGTCACGGGGCGATTCCAAACGAGTGAACTTTTCTTATTATCACCTTGAGACCCATCATCCACCATAAAGTTCCCATTTTCCAGATCGACAACCTCTAAAGATGGTTCATTTTCCTTCTCCGCCGTCTCGTCCACATCCATAGCCACGTTTTCAACAGCATCAGCCTCCATACTCGTGTCATCAGATATCATTTCCACATCTCCAAGCTCATCGTCAACAACAATCACTTCTCTATCCATACTATAGCACAAAGGCGAATCAAGGGCATTTCGCTTTAAGCTGTTATGGGTCATCGAGATAAAACCCCCCAGCACATTACCAGAAACTCGTCGTGGGCTACGATTCCGGCGTATCTGTCTTGTGCAAGCACAGAGGCCGAACTTTTTGACCGGCGAAGGAGCATGGACTTGTCTCCGCAAAGGAGTTTTCACTTCTGGGTAACGGTAGTTTCCTGGAGCCATGGCCCTTGCCGAGTGCGAGAAACTGGAGTTTTCAGAACCGGCGCTGCGTTTCTGGTAACTGCTCATGCCCTCCAGTGGTCTGGAAAATCCCCAATTCAGGCTTCAGAATCCTATTTGGTTGACTTTCATCAAAACTCGGGAGCAAGCAATTTTCATTAACACCTATCGCCGTTTCTGCTTCCATCACTGCCTTTTTCGACTCGCGACGCTCCCGATGACGACCCGGTATACAACGGACCCGACCAAATCTGACCCGGATTGTTATGGTTCGATCATGGATACTTGGATAGGCCTGGGAAATATAACCGAACCGAACCGAGATTTAGGAGTTTTCGGTTTGTATTCGGTTATTTGAATTAAATCGATCCGCAACATTTTTAATTGTATTCGGTTATCGGTACGCCAAACCGAACGTTAAACCGAGAAAAACCCAACTCTATTACTTCACACCGCCTCCTTCTTCGATTCCTCATCTTAACATTCTTCTTCTTCTTCCTCATCTTCTTCTTCTTCCTCCTATCTTCTTCTACCTTTCTTCTTCTTCGATTCCACTAATATTCTTCGAGAAACAGCGTCGCTATCCTCGTTCGATCTCGGCGGCGAAGCAAACGGCGAAGATGTGTTACAGAAGACCCGGCGAAGATGGGTTACAGAATGCCGAATTATATTCTGGACCACGTTTACTGAGGCCCAATATTTCTTTGGCCCAAAACAAATGGTTAATTAGAACGGATAAGTGAATTGAAGAACAGAATCAAACCGATCTAACCGAATTACTACTAATTTTATTCAGGCTCAGGCCCATTTTTATTTAGATTCAGACCCACTTTTATTAAGGCTTCGACCCACTAAAGCCCACTTAAATATTAGTTCAGGCCGAATTATATTTGGCTCAGGCCCATTTTATTTAGATTCAGGCCCACTTTTAACTGGGTTCAGGCCCACGCAGGCCCACTTATATTAGTTCAGGCCGAATTATATTCGGCTCAGGCCCATTTTTATTTAGATTCAGGCCCACTTTTATTTAGGCTCAGCCCCACTCAGGCCCACTTATATATTAGTTCAGGCCGAATTATATTCGGCTCAGGCCCATTTATATTTATATTCAGGCCCACTTTTATTTAGGCTCAGGCCCATTCAGGCCCACATATATATGTTCAGGCCGAATTATATTCGGCTGAAGCCCACTTTTATTTAGATTCAGGCCCACTTTTATTTAAGCTCATGCTCATGCAGGCCCACTTAGATATTAGTTCAGGAAGAATTATATTCGGCTGAGGCCATTTTTATTTAGATTCAGGGCCAATTTATTTAGGCTCATGCCCACTCAGGCCCACTTATATATTTGTTCAGGCCGAATTATATTCGGCTCAGGCCCAATTTTATTTAGATTCAGACCCACTTTTTATTTAAGCTCTGGCCCATGCAGACCCACTTATATATTAGTTCAGGCCGAATTATATTTTCGGTTCAGGCCCAATTTTATTTAGATTCAGGCCAACTTTTATTTAGGTTCAGGCCCACTCAAGCCCACTTATATATTAGTTCAGGCCGAATCATATTCGGCTCAGTCTCAATTTCTTCGGCACTTATCGGAACAACCGAACCGAGGAACCGAAAATAGATCAAAGCGAATTAGACTACAAAATTTAACCGTATTACTACTGATTGGAACCGAACTGAATAACCGAGCTGAATAACCAAACCGAATAACCGAACTGAATAACCGAGCCAAACCAATCTAACCGTATTACTACTGATTGGAACCGTAGTTTAACAAAACCCGAATATTTTGGCTAAGTTCGGTAAATATTAAGATAACCGAACGAACCGATAACAGAAGCGAATCGAACCGTAATATTATCGGTTAGTTGCGGTATGATTTATTAGAAAACTGAAAAACCGAACATACTGACCGATTTGGTTCGGTTAACCTTTCGGCTAAACCTATGTTTCCCGTTTTTCTTCTTGTTAAACCCTTTACTTCTCTCCTGGAAGCTGGGCTTCTCTCACTTCAGAATTCCTTAAAAATTAAAGCTTTTCTTCAGGAATAATATACGTACAGTCGATCGTAGTCGATTTGAGTTTAATCGGCTGTTTGGAACATAAAAGTCAGAACGATGCGGATGCTATTAAGACCAGGTAATCTGTTTATGAGCATTTCAGTTTCTGAAATTTTTACAATATCTAAATCTTTTTGATTCTGAGCTGATTCTGGTGATTTCGTTGTAGTATTGTGGCTTAGAGATTGTTAAAAAACGTGTTCCATAGTATCTCTCTTTAGTGACAGCAGTTTTTTCGTTTTCAGTTAACTTTCTGGCTATGTGAATAGTATAGCTCGTTCCTGATTTTGCTTTATGTTCGTCTCTCATGTTTACGCGGCAGGAATTATATATCACACGGATACAAAACCTTATCGTGTTTTCGGTGTTGGTAAACATCTATCATCTTTGTCTGATAATGGCGAAAATAGTGAGAAGCCGAAAACATTTGAGGGTAACAGACAAGTTGTTAATGAAATATGCAATGTTTTGGAGAGTGGTCCATGGGGGCCTTCATCTCAGAATGCTCTATCCGCTCTAAACTTGAATCCCCAACCAGAATTGATCATTGGGGTGTTACGAAAGCTGAAAGATGTTGATCGGGCAATTGGTTATTTCCGTTGGTATGAGAGAAGAACCGAGCTGCCGCATTGTCCAGAAGCATACAATTCATTGCTCTTGGTGATGGCTCGTTGCAGAAATTTTGATGCTTTGGAACAGATTCTTGGAGAAATGAGTGTTGCAGGATTCGGCCCGTCTGTTAACACTTGTATTGAGATGGTTTCGAGCTGCGTTAGGGTGAATAAGCTTAGGGAAGGTTTTGATGTATTGCAAGTGATGAGGAAGTTCAAGTTTCGACCTGCTTTTTCAGCTTACACAACTCTTATCGGTGCTTTCTCAGCAGTTAGTCAGTCTGACACGATGTTGACTCTCTTTCAGCAGATGCAGGAATTAGGATACGAACCAACCGTTCATCTGTTTACGACATTGATTCGGGGATTTGCCAAGGAGGGTCGAGTAGATTCTGCTTTATCTTTGCTTGATGAGATGAAGAGCAGCTCTCTGGACGCCGACATTTTCCTTTATAATGTATGTATAGATTGCTTCGGTAAAGTAGGCAAAGTTGATATGGCTTGGAAATTTTTTCATGAGATGGAAGCGAGTGGTCTGAAGCCTGATGAAGTCACTTATACTAGCATGATTGGAGTTCTGTGCAAGGCAAACAGATTGGATGAAGCCGTAGAGATGTTTGAGCATTTGGAGAAGAATAGACGGGTCCCTTGCACTTATGCTTACAATACCATGATTATGGGTTATGGTTCGGCTGGAAAATTTGAAGAAGCATACAGCCTCCTGGAGAGACAAAGGGCAAAGGGGTCTATACCGAGTGTGATCGCATACAATTGCATTCTCACATCCTTAAGGAGAATGGGAAAAGTAGACGAAGCTTTGAGAATGTTTGAGGAAATGAAAAAAGATGCTGCTCCAAACCTTTCAACCTATAATATTCTCATTGACATGCTGTGTAGAGCTGGTAAACTTGACTGTGCTTTAGAGCTACGCGATTCTATGCAGAAGGCTGGTCTGTTTCCTAATGTTAGGACTGTGAACATAATGGTTGATCGGCTCTGCAAAGCACAAAAACTTGATGAAGCTTGTGCTATATTTCAGGAGATGGATTATAAGGTTTGTACCCCAGATGAGATTACATTTTGCTCGCTCATAGATGGCTTAGGAAAGGTCGGAAGAGTTGATGACGCTTACAAAATCTACGAGAAGATGCTTGATGCTGATTGTCGCACTAACTCTATTGTCTACACATCCCTCATCAGGAACTTTTTCAACCATGGGAGAAAAGAAGATGGTCACAAGATATACAAGGAGATGATTAATCAAAAATGTTCTCCTGATTTGCAGTTTCTTAATACATACATGGATTGCATGTTTAAGGCTGGAGAAACGGAAAAGGGGAGGGCGATGTTTGAGGAAATAAAAGCCCGTCGTTTTGTCCCCGATGCTCGAAGCTACTCGATATTAATTCATGGACTAATAAAAGCAGGATTTGCGAATGAAACTTACGAGTTGTTTTATTCCATGAAAGAGCAAGGCTGTGTCTTGGACACACGTGCTTACAACATTGTCATTGACGGTTTCTGCAAGTGCGGAAAAGTTAACAAAGCTTATCAGCTGCTGGAGGAAATGAAGGAAAAAGGTTTTGAACCAACTGTTGTGACCTATGGTTCAGTCATTGACGGACTTGCGAAAATAGATCGGCTTGATGAAGCTTATATGCTCTTTGAGGAAGCAAAATCAAAGAGAATAGAGCTAAACGTGGTGATTTACAGTAGTCTTATTGATGGGTTTGGGAAAGTTGGCAGGATAGATGAAGCTTACCTCATATTGGAAGAGCTTATGCAGAAAGGCTTAACACCTAATGTTTATACATGGAACTCATTGCTTGATGCGCTGGTTAAAGCGGAGGAAATCAACGAAGCCCTCGTATGTTTCCAGTCGATGAAAGAATTGAAATGCACGCCAAACCAAGTCACTTACGGTATCCTAATAAATGGTCTTTGTAAAGTCAGGAAATTCAATAAAGCCTTTGTCTTTTGGCAAGAGATGCAGAAACAGGGGATGAAACCCAGCACAATTTCCTACACGACCATGATTTCAGGACTTGCAAAGGCTGGGAATATTGCAGAGGCCGGTTCGCTGTTTGATCGGTTTAAGGCAAACGGTGGCGTTCCAGACTCTGCTTGTTATAATGCTATGATCGAAGGTCTAAGTAACGGAAACAGGGCAATGGATGCTTTTTCCCTTTTTGAGGAAACGCGTCGAAAAGGATTAAATATCCATACCAAAACCTGCGTTGTGCTTTTGGATACTTTGCATAAGAATGATTGTCTTGAGCAAGCAGCTATTGTTGGAGCTGTTTTGAGGGAAACGGGAAAGGCGCGGCACGCTGCACGATCTTGGTAGACAGTTACTTGTTTCTTGTATTGGACAACCAAAAACGTTGTGGATTATGTCTGATACCAATCAAGTGATCATTCGGAACGGTTTTGATGCACAAGAATCCGAAGTTTGTGGAGATGACAATGACTTGATTGTGGAGTTTCAGATAATGACTTCTGTTTCCTTTCTGCGTT